TGGCCTCAGCCGTTATCAGCCAGCTAGAAAGTTTTAGTCATTGAGAGTAACAAAACTGCAGGCTCCCCTTTGGTCGGGGATTTCTGCCCTGGCTATCCAGCTGTCTACTTCAGACCAGGCTGAAAGCTGAAACTGAGAACCAGCTCCACTCTTGGGGTCAGAGTGGCACTGTTAGTGTTTGCTTCTAAGCTCTATCCTTGCTCAGTACGCAGGATGGCACCCGTTACCTCTCTTCACTCTAGAATTCCACACTGGGGCACAAGTCCAAATCCCTCCACACTCCGTCCTGGATCTATGACCCAGAACTGGGTCGAGAATGACACAGCTGTCCTGTGAAACCTGTCCCCACATCCCCAGCAAGGTCAGCGCCCTTTGGCATGGAGCCGGAGCCTCCTCTTTCCACGGTTCTCTCTCAGTTCCTTCACACTGAAATGCTCTTCGGGGCCCTGCTAGGGGCACCCTGTTCCAGTGGCTGCAGACCTCTGTCTCTTCCCCTGTCCTGACCTGGTTTGGAAATGCGACTTGCTCTGATTTGTTTTCTCGGATTTCCCAATCAGGATTGCATCCTATAGGTCTTTGTGGAGGAGTTGTGCTGGAGAACTCAACCGTACTTCTTCCTGCTCCCCTCCCCCACCAGCTTGGCCTGAGTGACTCTACTCCCTGTCTTGATGCAGATAACAACCCATTCATTCTTTCTCATTTTCTGCAGCTCTTTTCTGTAGCTTCTCCTAAATTCTCCATTAAAAGTACACTGAAGCATGAGGGCCTTCTTTCATACCTCTTGGCATTACCTGGGTACCAACTCATCCTGTGGACTGTCTATCAGTTATCCATTGTGGTTCATACCCAGCCTGCTCCCTTTTCCTGTTCTGTCTCTCTTTGATATCTTTTCTGCTGATTCTTTCGCATGATTCTTCTTCATTGGCAAGGTGCCTCGGCCTACATGTAGCCCCTACTGCACTTCTATCCGCTGCCTTTTGGATGATTTACAATTTTGATACTTTGAAGATTGTATCACCATAAGAATATTGGTATTTTAAAAAAAAGGTGGGTTTGTGTCTTAGTGAGGAGCTTGGGGTCATTAAAAGCATCTCACAATGAAATCCAGCCTACTTCTTCCTCCAATTCATTGCTCATCTGCAGGATTCATCAATAGATGGAAAAGCTCCATTGGCTGTCCATACAACTGCATTTCCTAGTCAAATTAACAGGCATTCTTCATCCACTTATTTGTTCCTGTGTGAATTGTGAGACTGAACTGTTTTAAGTGATTGTGTATTTCATTTAGCAGACTCTGAGATGTTCTGAGTCTTGAAGCAAATAATACAATGTTATATGCACAGAATGTCTGGAGGACCTCACCATTTCTAGGAAATCACTCTTTGTTTTGGACTCTATACTGTATATATCCTCCGTGATTTTTTTTCTTTTAATATGGTCATGGTTTTGATTTAACAAGCCCATGGCCTAACTATGCAAAGACAATTCTCTCAGAAATGACTTCCATACCAATAACTAGTCATTTCCTGTCCAAACATAATGTTTTCTCTTTGTTACACTATTCAGGCTCACCATGTTCAGCACTTTCTGATTCTCTTCTTGAAGAAGGTACTTGTAAGCTCTAGGTGTAAATCTCTCATGTAATCTACAAGCCTTTAGCCTCTCCTGTTTCTTACTTGTTTTTATAATTCTCATTGGCCTTCCCTTATGCCCATGGGTCCTTGCACTGAAGTCACTGAGTATAAAAATATCTATTGATTTAATTGAACAATCATCAGATTTTTTCATGGCATTTCTCACCCTCTGCGTAAACTATAGTTATCTCCCTAGTAGCCTTTTTGTAAGTGTTTATTTCTCATGAACACTGCAATACAAAATGACCAAATGTTTCTCGTCACCTTTGAACAAACAATAAAATCAAGGCAATAACCTCCTTCTTTTCCTTTCAAAGACAACCTGTGAAACGTCCTTCCAGTGAGCTGCAGTTTCCCCCAGAGTGACACAGCACACACACAAAAAAGAGGCCGTTCTCCCAAAGTTCCCTCTTCTACCCCCCTCCTCATCCTACATCCCACTACCACCATCCCCACTAGCTTTTCTGCTATTCATCTCCCATGAAGTGGCCCTTCTCTTTACAAAGACCAACCTTACAAAGGTGTATACCAATGACCTCATCCTCTTCCTTTTCAGCAGATTGCTCCCATCATCCCCACTCTCTGTGGATGTCCCAGAGGCATCTCAAACTCAATACATCTAAAAGAGAGCTCATTCTCTTTTCCCTCTTCCTAATCCACCGTTACTATTGAGGACACCACCATCCTCTAAGTCCTGCAGGATTTCCTGGTGTCATCTCAGACTCCTTGCCACCCTCCCTCACCCCACACATCCAACGATGGCTAAATCTCATCATTTCTGTCTCTACAATATCTCTCCCCTCCGTCCTCATCCCTCCTTCAGTTGCTCCCCCGGCTCAGCAGTCTTCTTCTCTAGTCCCCTCACTGTCCTTTTCGATGGCCATCCCCCGGCCTGGAATATTCCCCCTCCTCATCTTCACCTGTTAGAATCTGTGGAATCAAATTACGTGTCACCTTCTGCCAGAGGCCTGTCCAGTTCCTGCTCTGAATTTAGTGTCTTCTCCTCCAAGGTTACTTTCTGTCTCCCCTGTATGTATCCTGTTTGTCCCTAATAGTTTTCAGAGTGTCTCCCTCGTTAGATTGCAAGCTCCTTGAGGACAGGGCCTATTTTGGGGGGGGGCTTCCTTGTATCCCCAGGCAAAGTGCCTGACAGGTAACAGGCTCTTAATAAATGACTATTGATTGATCATTGGACAAAGGCCTCACATTTACAGCACCTATAGCTAAGTCAAAGTTGATAAAGGTTTAAGAACTTGATGATTCTAACATTCTCTGGCTCATTTCCCACCTCTGCTACTGTCACTGCAGATTCAGAAGGGACTGAGGAACACTTGGTATTTTTCTTTATCTCGTGGCTTGTATTTCAAGGCTCCATCGTCACCAAAGAATCGACAGCCAAGTGGCCAGCCTCCTGGTGATGGTCCTCTCTATACTTAGTTAGGCTGGCCCTCAGAAAGCAGACTCAGTCTGATGCTGGGACCATCCTCAAAGCTTCCTTAGCTCTGTAGAATGTTCCAGAACTTGGGCTTCACTGGGCATAAACAGACTTTGATAGACCAGAGTCACCACTCTGCAACAATGAATCATTGAAGGATGACTGTGGACAACACAGAAGGAAATACAAATGATCACATGGAATCATATTCCAGTATCTCAAAAATTAGAATAATTGGATCCAACCTCACAGGACACCCTTAGAATTCACAAAAAAATAATCCTTTTCCTTTCACTGACAGACCATGTATGGACTGCAGTATTTCAAAGGCTTCCAGAGCCTTCTCCACACAACCTCCTCCTAAGTTTGGTAGTGCAAGTGTAGTAATACTTATTTTAAAGAGGAGGCAATGGACTGAGATTTAATGCAACCCTCTCCTTTTACGGAGATGGAAACTGAGGCTCAGAGATGGAAAATGACTTGTCTACGGTCACGCAGATAGCAGAACCCAACTAGACACTAGACTTTCTGAGCTCCTTCTACCTCAGCAGGAGCCCCCAAGGGCAGAACTCTTTCCACTGGGCCATGAGCCTGTCGCTGATGATGAGGGTGATGGGGAAAGGTACCAGTCTCTGCAAATGGTTTCCTAGCGTCCCCTGATTTGGCAGGGAGAAAGCTACCTAAAAGTGATTCGGGCTCTGCAGAGCTAGGTCCGTCTTTGCCTCCCTGTCTTCCTTCCTTCCGCCCAACTCTGTTCCCAGGGGTTTCTCTGCAGGATGCCGCCGCCTATGAGGACCCCCACAGAAAGAGGCCGAGAGGGCTGGTGGGGAAAGGATGGGGGGGGCTGGGGGCTGGGGGCCCGGGACGGACTAGAGCAGAGAGCCACATTGGGAGGTGGAGGACTGGCCATCGGCAGAGGGGTAGCTTGGGAGCCTCAGCTGGTGCTGGGGACAGCCAGCAGGGCTTAGGGCGCCCTGGCGGGAGGGCCGAGACACAGGGTCCCATATGAGGGCTTGGGAGTGGGGCGGGCTGCCACCGGAGGAGTTTAAGAGGGATGCAGGGATCCAGGGGATGGCGAAGAGCCGGGCAGGGCGTCAACCACGTGTTGCAGCTGCGGCCAGATGTGAGGGCGGGCGGGGGCGCCTCCCCTTGGTCCCCCCCCCGGCTCCCCCCGTGAATGCCAGTGCCTCTGTCCTCCCCCTCTTCCCCTCCCCCCCTCCTCCTCCCCGCCGCCGCCGCCGCTTGCGCAGCCCGGCAGCCCGATAGGGCCAAACACTAGAGAGACAGACCCACGGAGACTGAGACGCAGAGCGGGGAGCAACCGGGTGGGAGACACAGTAGCGTGCGGGCGAGCGGGAGCCCTGGAGGGAGGGCCAGCGGGAAGGAAGGGGAGGGGCGAGCTTGGAGCTGTCTTGGCCCTTTCATGTAATTTTTTTTTTTTTTTGCCAAGTCATCGGAGGCGCCGCAGCTGCCGCGGGGGGGCAGTGGGGGGGAAGGGGAAGGGGGCCCAGGAGCAGGGGGAGGGGGCGCGGGGAGAAGCCGCGCGCGCCGCCAAGTTGCGGGAGGTAAACAGGCCCCGCGCCCCCTCCCCGCTCCCGCGCTCCGGGCCGCCCGGGGCCGGGGGGAGGGGGTGTCCGCAGTGGCCTCCGGGGGGCGCGGGGTCCCGTGGCGGCCCCGGCCGGGGGAGCCCAAAGAGCGAGAGAGCGCCCACGCGGGAGGCTAGGCGAGGCAGGGCGCGGGCCGGGGCCGGGCCCGGAGCTGGGCTCCGAGCAGGGCTCCCCCGCCTCCGCCCCCCCAGGCCAGCCGGCCGCTGAGCCTTGAACTTGAACGCCGTCGCCCCGGAGGCAGCGGCAGCGCCGGGCCCCGGCAGGGGCAGCGCAGCCGCCGCCCGCGCCGCGGGGCCGGGGGCCCGCCGGGCTCCCCGCCGCCCCCCAGGCCTCCCCCTCCCGGGCCGCCGGCCGGGCCCCGCGCCCCTCCATGCACCACCTGCTGGAGCAGCCCGCGGACATGGCGACGGCGCTGCTGGCGGGCGAGAAGCTTCGGGAGCTCATCCTGCCCGGCGCCCAGGACGACAAGGCGGGCGCGCTGGCCGCGCTGCTGCTGCAGCTCAAGCTGGAACTGCCATTCGACCGCGTGGTCACCATCGGCACCGTGCTCGTGCCCATCCTGCTCGTCACGCTCGTCTTCACCAAGAACTTCGCCGGTAAGACCCGGCCCGGCCCCCGGGGTGGGGGGTGGGGGGGCGCGATGGGGGCCCAGTCCTCCATCCCTGCCCGGTCCCTCCCTCTCCTGGCCTTCTTTATCTCCTCCCGAGCTTTCCCTTCCCCTGCTCTTTGCACAAGATGGAAAGAAGGGGGAAGAGAGAGAGAAGCCCAAGGGTTGGGAAAGGACGTCCGGGCACCGGAGGGAAGGAACAGTTTGTTTGTGTGTGTGTGTGTGTGTGTGTGTGTGTGTGTGTGTGTGTGTGTGTGGTGTGTGTGTGTGTGTGTCTGCATAGGGGCACACGGGTGGTGTGCAGACCCTCCCAGCTTTCACCGTCCCAGCCTCTGAGTAGAGGCGGAGGGGCTCTCCACAGCTTCCATCAGTGGAGCTGAGCTTGCCAGGGAGAAAAAGCAGCCTGACGCTGGACAGCTCCAAGGGTGCTGAGGAGCAGAAAGCACAGTGCAGGCTGGCTGGGCCTTTGGGAGTTGGCTCAGAACCCCAGGGCCTCGGGCACTTCCCCACGGAATGGACTAAAACCCTTCCCTCGGGAGCCTCTAGCAGCCCTGGGTATCAGGCAGCATCCCTGGCCCCATCACCAGGAAACTGTTGCCTGGCAAGAGCAGCCACAGAAGGGGGCCCTCCTTCACTGGGCCCTGGGTTAGCTGGGGCCTTTCTATGCGCTCCTCTGTGCCCATGTGACCTCTTAAAATTACGTTCAGTCTTCCTTTGAGGAAAAGCCCTGCTACATGGTCACAGCCCTCTGGCAGCATAGAACCCCAGAGAGGGCTAAAGCTAGGCAGAGATAGCTGGCAGGCATCTGCCCATTCTCCATGCTGAAGGAGGGGAGATGCCAGAAAACACCTTAATTGGGTTTGGGAGCCCAGACATCCACCGTGCCACCCACCACACGTGCCGGTGTACAGAAATACCCGGGCACATACTTGCACTTACTCAGGGTACGTTACCCTGCTTTAAATAAATACATACCTTCCGTGGAGAAGGGGATTGGGACTAGCAGGCTGCTATTTCTTAGTCAAGAGAGAAACCAATCAGAGGGTAAATCAAGTGGCCAAGTTCCAACTTCTCTGGGGCCCCATTTGGGGAGGGGGCGAGACACGTGGTATCCAACGTTAGAGCAGCTGTCAGAACTGCCCATCTAGGACTCTGTTGTGCAAGGAAGGAGATAGGGATGTTTAGCTGGAGAAAAGGAGATGTGAGTGGGTGAGGAGGGAATGGGGGAGGGGGTGTAAATGACATGATAGCTGCCTTCAGGCATTTGAAAGGAAGAGGAATTCCCCTTGTTTTGCTTGGCTCTAGAAGGCTGGAGCACGCACTAGAGGGGAAAGGTGCCAAGAAGCTGAATCTGGCTGGATGGAATGAGGACTGTCTGATGATGACAGCCATCCAGCCATGGGGCAGGCTCACTTCTCTAGGTGTGAACTCCCTCACTACAGATGCTTAAGCATCAGCTGAATGACCCCCCTGACAAGGATGCTTCAGAGGGCATTCCTGAGCCAAGCAGGAGGCTGGACAAGATGACCTCCAAGGCCCTTCTAAAGGTCTCCTACTCTAAAATGAGGTCCTTTGATGTTTCAGAGAGCAGTAACAGTGCCAATGAGATAATGTGTGTGAAGCTTTTTGGAGACCTTGATGTCATATATGAGCCAGTTACTATTTTCATGATGTTCATAATTATTTTAATATGTGTCAGTTAGCTTTGTTTTTAAAATATCCACACGGCTCCCAGCTGCCAAAATGATCTTCCTGAGACTCCAGCTTGACCAGGTTCTGGTCTGCTCTGCCCAATTGCTGGGGGGGGGGGGATGCGCGCGCGCGCGCGCGCGCGCGCGTGTGTGTGTGTGTGTGTGTGTGTGTGTGTGTGTGTGTGTGTGTGTGTACTGGTGTGTAATCTCAGCACATAGAAGATCCAAGTAGATGGAAGGGATTCCCCTTAGAGGGGATGTGCTTTTAGCTGGGGGGATCAGTCAGAGGTGGCCCTGGAGCTGAGTCTGAAGGGAAGCTAGGGATTCCAAGAGGAGAGAGGGAGCATCCCAGATGCGGGACACAGCCAGTGCAAAGACACAAAGCTAAAGACAAAATGTGATGGATAGGAAACAGGAAATGGGCTCATTATGTGTGAAGGGGAATAATGTGAAATCAACCTGGGAAGATTCATCGGAGGCTTGGGAAGGGCTTTCGCCATCCCCTAGAGAAGTTTGCATTTTATCCTAGGGAACTCAGAATAACCTTAGTAATTTTAGGATAAAACATTAGCATCTCAAATGCAGCATGTCCAAACCAGAACTGATCCCCTCTCAACCCGCTCTTCCAATCAATTTCCCTATTTCTTTTAAGAAAACCTCCCTAGTTCCAAATGAGGAGCTTAACATGCAACATCCTCAGCATGGGGATCAAGGCCCCCCAGCCATCTGATCCTGATCTTATCTTGTGTCACAACACTGCCCTTCCTGCACTCCGTGTCCCAGCCAAACTGGCCTTGTAGCTGCTCTTCTCCAAACTCAGTTTCAGCTCCTTTTCCTACACATTTGCCCAGGCTGTGCCCCATGCCAGAAGTGCACTCTTTGCCCATCTCAGTCTCTCAGGATGCATGTCTTTCCTCAGGGGTCCCCAGCTGTCATATAGTTTATGAAGTATTTTCTTTTGTCATTTAACACATCTTTTTATTGTCTCTCCCACCTTCCTCCCCCTCTCTCATTTTAAAAATAAGCCTTCTGATGTACAGTCTAACAAAGCAAACTCCTGAATTGACCGTGTCCAAAAAACTGTCTCCTTCTGTGTCTTGAGTGCCTCCCTTCCAGACAGGAGGCTGGGCCTCTGCACCAGAGGTTTGACTTTTCGCTGACTGGAGCTCCCAAAGCCATCTCAAAGTCTTTCGGAGTTGTTTTCCTTCATAATGTTGTTGTTATGGTACCAATTGCTCTCCTGGTTCTGCTCACTTCACTCTGCCTTAGTTCGTTCAAGTCTTTTTGTCCCTAAAACCTTCCATTTTATCATTTCTTATGAGGTAATTATTTCCTTTTTTCTTTTTTTTTTATCTTTGTGGGGGTAATTATTTTCCATTCCATTCATATACCATGTTTTGTTCAGCCACTCCGTAATAGGTTGATATGCCCTTAGGTTTTTGGGGGTTTTGGGGGGGGATGGGGGGGTTTGGAGCTGTTGCAAAAAGAGCTGCTTTAATATTTTATACATAAGGGTCCTTTTTCTTCTTCTTTGACCTCAGTGAGGCAGAGGCCTAGTAGTGACATCCCTGGGTCAAAGGATATGCACAATTTAGTGATTTGGGGGAGGCACAGGTCCAAATTACTTTCCCGAATAGCTGGACCAATTAATTTGCAGCAACAATGCATTAGTGTGCCTGCTTTTCTGTAGCCCCTCCCACATTTGCCGTTTTCTTTTTTGTCGTCTTTGCCAATCTGATGGATATAAAGTACAACTCCAGAGTTGCTTTATTTTCATTTCTCTAATCATTTGTGATTTGGAGCACTTTTATATGGTTATTTCTTGTTTGGATTTCTTCCTCTGAAGACCATTGCTTCATATCCTTTGATCATTTATCAACTAGAGAATAACTCTTAGTCTTATACATTAAAATCAGTTCTCCCTACATAAAGCTGCTACAAAGGTTTTTATTTTTATAGTAACCTAATACTCTTCTAGTTTCAACTGGATTGATTTTGTTTGTGCCAAACCTTTTTCATTCCATATAATCAAATTAGTCTAGTTTGTCTTCTCGAATCTTCTCTTCTCTACTCTTTGTTTGGTCATCCATACATCTGTTAATTTCCTCCTTGCTCCTCTAATTTGATCATGATGTCACCCTGTATGTCTCAGTCACTTAGCATTTGGACCTTATCTTGGCCTGTGGTGTGAGATGTGGGTCTAATTTCTGCTGATCGTTTCATGAAGCATTTTCTGATCCCCCAATTGTTGACACTCTCCTGGCTTCCTTTCCTCTCCCTCACTCTCAGCTGCTCAGACACCTTTATGTGCCTCTGACAACCTAGGGAGGCAGGGAGTTACTCCCACCATCTGCAACCCCATTTTGCAGATGAGGAAACTGACTTGTCCCAAACCATGCATCAGTCATAGGTCATGGGATCCATCCTTTGCAAACGGACCCACCAAGTGGTTGTCTGGGCGCCACTGGAGCTCCCCTGAGAGGGAGCCCATTCCCTTTTGGGACTGCTCTGGGGGGTGGGGCCAGAGTAAGGGAGGCAATCCTCCCAAAGCAGTCTGTTCCAGTTTGGGACAGCCCCAGTTATTAAGGTCTTTTCATCAAACCTAAATTTGCATTTCGGTGCCTTCTCCCCAGAGCCTCTAGCTCTGCTCTCTGGTGCCCAGCAGACATATCTAATCCTTCTCCCAAGCGGCCATGCTTTAATTATGGGAAGTCAGTGATTAGCCCTCACCCCCTTTCCTCATCTCCGCCCCGCCCCCCACGACATCTCTTTTCTAGGCCAAACATTCTCAGTGCCTTCAGTTGATCCTGGCACAGGTTGGTTTGAAAGTCCCCGACCCTTTCCACCCCCCATTCCTGCCCAGCCATCTTCCTCTGGGCATGCCTCTTTGCTGATGCCCTTCCTAAAATGTAGAATCCAGACCCCATCAGGAGAAGCACCCACTGCTCCTGATGGGGTCTGGTGGGGCTGATGGGCAACGCCTCTCTTAAAGGGAGCTGGAGGCTGCATTCGCTCATTCTGCCGACCACCACTGAGCCTGCAGGCCCCTAACACTGGCCCAGCCTCAGCTTCCCCTGCCCCAGAGAAGCAGAGCCCCACACCTGCATCTGAGCTTGAGGGTACCCCCCCCCATATTTCTTTGTAGCATCTTTGATTTCCCACCTTCTTCATCACTGCCTCCTTTGCCTCACTATTCAGTCTATGCTTTCTGTGGACTGGGTGGAATCCCAGGAGTGCTCAGTTCCCAAGCCATGGCAGGGGAGAACAAGCCACAGGGAGACCACCCATTCATCTGCAGCACCTGCTTTGTTTCAGGCACTCTATCAGGCTCTGGGAATACCACGAGGAAACATTCCAGCCCTCAAGGAACCTATCCTTATATCAGGGGAGATACATGTGTACGATCAGTGAGCGCAGTCTTGGGAGGAGGGCATGGCCTGTAGTGCGGCTGGAGAGATGGACAGAGACTTCCTGGAAGAGGCAGTCCTGGGGCTGAGCCTCAAAGGAGCTCGGGCATTCTAAAGAGGGGCAAGTGGAGGAGAGAAAGCATTCCAGGCACAAGGGAAGGAGCAGCCTATGCAAAGGCCAGGAGGCAAGAGATGGCATTTCCATCGTGCCTGAGGACAGAGCAAGCCTGGATTGTAGGGACTGTGGAGAACAGTGTGCACTAAGACTGGGAAACAGGCAGACGACAGATTGTGGGGGACTTTCAATTGTGAATCAAGACTATAGGGAACCACAAGAGTTTATCAGGCAGGGGAGGGACGTGGCCAGACCTGGGCTTTAGGCAAATCACTTTGGCAGCCAGGAGGATGGAGGCTGACTTGGAGTGGGGAGAGACAAAGCAGGAGACTACTGCATAGTCCAGGAGGAAGCGATGAGGGCCTGGACTAAGGTGGTGGTCATGAGGTGAGTGCAGAGAAGGGGAAGGATTGGAGAGACGTTGTGGAGGGCCGAAACAGAACAATGTGGCAAGTGATTGCATATGGAGGGTGAGAGAGAGTGAGGAGCAGAGGAGGACACACTGACTAGGAGCCTGGATGACTGGGAGAAGAGTGATCTCCTTGACAGTAATGGGAAATTTGGGAAGAAAGAAGGGTTTGAGGGGACGGATAATAGGCTCCACTTTGAACCTGTCGAATTTGAGATGCTCGTAGGCTATCCAATTGGAGATGTCCAAGAGGCACTAGATCTAGGAGTCATCTCTGTAGAGGTGATCATCAAACCCACAAGAGATGATGAGATCACCAACTGAGAGAGTGCAGAGAAGAGGGCCCCAGCCAGAGTCCTGGGAGGCAATGAAGCCTGTGGCTGTGACCCCCAGAGAAGGAGTAGGCTCAGGCCTGAGGTCAAGAACTGCTTCAGCCAGTGATGGCCAACGGAACAGACAGAGGCAAACCTTTTTCCTGCTTTGTTTCCCCCAAAGGAGAATTTTCAGGCTCTCCTACAGCTCTTGGGAAATGGGATCCATTAATAAAGAGGCATTTCCCCCAAAAGGAGCTGGATTTGAGATGCATCCAGTTAGAGAAATCCAGCAAGGATTTGGTGGCACAGCGAGAGGAGGGGCACAGGAGGGGGGCAGCCTTAACCATCTTTGTGTTTGGGAGGTAGGCTAGTGACCATTTGGGGCAAGGCAGGAAGTGAACTCGGTCATCAAAGAATGCCCCCTGTCCTTCCTTCTCTGTCAGGCTAAGGACACTTGTAGGCTGATCCCTACCTTCAAGGAAACAAAGGATGAGGAGACATAGCTCCTGCCCTTGGTGGGGGGGGATCCCTGGTCTCAGCTGGGCATTCAGCTCTGTGCTTGGGGCTGCAAACATTCAACCATCTCATTCTCTCAATTCTATTTCCACAAAGCCCATTCCTGCAGAGTATGTGTGGGGACTGTGTCTATCTGCTTTGGGCTTTGTGCCCCCACTACCTAGTACGTAGTGCTGCTCTTTAGCCATCACAGTTGTATCTGGCCCTGTGTGATCTAATTGGAGTTTTCTTGGCAAACATACTGGAGTGGTTTGCCATTTCCTTCTCCAGCTCATTTTATAGACAAGTGACTAAGGCAGACAGGGTGAAGTGACTTGTCCAGGGTCACACAGCTACTAGGTGTCTAAGGCCAGATTTGAACTCAGAAAGAGGAGTCTTCCTGACTCCAGGCCTGGCACTCTATCCCAGCTGCCCATACATAGCAGGCCCTTAATAAGTAACTATTGCTGAACTGAATGTCACTTCCGTTTTCTCCTTCATATCCACAACCCCCACCCTAATTCACACCTTCCTCATCTCTTGTCTGAACTACTGTAACACCTTCCTGATAGGCTGTCAGGCCTCCAGTCTCTTCCCCCAAACCATCCTGGCCACAGTGTCCATGTAATCTGTCTAATAGGTACGTGCCTAATCATATCAGCCGCCTGCTCTCCCGGCCGCCATATCACAATGGTGATTTGTCCATACCAGCTGGCAGGTACCTAAATGCCCTCAATCTTTTTTTCAACTGGACATCGAACAAGCTTCCCTTTCCCACTTTGTACCTGTGCAGCTGATGTTTTTGAAACCAGCTGTAGGATTTTGTATTCATCCCTATTCATTTTTACCTCTAAGCCCAATTTTCTAACCTATCAAGACTTTTTTTATTCTGTCACCCAGTGCATTAGCTGTGCCTCTGAGATGTGTCATCTATAGATGTAGTGAGCATACCTCTTATCCCTTATACGAATCATTGACCAAAAAAAACATTTCATAGCACAAATCCAAATACATATCCCTGGGGCACTCCACTGAAGACCTCTTCATGAGTTGACATCCAACCTAGCCTATTGACTAGTAATGAATGCTCCTCATTATATTTCATTCCCATTCTGTCCACAATGATGACATGAAAGAATGTGTCATATACTTTGCTGAAATCTCAGTTAACTCTATCTGCAGCATTTCCCCAGTCTACTAGCCTAATAATCCTGCTCCCTAAAAAGGAAAAGAGGTTGGTCTTGTGCAACTTGTTCATGGTGAGTAATGCTGAAACTCCATGATCACTGCTTCCCTTTCCAGATATTTACTAACCATCCTTTTAATGCTATGCTCTAGAATTTTGCCCAAATCAAAACCAGACTCCCTACTTTGTCATTTACAGACTCTAACCTCTCTCCTTTTTTGGAAATCAGGACATTTGTCCTTCCATTTCTTCAGCTCATCTTCTACCATCTCTCCCACACAACTATCTGAGGGTCCTATGGGAAAGTGGCCTATGTCAAAGTCGGGGCACTAGCTTTAGAGTCCTTGGGCATCAGTTCAAAATTACAGCTGTGCAGCTTAGGGTCAAAGGTTCCTAGGGCTATACTCAAAAGACACCTTAGAGGTCATCTACCCCCTCCTCCCAATTTTACAGATGTACAAATAGGCACTGAGTGACAGACTCAAGGTCACACCAGTACAGGGGTCAGAATTGGGTGTTCTTTTCACTGTCTGCTGTCAGTGTAGCTGGGGCAAATCTCTACACGGGCCTCACTTCCTTCATCTGTAAAATGAGTAAGTTTTACTATATGATCTCTTTATAGTCTTGTTTTGGAAACTTCAGTAATATGAGGAATTAGTATTATTATAGGAGGACATTTCAGAGAATGGCCCTGGGTCATTTGTAGTTGAAGTCATGTACCTTCCATGGAAGAAGGTGGGGGAGAATGAGAGGGTAGGCTCCCAGACTGTGCAGCCTGCCAGTCCTTGTAGTGGCTGGGCCACTTGGGGTTCCTCCTCTCCCCGGCCGAGGTCTGCCCTGGGCCAGTCTCCGAGTTCATATAAAACCCTGAACCCCAGGGACAGGTGGGATGGGGATAAAGGAAAATCATCGGTCCCCTCGTTGGACATGAATACTGTGTGAATGTTTCTTTCAGTGCCCACCCCAATCTCTGCCCTCCCTTTGCCAGGAGGGATGAGCACTGTGGACCCCTCCCCATCCCTGCCATGACCCTGAGCCGTGTCTCTCCTCTCTGCCCTCCAGAGGAACCCATCTACTGCTATACCCCTCACAACTTCACCCGTGACCAGGCCCTCTATGCACGTGGCTACTGTTGGACAGAGCTTAGGGATGCCCTGCCCGGGGTGGACTCCAGCCACTGGCCCTCCCTCTTCGAGCACAAGTTCCTGCCCTATGCCCTGCTGGCGTTTGCCGGCATCATGTACGTCCCCGCCCTGGGCTGGGAATTCCTGGCCTCCACTCGCCTCACCTCCGAGCTCAACTTCCTTCTCCAGGAGATCGACAACTGCTACCATCGGGCAGCGGAGGGCCGGGCCCCCAAGATTGAGAAGCAGATCCAGTCCAAGGGCCCCGGCATCACGGAGCGGGAGAAGCGGGAGATCATTGAAAACGCCGAGAAGGAGAAGAGCCCGGAGCAGAACCTGTTTGAGAAGTACCTGGAGCGCCGGGGCCGCAGCAACTTCCTGGCCAAGCTGTACCTGGCGCGGCACGTGCTCATCCTGCTCCTCAGCGCGGTGCCCATCAGCTACCTGTGCACCTACTACGCCACGCAGAAGCAGAACGAGTTCACGTGCGCGCTGGGCGAGCCTCCCGACGGCCCCCGGGGCTCGGTGCGTGTCAGCTGCAAGCTGCCCTCGGTGCAGCTGCAGAGAATCATCGCCGGCGTGGACATCGTCCTGCTCTGCTTCATGAACTCATCATCCTCGTCAACCTCATCCACCTCTTCATCTTCCGTAAGAGCAACTTCATCTTCGACAAGCTGCACAAGGTGGGCATCCGCACGCGCCGCCAGTGGCGCCGCTCGCAGTTCTGCGACATCAACATCCTGGCCATGTTCTGCAACGAGAACCGGGACCACATCAAGTCGCTCAACCGCCTGGACTTCATCACCAACGAGAGCGACCTCATGTACGACCACGTGGTGCGCCAGCTGCTGGCCGCCCTAGCCCAGTCCAATCACGACGCCACCCCGACGGTGCGGGACTCGGGCGTGCAGACGGCGGACCCCAGCGCCAACCCCGCCGAGGGCGACGCGGGGGAGCCCCCCGTCGTCAAGCGCCCCCGCAAAAAGATGAAGTGGATCCCCACCAGCAACCCCCTGCCCCAGCCCTTCAAGGAGCAGCTGGCCATCACGAAGGTGGAGAACCACAAGGCGGACAAGGCCAAACCCGTGAGGAGGAAGACGGCCACGGACGCGCTCATTGCGCCCCTGCTGGATGCCCGAGCTGCCCACCACAAGGGGGCCGGGCCTGCAGACACCCCGGCCCCCGGCCCCTCCTCCGCCCTGCCGTCCGCGAGCAGCGAGAAAAAGCACGCCAGGCATTTCTCCCTGGACGTCCATCCCTACGTCCTCAGCAGCAAGAAGCCTAAAGCGGAGCTTCCGCGCATTGCTGCCCTGCCCGCCTCCAAGAGCCAAGAGGGTGCCTTCCTCACCCAGGCGGAGGACTGCGGAGGGACCCTCAGCATGGCGCCTGCCAAAGGTAGGAGGGTGGGGCAGGGGTGGGGCACAGAGAGGTCGACTCAGGGATGGACAGGATGGGAGCGGGCAGGCAAGGACAACCAAGACCCGCAGTTCATTACCGAAAAAAAAAAATTAAGGCCGTCATCCAAAAAATAAGAGACGATAATTCCCTCCTCACCCGAGGACGAGACATGCAAAGGCCTCTGTCCTTCTGAACATAGCCAGTAGTGAAAGGACTAGAAATAGGAATGGGGGACTTCGATGTGCCAGAAAACCCCTGAGACCCTGAAGGCTGTGTGAGCACTTTACTCAGGAGAACAGGTTCAGAGACTCTGGGCCAGAATCATAGGAAGGACCTAAAATCAGGTGACTGCCTCGGAATTAGGGTTAGGGTGATTTTTTGTTTAGTTTAGCTTTATCTTCAGCACCTTAGCAGGAGAGGGTGGAGCCAGACAAGAGGACCAGCCTGGGGGGATTATGGGGGCCAGGCATCCTCTGAGCATCCCCAGCAGTGCCATAGGCCTGTGCCACCCAGGTGCTCACCATCGCCACACAGAGCCTTGGAAGACGAGAAGTTTGTGTTCAGTAGCCTGTGCACAAGGAGGGGGACAGACACATGGGAAGCAGGAGAAAGATCTCCATTCAGAGGGTCAAGAAGCATTTTAACATGGTTCAGCAGTTGAAAGGAAGGAGTGCCTCTGGTTGGAAAGTTCATTGATGGGGGACAGAGTATTCTTTGATGATACTTGGCAAATAAAATAGAACAGTCCTTGTTCTTTTGAAGTGGTCTCATCCTCCTCGGTCAGTCAGATGCAGAGAGGATCCAGAAACCCTTAGGGACCCTCAGTCATTTATTTGGGAGTTCGAAATTCTTTCAGAGTACACTCAGTGGCCGTTTCTCAGGGGGTGCCAAGGAGGCTGGTTTAACCAGCAGATGATGGAAGAAGGAAGATGTAGGCAGAGAGCATCTCCAGTGTCTGACCAGAGGGAACAGATGCCTAGGAGTCTCACTCGTGTAGAATCCAAATCTCAGACACTTTCCTTCCCTGGGCATCTGTTCTTGGCATTAGAGCCCTTGCAGGACTTGGCTCCTAACACAGCAAACATTCCTGACTCTGTAGCAGGAGACAGGATGGGCCAGCTACAAGGTGGTTCCCTGAAACAGCCCCATTAGTAAACCAGTCAGTCAACACACACTTACTGTGTGCAAGCCTATCAGAGAACTGAAACTTCATCCACCACCAAGTATGGTTTCTGCTGAGTCGGTGCTTCCATTAGTGGTGGGAGACAGCTGTGAGTGCACAAGGCACAGATTTACCTCCCTCCTAGAGGGAGGACATGGAAGGGCTAGAGGGAGGCACCTTTCCTTAAAGTGATGGAAGAAGAGTTCCAAAGGAAAAAGGAAAAGGAAGATGGCCCCCAGGGTCCCTTCAAGCTCTGCTAGAATCCTTTCATTCTTGGGGAATCCTTACCTGTATCAGGAGGGTGGAAGATTGCAGCACAGGGAAGGAAGGGAAGGACCGTGGAATATGTTTGGAGCAATGTAGTAGATATGGGTATCGTCCCAAAGAGGGTGAACCTTGATCCCAGAAGAACAAGCTTCGATTGCCAAGGAATCTGAGTCCTCAGGGCCACTGGAAAGATGTCTAGCACCCAGCACCCGTCAGAGCAAGAAGAGACAGATGTGGTGCTTGGTGGTGGTTGGTGAGCCTTCGTGAATGGAACAGTCAAGAGGCATTCTCCCTTCCCAGGGCACATACTCTGGAGGTGACCCCTTCCTAAGGCTTGCCGAGCCAGGGGATGCTGTGCACTCTTGGTGATTTATGTGGGAACAAGGAACACCCCAGAATGCTCCTATGAAGCATGCCTGGGGAAGATGAAATCCTGAGTGAGAAACCAAAGACCTTAAGACAAGTAAGGTTCTTCTTACTACTGCTGGCTGAAGGTGGAAGCTTAGTAAGAGAAGGTGACCCACTGTCAGAGAACGAAATGGGACTGCTGGAACGTACCGGCCTGGCGGCTTGTGGCTGGGGTGAAGTGTGTCTCATAAGCACCATTAAAATCAGTTTCTTTAGAGTTGCTTGCTACTATTTGTCCTTCATTCTTTTTTTTTTTTTGGCTAGGAAATGGGGTTAAGTGACTTGCCCAGGGTCACAGAGCTAGTAAGTGTTATGTGTCTGAGGCCAGATTTGAACTCAGGTCCTACTGGCTCCAGGGCCGGTGCTTTATCCACTGCACCACCTAGCTGCCCCATGTCCTTCATTCTTGAAGGGGACCATGATATCAGGGAGGTGATGCCATGACATGCAGGTGAATTAGATTTAAGTGAGGGAGCATTGTGTAAATCACCAGCCTCATTTTCTCCTTCAGAGCCATCTGGGTCCAGTGGCCAGATGTGGATCAGGACAACTGGAGATGGCCCAGGATGTGGTGGGGGACCTTGACCTTTTCCAGCTAAGGTCTTTAACAGAACTCAGTTGGACTGAGGCAGCACTCTTTCATCGATTACAGCTTAATGAAAAATGAGGCAAAGAATGGCCTCTTAAAAAAAAAAATTTGTGAGGAGAAGACCCTCAAGGTTTCTGGCAAAAAAAAAATTGTTATTTACATTCATTCTGAGGCAGTCAGGCCCAAACGCTGACCAAGTAGGGCTTAGTCTTTGACCAAAGTTATTTGGGGTTAAGGCTAGTCTTTAAGAGAAAAAAATGAAAACAAGAAAAAGAAGAGGGAGGAAGGAAGGAAGGAAGGAAGGAGGAAGGAAGGAAGGAAGGAAGGAAGGAAGGAAGGAAGGAAGGAAGGAAGAAGAAGGAAGGAAGGAAGAAAGGAAGGAGAGGTGGAATAGGACTCGTGTGAGAAATATATTCATGGAAGGAGAGCTATGAAGTGGAGAGAGATGGAGGCGCCATGCAGAAATGTTTTGTGAGAGGGAGGAGATCAGAAGTGATGTGGCTGGAATCCATCACAGATCACCCGGTCACAATGAAGAAATGAAAGATAAGTCCTAGAAAATGACCCAGAAGCCAGCATGTCCACTTGATAGAGAAGGGATGGAAGACCTCAACTCTTCTTACATCTCCGGTGTTCTGGTGCTTACTCTGCCAAAAGTCGCATCACTAACTTCTCAATTTGGCTTTAACAATCAAGGAATCTGGTGGAGGAAGTGACTGAGGGGAGCTACTAGTCTGGAGCTAATTCTGACTGGCAAAGATGAACCAGCTGGTGCTGAAATAGAAATGACAGGAACCTTGGAAGGAGCCCTGCACGTTCAAGTTGGTGATAGATGAGTAGGGGGAAGAAAGCTGCATCTGAGAGTTTCAGAAAGTAGATTTCAAAGCCTTTGTAGGAAGGATAGCTGGTAACTCATGGCCTAAAACTCTCCAGGGAAGTTGACCTGAGAAGAATGCGATGTTCTTCCAAAGCATGACATTCTAACAACACAAGTACAAAGGACTCCAATCAGGAATAAAGGGAAAGTTCCCTAAATTGACTAATGTCGGATATAGGAACTCATTGGCCAACTCAGATTTGAGAAAGGCAATGTACAGAAAATGAAGAAGGGCATGATTGAAGACAAATATTAAAAAGCAGCAGTAGAGGGCTAAAGGCCAGAAGGAGCTGAGGCCAGCTGAGAAAGCTCAGACAACAAAGAGGGTCTTCCCATGTTAGGGATGAAAAGAAGATTGAAGAAGGGAAGACACTGCTCAAGGTAGATGGGATAATGACTAAAGGAGGCAATGGAGGAAAGGAATGACTACTTAATTCTTTACTTCTGTTTTCTTTATAAAAGAAGAATGATTTTCTGATTGGAAACAGAAAAGCAAAACTGACCAACAGTCAATTAAAATCTGAGATAAATGTGGAAACAGCAAGAGAGGAGAAACAAGGTGACTTCCGAGAAGTCGTTACCAGGCTACATACTAGGGGATATAATGATGTAATTGTTAAACAGCTCTTGGTGATTTGTGGGAAGGTATAGAGAATGGCAAAGGTACCAAGGTCCTGGAGAAAGGTAAATGTTGTCCTAATATTCATAAAGGGGGAAAAGAGTTTCTTCAAATGATAAGCTAATGAACCTGACTCGGGTTCCCATCACAAGTCTACAAGATACAGTTAAAGGAGTGGCAGGTCAAGTTGGAAAGGGAAACAGCAATCACTGAGAGCCCGCCTTGCTTCTTCTAGAACAGGTCATGCCATTTCCTATTTTGACAAGGTTAATGGATTGGTCAATTAGAGATATGCCCTAGATAAACTTTAACTAGATTTCAGCAAAGCATTTAACCAAGACTCTCGTGGCCTCCTTGGACAAGATGGAGAAATGTTGAGCTAAATGGTAGTGCGGTTAGATAGATTCAGAACTCAGTGGATGCCTGAATCCTCAGATTCATGAATGCATTATGTTGGATGGCGACCTCTAGAGGAGCCTCCCAGTGGTCTCTGTACTGGGTCTTATCCAATCTAAAATGCTTACCCATGACTTTCATGTAGGCATAGACTATATGCATGCCAAATCTGGGAGGAGGAGATAATATGCCCGATGATGATAGGGTCAGAATTTAACATTTTTGATATGCTAGAATGATAGACTAAATCCAGTAAAATGAAATTTAATAGGGAGAAGGTATAAAGTTGAACACACAAGCTCAATATCTCACCTGCACATATACTGGCCTGGTGGCATATAGCTACACAACATTTCTTATGAAAAAGTTCGAGGAGTTTTGTGGACTGTACGCTCACTACAAATCAGCGGGGCGATACAGTACCCTCTCTGCCCTCAAAATACGTGGTCTTCAGCTGCCCAAAGGAGGTGCTCAGGAATAAGGAGGGTGCAGTCCTGGTCTGACCACGTCTAGAGCTCAGGACTCCATGAGAGTGCTGGCAAACTGGGGGGCAGTGGTATCAAACCCACATGGAAATAGGCACATATTGCCCTAGACAGCCTCAAACCAGCATTGTCTGTGTTGTATTGCATTTCTGTTTAGTTTGTTAAACATTTCTTAATAATATTTTAATCTGGTTCAGACCTACTAGGGGGCTTGGGGGGCCACACAGGGGCTCGGGCCAAGAGCCCCTGGACAGCCCTGCTGTAGATTATCCAGAGAAGGGCAGCTGGGATGGGGAGAAAGCCAGGGACCAAGCAGACTAAATGAAGATCGCTTGAAAGCACTGGGGATGTTGTGCTTAAAGAGAAGACTCAGGATTTGGGGCCCTCTTCAAGCGTAGCAGTCCTGATGGTTACAGGACTTTCTAAGGCTTACGAAGCCCCTACAGACATGATTTCATTTGAGCCTCACAATAACTTTGTTAGGTAAGTACTCTGGCTGTTATTATCCCCGTTATATAGATGATGACACTGAGGCCCAGGAGAGGGAAGGGACTTGCCCAGAGTTAGAACACCAGTAAGTATGTGAAGGGGAACTCCAGCCCACATCTCTCTGGGTTCCACACCCAGCGTGCCTTCCCCTTGGAAAAGACCCTGGTGGTGGGGAAAGATTGAAGGCAAAGGGAGGATGAGATGGAGAGAGAGTGTTATGGAAGCAATGAGCACGGGCGTGGACAGACTTTGGGAGATAGTGGAGGACAGAAGGGCCAGGTGTGCTGTGGTCCATGGGGTCACAAAGAGTCTGGCACAGCTGACCAACAACCCCACCCCCTCCCACCCAAGTTTGTCTTTAAAAGCTTAGTGGAAGGGGCAGCTAGGTGGTGCAGTGGATAGAGCTCTGGCCTTCAAGTCGGGAGGACCTGAGTTCAAATCCAGTCTCAGACACACAACACGTAGTAGCTGTGTGACCCTGGGCAAGTCACTTAACCCCAATTGCCTAGCAAAAAGCAAAAAAAAAAAGTTTAATGGAGAAAACATTCCACAAAGCTTGCCCTGGGCACCCCAATTGCCAGTTACTGCTCGGACATAGTGTCGCCTTAAGAGAGTCCTTCCTCAGTTTGAGGGAGAGCCATGAGCCCTGCCCTCAGAGAGCCCCAGGCCGGGGGAATGAGGCAGCCTGTCCGGTCAGCGGTCAGCCCAGCACTACAGAACAGGGCAGCTCTCGTCACTCAGTACCCTGACGTGCTCCAAGGACCATCTCAGCAGTTTTCTTCAGCCACCTAAATGGATCCAGGCTGGTGAGGCCTTTGCAGGCATCCCTGCTGTCCTAGGAGCCTGGAACCCAAGGCTCCCTTTCCTTGGACCACTGCTTTAAGGTGCTGACTCAGGGCACACGGTTCTCTTGAGCACCGGGCCCTGCTAGAATGTTTCCTGTGGATCCTGGGTCGTGCATAAGCTCCGTCAGAGCCCCATTCTTCAGCAGTTCTCCAGCAATGCTGGAAGGGGCCAGTAAGCACCACCAGCACTAGAAGGTCCCCAGAACATCAGCCTTACCGCTTTCTAGGAGGGCCCAGTCCCTCCCATGGGCATGTCTGCCATATTTGTTTATAGCGGGCTTGGTGGCTGCCTAGTGTAGAGGGAAGAGGGTTGGATCCTAAAGTCACAAGAGCTGGCCACTTGCTTGTGTGACCTTGGGCAAACCACTGAACCTCTTTGGGCCTCAGTTTCCTCATTTGTAAAGTCAGGAGGTTGAAATGGATGCTGTCTCTAAGTCCCTTCTAGGTGGTGGTGTTTGGGGCCTTCCTCAGCCTCCTGAGGCTACGAATAAGCATTCTTTTGGAAGGCCTTTAGCTGGTGACTGGCTGCTCCCAAGGGGAGTTTACAGGATCCAGCCTTAAACCTGGCCTTTCCTCACGGCTGACCCAGATGCACTGTCCAGGCTGGTCAGCGCCTCTGCCCAGAAGGCATCCTCAGGCCCTTTGCCTTTGGCCTCATGATTTTCACATTTCACAATTTGTGACTCTTCCCTGGCCATCACTAAGGTCCAACCACAGGCCCGGGAGCTAACTTCCTGGATCTTCCGGAGTTCCTGGGCTCTGGACCCCCTTCCCCTGCCACTGCCACCCTCTCCAGGTGACCTTCTGGGCACTTGCCTCCCCCTTCTTTTCATCACGTGCTTCCAAATCACACAAGTCCCATAGGCCCATAACAGGTGGCCCTAAACACGCAACAGCCAGGCCTTCTACCCAGGCTGTGGCATGGAGCCGCTTTGGGATCCCGGGAGAATGATGCGTCATCCCCCGCTCCAAGTACCTCGCACTGCTGCACTCGGGATCAAGCTCACTAGTCCATTCTATGATGCCAGCCTCATGAAGCCAATTAGGAAGTCCACGGCATGTCTATCTTAGGGCATTTCCTTAAGACAGAGAGACAACATGATAGAATGCTGGGCTTGGAGTCAGGGTGACCTGGGTTCTAATCCTACCTCAGGTGCTTACTTTGTGAGCTGGAGCAATTCATTAACTGTTTTGTGCCTGAGACAGACAAACACTGTAACAAGCTTCCTCCTGTGTAAAATGAAGGGAGTGGCCCCCAAGGTCCATTCAGCTCTGAATCTGTGATCCTCTCTCATCCCCATCTGACTGCTCTCCCCACCAAAACAAACAAAAAAACAAGGAAAAGATGAAGGCATACCAAATCAGAATTCCCATGTCGGGTGAGCCTTCAGTTTTACAAAGCTCTCCCTGCACCCCTGCACCCCAGCCCTGCGCAGGAGGGAGTGTTGTGATGAGAACTCATTCCAGCGAGTGCTTTTGGTCACAGGGGAATGGAGTGAGAAAATGTGGATGTCTGGGTGCAGCCCCTCCCCCTGCTAGAGGTACAGCTGAGAGCATCTTGGGGGGAGAGGTCTGTGGTCTGGAAGAAGATAGAGACACCTTGACACTGGCATTTTTGATCCTGTTTTCAGATCCCCCAGGCCTAGAAAAAGAAATCCTGTACCCAGTGGAGCCGTGCCGGGCCATGCCACCCCCTCCGGGATCCTTCCATGCCTGCCCTCCCACCACAACTCCTGGAGTCCCTGGGCCCATGACCAATGTCACTCCTGGCCTTGTGAAGCCTGAGTCCATGGCCATCTTGAGCCACAACTCAACCCACCCCCTGCTGCACATCAGCACCTTGTATGAGGACCACCGGGCGGAGGAGGAAGAGGAAGCCCCACCTCGAGCCTCCCCTGACATGGCTGACCTCATCACCATCCCCCCCCCAAAGCAGATTCTCATTGCCACCTTTGAGGAGCCCCGGACAGTTGTGAGTACTGTGGAATTTTAGAGACAGGCAGCAAGGATCTCATCCCCAAGTCACCCCAGTACTCATAACCACCCCACCTCCAGCTCTGGGTCATCATCAGGACCTGCCCCTATACCCCCCCCAAACCTGACAAGAATCCGGCCACTGCATGCCCTCGCCAAGATCCCCTGAAGCACTAGACCCAAGCACGAGTCTCCCACTAGACCCGCTGCCAATGCCCAGGGGCAGCTAGGGATCCTGCCTTCCCCATACACCCAGACACCTCTGCCCCTGCTTAGCTACTGCTGCCTTGGTTCCCTGACCTCCGGCGTCTGGGGACTAGAGAGCGGCCTGTCCGCAGCCACTGTGGTTCTCAACGTGCACTTTAGCCAACGTTCCCTTCCCAACGTGGCCAATACCACCCAGAGCCACCTCCCAGGCCTTGCCTGACCCTGCCTGGCCAGCCTGTGCTTCCTACAAGAGTCTCTAAGACCCTGGCCCAGCCCAAGCCACCTGTCACCTGTGCTTTCTGAAAGCCACAGAGACTCATGGCTTAGCCCACAGGGCCTTCCCCATGGCCTCATGAACACCAGATATGCAATACAGTTCTGGGGCCCAGTCTCCCCTTGGGGTGGGAGGGGATGAGGGAAGGACTGCCAGGGTAGGTGCTCAGGATTGGTCCTGTCCTCGGGTGGGTTTGGGCCAAGGCCCAAAGGCTTCCCCCAACCCCAAGAGGAGCAATGAGTGTCCCTGGGCATGGCCAGATGAAGAGTTTATTTTTTTAATCTATTTTGTCATTAACGTAGGGTGCTGGGGTGGATGGATGTCTCCTCCCTGGACATGGAAGGGTGGAAGCAAATTCATTTGGGGAATGAAAGGGGGGATCTGGAAGGGTGGAGACATTCGGAAGGTTCCCCACCCTTGCTGGGCCCAGGATGGCCAGTCACAGCCCACCAGCTACCCTCAGCCTGGGGCTATCCCACATGGTGCAGTGATCCACCCCAAATCATTCCCTCTCAGGAAGGTTCAGTCTTCCTCCTAAGGAATTCTACCCCCCATCCCCCAGCTTTATCACCCTGGCCTCCCCCAGGGCTCAGTACCTCCAGGGTGATGGAGGTTCCCACCCTCCCAGAGCTCAGGCCTCTTCCATAGCTCAGTGTCCTACCCCAGCCTCTCCCACCCTGGGCTCAGTGTCCTGCCTGGGGGCCAACCCCCCCATCCACCCAGTGCCCCGGCTCAGTGATCCTCTTGGGGGCTATCCCCCACCTAACACCCCCCAGGCTTAGTGTCCTGTCTGCCCCCCCCCAGTGTCCTACCTGGGCCAGCATCCCCTCCCCATCCCACCCACCACCTCCAGGCTCAGTGTCCCACGGGGCCCCCTCCCCCTTTCAATTGCACTTTCTCTTTACCACTTGACATCCATGTGTTTTCATTCTGTTATTAATGCTGTAATCGATCATTTATAATTCGGGTTTGGAAACTCAGAGCCGAGTTTTCACCAGAACGAGAGGGAGGAGGAGGAGGAAGGGTGTGGAGAATGTATAAACCGTATCTTGCAATAACGGCCCGTCCGAGCCCCACAGTCCCCGGAGTTCCTGCCAGGCTGCTTCTGCGGGTGCTCCCCGGTGGGGTGGGCCAGGGCTGGGGAGGGGAGGAAAGGGGAGCTGCCCTGGAAGGGGAGTGAAGGCTTACCTGGCTCTAGCATCTATTACCTCAGACACGGCGACGGAGAGCAGTGTTGAACAAAAATAGCACTAAATATAGAAATAAATATTATTCTAACAACAGGTCCGCATGGTGTCCTCAGCTGGCCTGCCCCGGAGAGACCAAGGATGGGACAAGGTGGGTCAGCCCGGCCGGGAAGCCCTCCAGGTTTGCCCACACTGTTCCCCTTCCTCTCTTCAGTTGCCATGTGTCCCCCAGTCTCCTCCTGAAGCCAGGCCACTAAATGTGGTGGGGCCTCAGAGAAGGAAGATTGATTATAAGCTTGGGAGGTGGGGGGAGGGGAAGGGAAGGAAAGAGGGGAGTGAGGCACCAAGGAGGGCTTCTTGGAGGTGGGGGGCCCTGAACTGGGTCTGGGTGAGATCAATCAGCCAGGGATTGGGAAACCAAAAGAAAGCAAAGCCGGGGAGCTGGCTGGAGCGTAGGGTGCAACCTGGGGTCACAGACGAATGTTGGGTTTGGAGGCAGAGCCCCTTTGGTAGCTGTGTGCTTCAGGCCAGGCATTTCCCGATCTGCACAATGGAGCCAGTAAGTAGCTTCCTGGGCCACCTCGGAGAAAGTGCTGTGTAAATCTTCGGAGCCTGGGGAAGTGTAGGTCAGGAGGGAAGACAGGTCAGAGCCGACCTAAGGAGACAGAGAGGCCTTTCTTCTACAGGCTGTGGGAGCAGCTGGAGATTTCTGAGTGAAGTGGGTGGATAAAGCACAGGAGAGCAGCAGGGAACCCGGGGAGGATGGATCACTGCAGAGAAGGGATAAGAGCCAGGCCTGCCCCCATGGCCCCCAAGGGATGCCTGTCCTTGTGATGCCGGAGGGAGGCTGAGTGAGTGTTCCAGGAGGCTGCTGCCAGGCAAGGCCAAGGCTAGCTTAGGAGCTGAGCAGCCCCACGTACAAGCCTGTGGCCCCATTCTCTCCAGCCCACAAACTTGTTCCTGTGAGACCCTCAGAGAGGGGCTCCATGCTGGGCCCAGCCCCTCTGCCCCTGCTTGGCCTCAGCCCAGCTGGGGCCAGGAAGGGATCACCTTTGCCTCTCCGAGGTTGAAGACCTAATGGTCCCTTTCTGCATGGGCACAGGTAGCGGATTGAGAGCTAGGAGGAACCTTAAAAATCATTGAATCCAACATGTTCATTTCTTGTGGGAGAAACTGAGAGGGGAAGATCCTGTCCCAAAGTCACATGGGAAGGAAGGAGCAGCACTGGGTTCCAGGGTTCTGGTTCCACAGTCACCAGTTTTCCCACTGAATGGGCATGTAAGAATAGAGCAGCCTTGGCCCTTCTCCAAGGGCCTCCCAATCTGGCAGGAGGGATGATGTGAGGACCCAGGCAAGAGTGGAACTGAGCTGGTATGAGGGCTGGCCAGAGCAAAGGGGCATCCTCAGGGGTTGCCTGGCAGAGGTGGGCACAGAGGGCATTCTGGGCAGAGGGATCAGTGTGAGCCAAGGCAGAAGAGGCCAGGACAGGGGAGGCCATGCCTTCTGAGCTCCCTTCTGGATGGGGAACCCAGGGGACGTCGGGCTGGAAAGGTAAGTTGAGGCCCAATGAGGAGAGGCCTTCAGTGTTGAACGGCTCAGGGGTTTGGAATTTTCCATAGAACAATTTCCCTACTGATGATTTCCAAAACACTGACTCAGAGACTGAAAACTTTGTAACCCAGCATGTTCCTCCTTTGTGCCAGGAAGCTCGAGTCCAGAGTCATTGCCAAGCTGCGGTGAGATCAGCTCACCTGGCCCCCTGGGCTCCTCCAAGCCAGGCCGTGTTCGGTTCCTAGCCTTACTGGTCTCATTTGCAATATGCCTTGAGTCCTTTTGGGAGCAGGGGAGGACCCCAGGCCCCAGGCCCTTCTGGCTCTCTCCTGGCCCCCTCCTTTGTGACACATCATGAGGGACCCTGGACCCTAACAGCTAGAGGGTGCTGTCCCCTAGAAGGAAGTGACAGGCATTGTCTGCTGTGTTAGTTTCCATATCACCCCCTCCACTTCCCAGGATCCAGAGTTTAACATCACCCATTAGCAAATGGAAGGGTCCTTGGGTCCCTCCTTCTGCTGGGCCAGAATAAGGTCCCAGTCCTTCCCCTTCCCTGACCCCCTCAGCACCCCCCTGGGGCTGCCCAGGAGTGAGCCCCTCCCCCTCCCCCTTCCCTGACCCCCTCGGCACCCCCTGGGGCTGCCCAGTATTGAGCCCCTCCCACTCCCCCTCTTCCTTTTGGGGATCTCAGTGGGAGATTTCTCAGGGGGTTGGTGTAGGGCTCAGAGGAGCTAGAAGGGGGGAGTGGTTTCGGGGCCTAGCTGTGTGACCTTGGACAGGTCTCTTCCCTTTTTGGTGCTTCAGGGTCACCCTCTGAGCCAGCTGATCCCTCAGGCACCTCTCAATCCCCGGATTCTATGTGATGAGAAGGAGCTAATCTTCCTCCTTCCTCCTCCTCTCACAATGGTCTCCTTCAGGAGCCTAATCCCAGGGGTGCCTTGGACAAGAAGGACTCTGGCTCAGGGGACCAGGGCCCTGCCAAGTGTGGGTGCATCAAGGCTTTGGTTTGAGGGGGAGTCATTGAGACGAGCCAGGGATTCAGCCCTGCCCTTCAGGGGCCGGTCCTCCTCTCCCTCTCCGTCCCCTTATTACCTACAAGGACACAGCTTCGTAAATGGCATCTCCAGGGTGAGCTGGTGAGGGGCTCCCTGATCCCCAAGATCCCCAGGGCTCCGGGACCCAAAGAGGCCTGCCTCTAGAGCCGAGAGGGGCTCACAGCCATATCAACAATGTTCCAGGGCTCCTTTGGTTCAGGCCCAGATGGGACAAGGTGATTTCTGAAGACCCTTCCACCTTGGATATTCTGGGAGAACTTGTCCCAGTGGAGACTGACCTCTGCCATCCATTGGGCCACATAATCTGCCTCGGTCCATGATAAGGCTGAAAGTCCATCAGTCCCCTGCTCTACCAGGCTCCGTTCCCTTGTCTGGGCCCTTTGCCCAGCAGGGGCATCTATGCCAATCCTTTGCCTAGGCCCCCACATCACCCTGGGCCCTGAACAGCACAGACAGGTAGGGCTTCATTTGCCAGAGAAGAGGAAAATAACTTAGACTTGAGTTTTCCCTGGAACTGGGGGAGAGAGGTTAAAGTCATGGGGAGAAGACCCAGAAAAGTAGATCTCAAATCCTACCAGTTAGAGCCCTCCAGAATCAGAACCTCAATGTGGGCAAGGGCTTTGGTGGTCACTACTGCAGACCAGCCTCTCTAGAACATCCCCATGTAGTCACCTAGATCTGTTCGAAGACCTCTGGCCATGGGGAGCTCACTACCTCACCAGGCAGCTCATTTCTCTCTCCTCCAAGTTAAATGTTCCCAGTTCCTTGAGCTGCCCTTTTCTTATGGTCTCCAGCTCCACACTATATTCTCCTCTCCTCTGGTGGTCTCCTATTGGTCAATGTCTTTCCCAAAATGCATGACTTGGACAGGAACACAAAACTCCAGAGGCGGTCTGAGAGCAGGACTGTCACCTCCCTCACCCTGGACATTGTGCCTCTTTATATGCCCAAGGCTGTGAACTCATCCAAAGCTTGCAGTCCACTCTAGCCCTCAGATCTTCCTCACACACACTCATCTGACTGTATCTCCCCCGTCCCATATTCGTGAACTTGATTTCTTTAACCCAAGCAGGAGACTACACTTCATTTTAAAACTTCACCTCATTAGATCAGTCCTATCATATCTCTTTAGTTTTTATAGATGCTAGCTAACTCATCCACCAGGTTAGTTAGTTCTAACTTCCTGTCATCTGTAAATCTGACACAAATCTCATCCATGCCTTTAAAATAAGACACTATTTGGGCACTTAGCATTGTGCCCGGCACATAGTATGTGCCATATAAATGTTAGCTTTTGTTATTATTTATTTTATTCAACTTATTGATAAAATTGACTCAAACAGGGCAGGCATAGATCTGAGGAGCACACCACTAGAGACCTCCCTCCAAAGTACCATGGGTGCTATTGATGACTAATCTTTGGTGGGGGGGGGGGTGGCCATTCAAACAGCTTCCAATACACTCATAGGGCTCCTATCTTTCCATCTCATCCACAATGCTATCAAAAAATCCAATAAGTATTTATCATACACCTGATGTATACAAGTGTTTATTAAGTACCCCTACTATCTGCAATGACACACTTTGCCAAAATCTAAGAATCTCGTCTCTACAGCCTACCAGTCTATTAGCCTCGTCAGAAAGAGAAGTGAAGTCAGTCGACGTGAGCAGCTGCTGACAAAGCTGTGCTGGCTGCAGTGTGCTGCCCGTCCCAGGAGGTCTTTCAGCAGAGGCTGCAGAGGACAATGGGCCACGAAGCATGAGGCTGGTCCCTTTCAAAGCCCTGCGGTTCCAACCTTTCTGATTCTACCATGATAGATGGATTATCTTGAACAAGAATAAGTCCCTGCCCTCAGTGAGCCTCCAGTCTAGCACTGTGTTAAACCAAGGATAATGATAATCCGGGGTTAGGGTGTGATCCTCATCATCAGAGCTGACAATATAGTTCCTTAAAGGGTTAAGAAGTACTTTCCTCAGCCTCTCATTTGAGTCTTACAACAAGGTAGAGAGTACAAATGTCATCCCCAATTTACAAAGAACCAGGCTGAGAGCCATCCTGCTAGTGAGCATCAGAGCTGGGCTAAGAGGGCAGGGCAAGCTTCATTCCCACTCTAAGCGTTGAAGGACGGACACCTTATGATAACAATGTTCCCATCCTCATGCACAGAACACTTTCACCAGCTGGAGAGATGGATTTCAAATGTATGATCCCATTTTACAGGTGAGAAAACTGATTTGCCCCAGGGTCACACTGGCAGAAAATAAGTAGGGCAGGACTCAAACCCAGGCCCTGTGATGGCAGAAGGAGGCTGTCACGTGGAAGGAGCACCAGCCTTGTCTGGCTTGTTCCCAGGGGGCCAGAACCGGAGGAGAAAGTTGCAGCTTGAGGCTTGAGCTCAGGACCACTTTCTTCCTGGGGATGGATGCTGGGGTTCTCTGACTCAGGTCCCCTCATGACTCCTAGCTAATGAATAAAATGGGAAGGGAGGAGGGTGCTGCAGTTGGACTTGGAAGTAAAGGACCCGAGGCTGAGTTCCAGACCCAGCCCTGACACAGGTGGGCAAGTTACGTCTGCCTTCTCCACCTTGCTTTTCTCATACATAGAATGGGTGCGTCACTGGACTTGGTCTCCATGACCCCCACAACTTCTGAATATCATCGGCTCCTCTGATCTGTGTTTTCGTCCTTGTTCCAGTTTGTTTTGTGACTCTGAGAAAGTCATTGCCCTTCTCTGGCCATCCTCTTTCCCACCCATCCATTGGGATAGGACAGGGGTGGGATGTAAGGATAGGCTTGTTCTTGACCTTTCCCTAGGAGATAGCTGCTTTGTTATCCCCATTTTATAGATGAGGAAACTGAGGCAGAGGCTGAAGCATTAGCCCAAATGAAGTCGGGGGTGGAGATGGGTATAGGAGAAGGATGGGCTTTAAGGAGCCCCTGCGGAAAGGATAAGCAAGGTCAACCCTCAGGAAGTGCCCAGACCTGATGGCTGAGGACTGGGGCAGATAGATGACCGAACCTTTGGGGAAGCTGGGGGAAGCTGGGGGCCGCTGCCAACTTAGGACAGAATCCTGCCCATAAGTAAAGGAGAAAGTCAGGCCAGTAGAAAGCAGCCAGAACCATCCCAAGTCAGCAGGGGGCAGTAGTCAGCTGGCTTATTGGAAAGAGCAAGAAATTGGAGTCAGAGGAGCTGGGTTCAGATTCTGACTCTACTCCTAAAGTGACTTGAGACAAGTCTTTGCCCCCTTGGGACCCCAGTTTCTCCCATGTGTGCAATGAGGTGGTGAGACGCTCAGACCTCTGAGACCCTTTCCAGCTCTAAGGCCTATAATCCTACACAATTAGGAGATGGGTAGGCTGGGGTGAAGATGGTACAAAAGCCTTGCAGCCAGATGCCCCTTCGGAGCCCCTTCCCGGCCAACACAGGGCTTTGGGGAAGCAGGCCATAGGTGGTGATAGAGGGGGGCCCAGAGGAGGGGGCGTGCGGGCCCTGCTGCCTGGTCAGTCAGAGGAGAGGCACTTCCCAGGCCCCTGGGCACACAGCTGCTGGGGGACAGAGAGTCACTGCTCATTCCACTGAGACATTACAGAGTGTCTTGGGGGGTCTTCTGCCTGGAGCCCAGGGTCTGGAACCATTCCAGAGTAACCAACACTGCATACGTGTCTGCCATGAACTGGGCCCCGTAGAGCAGGGAGAGGTGAGCTGTTATGGCTGTGGAGGATACCTCGGGGCACCAACACCCCTCATACCTCACTCAGTTGAGAGGGGCCAAGGTCAAGGCTTGAGGCAGATGGAGGCCGGCTGACCTTGGCCTCCGCCAGAGCTCCCTGCAGCTTCCACTGACTGCTGGTGGGAGTGGGCAGGGCACTGGTGACCTGTGGGTTGTGAGGCTTTGAGGACACAGCTCAGAGGCCCCGCACTCTAGGCTATCCCTTCCCCGAGCCTGTAAATACAGGCCTGGGAGAAGGCGAAGGAGTCTTTGGAGAGTCCATAGACAGTCAGAAAAGGAGGAAGGCTTTGGGGACAACAAAACTTCCTCCCTTGACGTCCGGCAAAGCTGGGGTGGGGAAGCTCTGGTCAGCCTTTCCCTCCAGCTCTCCACGTCCTTTCCGTGCTCCCCTCTGGTCCTCGTCTCCATCACTGTGTGCTCTCTGGGCTCCAGCCCTGTCTCTGCCCCCAGCTCTGGGCTCTCTACCACTCCCCAAGAGCCAGAGCTGGGGAGCTGTCTCCAGTGTCCTGCTGAGGGTGGCTGGCCTGGGCAGCCTGGTTCTGGAGGATCCTCAGCCCTCGGGGTGCAGGGCAGGAAGGGAACAAAGAAGGAGGGCCAGAGGAGCACCAGCTGGGCTCAGGGGCAGCGCTGTGAGAGCTGGACTGCATTAGGCTCTTTCCTGGGTGAGGTGAGTCTATAAAGGAGACAGGGCTGGGCCTGGAAATGGGGGTGGAATGGGGTAGGGGCAGGGTGGGCCTCAGGGCTCAAGGGGGACAGCAGGGACAGCAGGGACAGCAGGGATCGGGTTCTCCAGGGAATGACTCTTTGGGGTCTCTGCAGAGGTCTGGGCCCCAGAGGCCATTCGGGCAGCCAGAAGGCAGGCCAGCACGACCCCTACCACCTGCAGAGCCCCCAGGCCCAATGCAGCCACTGCAATGAAGGCCATATTGTCAGCCACAAAGTCACTGGCTTTGGAGAAACAGCCATGAGAAGCCACTGCCCTGGCCCCCTCCTGGCAGTCAGCCTGGCCTCGGCAGCAACTGGGGGGCAGAGAACCATTGCCCTGAGCCCGGGGACTCCGGGCCCAGGGTGAGTCCAGCCAGTCACGGTAAGTATCTACTCCACAGCACCGGAGTCCCCACTGTAGGGTGTCCAAGCCAGCATCGCCCCTCCCTCCAGCCCCGTAACCCCGCAGGGCCTTCCACAGGCCTGTCCGGAAGCCCTGGACCAGCTCGTTCTGGTAGCAAAGTCCCGAAAGGCCGGCAGCAAGGCCAGCTCCCAGGGACGCCAGCTGGATGGCTGCAGATGCCTGGAGCAGGCCCCGGTGCTCACTGGCTGCCCCTCCTCCAGCCAGGCCTCCCCAGAGCAGCCCTGTAGCCCCAGCTGCAAGCAGGAGGGAGGGGGCGCTGGGAGCCCCTCGGGCAGACAGGGCCAGGTACCTTCCCAGCGCCATCTCAGCCCACAACCCAAGGGTCAGCATCGTTAGACCAGCTGCCCCAAAGACAAAGCTGAAGGCCAGCACGAGAGCTTCAAGAGGGCCATGATCCCTGGTCTGACAAGGCTTCCAAACCTCTGGACCCTCAGGGCCCCAAACCCCAGGCTGTCCTCACTCTTCAGGGCTCCTCTGGCCTCCCAGAGCTCACTCCTTGGACGTCTGCCCCTGTCCCTATCTCCTCCTCCCGCGAGTCTCAGGGCAGGGCCCCACAGGGGCCCCAGGACATAAATGTAGGCGCTGGAGGGGCTGGGCTCAGTGCTGGCCAGAGGTGGGGCTCTGGGGAGAGGGCCTGCCAGTCCTGTTCCGTGGCCTTCCTTCCTCTCCCCCTCCTCCCACCTTCTGTTTCTCCTCCTCTCCGGTGAGAAGGCAGAGAAAAAGACTCAGCTTGTTCTGTGAGATCCCAGGGGAAAGAGTGGAGAGAAACGGGGAGAGGGAGCATGTGGGGAGCTCTAGGTTGTGTGGGGGGAGGAAAGACTCCCCAAACATAAGAACTATCCACTGATCCAGAACTGTGCCAGAGAGGTACAGCCCAGGGTCCCTCCCAATTCCCCCAGGGCCCCCTGAAAAGTGACCAGCCCAAGGTCCCTTCCCACTCCACCCGCAGAACTCCCCCAGAAAAGGGACCAGCCCAGGCTCACAGCACTGGGCCACAAGTCTGGAGCAGCTACTGATGAACTGGCTGGCACTTTTCAATCTGAGGACACATGTAGTTCACAACAAAGGCATTCACTGACCTGAGAAAAGGGGCTCCCATGAACGTGAGGCCCTTCCCATATACATGCACAGCCATGGACACATGCGGACACACCTGGAAACAAGCTGTGTTTGGGCCGGCACATGCCTAGAGGGTCTCTGGGGTCAACACAAGGGATCCATAGCCTCTGATTTCCCCTCCTCTTCTTGCTCCCCCATGGCCTGTAGGGTGCGGAGACGAGGCACAGGTAGTCACAAGCTGCTGGGGAGTGGGGGGTCCTCATCCCTGAGATTTTCTCATGCTTTGTGATTTGCAAAGTACTTTCCTCATAACCTCATGGAGTTCATGTAAGTATTACTGGGTCCATATTACAGATGGGGAAACCAAGTCAGGGAAGGCCATCGGAGTACCACACAGCTGGGCAGTCTTTGAGCCAACACTTCAACCCAGGACTTCTGACCTCACTTACCATCCATCTTGAGCTTCTCATTCTCCCTTCTGCATTATTCAGAAGCCTGTCCTCCCTGGAGCCCTCCTTTCCTTGGGGCTCCTAGGGGAGGCTGCCTTGGGCTTCGCTTTGCCAGGACGCCCCCCCTCAGGCGCCTGAGCCTCTCTTGTCCTTCAGGCGTTTATCGCTCAATCTCTTCCCCTCTCTCTCTCCTTCAGACTTCCTTCTCTACTGGGTCCGTGATTTCTAAGAAGATCCGAGTCCTGGCATGCAGGATTGCCTGTGGTGGGACCCTGACGGGGGAACAACCGAAGGACCTGAAAGTAACGAGGCTCCCCGTGGCGAGCATCTTCATCCTGGGGGCCTGAGGAGTCCTTCAGAGCTGGGTCCAAAGGCTGGAGGCCAGGAGAGACGTGGTGGTGGAGGGGAGGAGAGCCGGGAGCCCTGGCTGGTGGGAGGGGAGGCGGGATAAGGAGGGAGGAGAAGGCAACCGCCCCCAAGGGCTCCGAGGTGTGGGGCAGGGGAAGAGCCCTGGCACAGTCCAGCTCTTGCACTTCCGGCCTTGGAGATCCTGGGAGCTGCTTAACCCCTCCAGGCCTCAGTTTCCCTCTCTGTAAAGTGATCGAGTTGGGTTAAATCCATAATCCTATGAAATCAAACCTAATCCCTTCATTTTACGGATTCCAGAGTTTTCGTGGGTAACCTGTAAGCCTGGGCTCTACCCGTTTCTGACCTAATTGCCCTCCCTGCTTCCAGACCTCTCCGCTTCTCTGACCCCCTAGTGCCCCTAGGCCCAGGGAGCTGCTCCTTTCTGTCTCCCGGACTTCTCCCTTAGGTCCTCTGCCGGCACTGCCATCCCCTATCCTGCTTCCTCGAGGCATCTCTCCCAGTCAGACTGCTCCTGCACACCGGGATCTCTAAGCCTCAAGCTATCTCATCTGTGAAATGGGAAAGGAGAGGCCAGGTTTGTCAGTCACTCTGCAAACCTGGGGGTGCCCTGGGACATGGCCAGGGTGGTGGAGAAGTAGCCCACCCTGGGCTACACCTCGGCCCTTTGCTGTTTTCTAGTGTGTCCACCCCAGACCCTGAAGGTCTCTGAGGACCCAGCCTGGGGGTGTTAGCTGTGGAGGGCTGGGAAGCCCCTATCTTGCAGGGCCTGAGGTGTCTAGAACCCAGGACTGAGGGACTGTGGGCCAGGGTGTGACCTTGGACTAGTAGAAGGGGCTGGGGGTGGGGAAGGAGAGAGGGGTGTAAGTGCTGGGTAAGAGAGAGCTTGATGGAAATACACACCTTTGAGAGGAAGACCTGAGTTCAAGTCCAGCCTCAGACCCTCACTGACTGTATGACCCTGAGCAAGTCACTTCACTTCTGCCTGCCTCAGTTTCCTCAGATGTAAAAGGAGGATCACGCATAGCACTTAGCAGTGCCTGGTGCTTCATACGTGCTTATTCGCTTTCCTATTCCCGCCCTCCCCCAGACTCTATTTCCAGGAGCTTCCCCTCCCCAAACTCCCTTCTTTCCTTGCCCTACTTTTCCCCTCTCCCCCCTTCCCCCTCTCCCCCTCTTCCCCTTCCTCTTCCCTCTTCTGCCGAGCCCCGCCCCTTCACGAGGCCGGACGGCGTCGGCACGCATGCGCCCAGGTACCGGGCGGCGCGCTACCCCCTGGGAGTTGTAGTCCCCTCCCCGAGGTCCGGAGCGGCCGCCTGGGGAAGGCCGGGAGGCCGGGACTCCCCTTCCCAGCGTGCCCTGCGGTCCCCCAGTTCCCCCTCCCTCCCGTGCGACGGACAGGAGCGAACAGGCTAGGGAGCGAGGAGGTGAGGGAGCAATGGGGCGGCGGAGCCCGGGCTGGGTCCGAGTCCCAGGGGAGGGGGCGGCGCAGGTGCCGTCCGGGGAGCGCGGGGGTGGGGTGAGGGGGCACTGTCTCCTGGCCGGGCCCCTTCCCCTGCGGCTTCTCGTAGACTGGGGAGGAGGACTCCTTGGAGCCTCGTGGGGGGAGGAGGAAGGTTGGGGCGGCCCCTCCCCCATGCCCCCCCCGCTCCCCCCACCGCGCGGGGTTTTCGGTCCGATCTGGCTGGGAGGGGGGCTCCCCGGGCCTCCCCTTCCACTGACTTCCTCCTCTCCCTTCCCCCTTCTCTCCTCATCACTTCCTTCCCCTCCCCCCTTGCCCCGTCCCCTCCCCCTCCCCACTGCTCTCCCTGTCACTTCCTCATCGCCTCTCCCCTCCCCCTCCCCCCCCACCCAGCAGGTCAGCCCCCCATGCCGCACGCACCCCGCATCCTGGCTCGCGGTTGAGGGATCCCGCCCGGGTGAAGAGAGGAGCCTCAGGCCCAGGTAGGAGCCTGGGGGGTCGGGCCGGGAGGGGAGAAGCTCCGCGTTCCCCTCCGGGGGTCCCGCCTCCCCGGGTTTTCGGGGAGCTTGAGCAGGGTGCCCGGGGCTGGGCCTGAGGGCCCGAGGACTTGAGTCACTGAGCAGCCGGGACAGGGGCTGGCATGCAGTAGGCGCTCCATCAATGCTCGCCGCTGTCTTCTCGCCTTCCTCCCTGGACCTGAGGCTGCCCCTGGTATCTCCCTGCTTACAGATGAGGAAACTGAGTCCCTTTGGGACCCCTCCTGATCTTAGTCGTTCCCATTTCTCTTGCTTAGGGCTCGTTTGTGCACGGGGGTCTGCCCGGGAGCTCCTCCAGGGCAGGGGCTGCCTTTGGCCTTTCTCTGCGTCCCCACGAGGCGCTTCCTAAGTGCTTCTTGACGGACAGCCGTGCCTGCCAGCCCCTCTAGAGCCCTTCCGCGCACAAGCCCAGTGGGCGCCCGCGTTCCCATAGAGGAAAGCCCTTTTCTCTCCTGGCCTTTGTCTGCGTGCCCGTGCCGGGCACACAGGAGGCACTGACTGCTGCCCCGTCTTCCTCCTGGGCTGGATTCCTGCCTACTCTCTTTTGTGCCCCTGCCAGGCCTCTGTCTGCCAGCTCTCAGGAGGACGGAGCCTCCGTTTCCTTACCTGCGAGCTCCTTGGTGCCGCTGACCGGGAGGCTGGCGGCCATTTCTCCCTCCCCAGAAAATAAAGTGTTTATTCTGCATCCTCAGTGCCAGGAACGCCCAGGTGCTGAGGACCGGGTCAGGAAGGCCGGGGTTCGGATGCCGCCTCAGGCTTGTCCTCGCTGCGTGACCACGGACCTCAGTTTCCTCCCCTGGAAAGCCGGGCAGTTGTGTGTGCACAGGGCGGCTGTGAGGCCCGGTGGAGAGAATGGGTGGAAGCGTCCATCCGTGGCCATCATCCCCGTTCCTGTTTGCGCTGTTTGGGTCTTTGGGACTGGACGTTTCTGTGAGTGAGTGGCAGAGGACGGCCCCCCTCCCAGCGCCGAGTGAGGGGCTTGGACGGCCAGGGCTTTTCCATTCCCCTGCCTGGCCCAGGGTGTGCCAAGGCTTGTGCCCCCACTGGGCTGGGGGGGGGGGCCCGCACCAGGAGCCGCTGGTATCTCCTCAGAGGCGCAAGACCCTTGGTTACTCAGTTGCTGAGGTCTGGGGGAGAAGGTTGATGGGAGTGAGAGGCAGGCAAGTTCGGCTTGAGGATCTGCAGGCTCCCTTCTCTGGCCCGTCCTGTGGCTAAGTCCTTCGGGGTCGCGGTCAGCGTTCCTCAGTGGTCCCTTCATCTAGGGCTTGTTGCCCCAGGCCAGCACGGCGCTCAGAGAAGGAGTCAGAAGTTCTCTGTGTCTCAGGACGCTGGGCTGGACGGGAGCCTGGCAGGCTCTGGGTTGGCCCTTACTGCTTGAGGGTGCTTCTCCAGCTGGCTGAGTGGACCCTTCTCAGCCCTCTGGTCACTCACTTTCACCTCCATCTTAGTGGCAGACTATTGTAAATGTTCAGCTTGGACAGGGATGTGGGGCAGGAGCAGAGGACCTGGATTCAGGTTTGGGTCTGTGAGGGACTGCCGGGTGACTTCCCTGGGCCTCGGTGTCTTCCTTTGTGAAATGGAACTTGATCTTTATGGTCCATGTCCTGTGCCACCGCTGATCACTCTTTGTGGCCGGGCTCTTGAGGGGAACCTCCTTGGTTTGGAGGAATCCCCTGAGCCCTGGGCCATGCTGTCCTGCCCCCGGGGGCTGGCAGGATCAGAAGGGGAACAGCAGAGCCAGCATGGGCTCGGTTTCCTTCTTGGAAATGGAATATGAGGCATTTCAGAGGAGGGCTCATCAAGTCCAGCCCTCCTCACTGAGGCCCAGGAGGGGCAGGGGCTTGAACCCAGCACTCGTGGCTCTGTACCGCACTGTCCCCCCAAATTCAGGCCTCTTGGGTTTCCTGAGTAGTGGCTCTTTGGCTTTCCTGTAAAGACTTGGGTGCCCCAAGCCCAGTCCAGGATGGCCCTGGGCCCTGCTGCTTTCTGCTGGGGCCGTATGTAGAGGAGAGTGGGTAGCTGAGAAGAGTGTCATCAGGGAGAGGAGGGATCGCAGGCCCCCAAAGGGACCACCCTGGAGTGCTGTGAGTGACCTAAGGCAGAACAGAGAGGAGACAGGATTGGGGAGAAAATGAAGCCGAAGTTTGCAGAACACTTGACACCCATCCCATTTGAGCCTCATTATACCTCTCTGAAGTCACTAAGTGCCATGGGTACTCTCAGCCCCATTTTACAGATGAGGGGATTGAGGCCCAGGCAGGTGGCTTTATCTGCCCCAAGTGTGACAGCTGGTAGATGTCAGAGGAAGGCTCGGAAAGCAGGCACTGCTGTCCCGCTGCCCATCTGCATGAGAGACGTCCAGGGGGCGTCTTGGAGAACCGTCCCTAGAAGAAGCAACAAGAAAGGAGGGAGAGGAAAGGCTTGTGGCAGGCCCTGCTAGCCAGGCTGCGCCCGATGAAGCAGCTGGGGTGCTGGGGTTCTAACCACAGCAGCCCCTGGAGGCAGGCACTCATGTGCCCCCCAGAACCATGAGCCTTGCCCAGGCTCAGGCAGCCCTCTTTCCGTGGCCTGCATTGGCCTTTGCTCCTGAGCAGTGGGGTAGACCGCTTGGGCAATTCCTATCTAGCAGTTGAATCGGGTGGTCTTGGCCCGAGGTGTCGGCCACGCTTTCAGCCCAGGCTCCAGAAGAGCCTCCCTAGGGAGGGGCTGGCCTCAGGAGGGGCTTCCTAAAGATACAGATGTTCTCCTGAAGCCTTTGCCCATGGCAGTCATCCTCCTCGTGCCCTAGAAAGCTGTGTGAGGGTCTGGGTGCAGTGAGGCAGCGGCTTGGGCTGATCTGGCTGCTGTGGGTGGGCACACCTCAGCAGGTTTAAAGGGGAGTTTGGGACGCTTGTTTCGCCACAAGGAGTCCTGATAACCTCTGGGGACGGGGCTTGGTGAGGTACAGCGTCCGTCTGGAGGTAGTGTGGGCTTAGCCCGAGCCTTCTGGGAGCAAAGAACCCTAATGGTGGCCCGAGCTCTTGGGAGAACTTGTCCTGGGGGCGCCTGGAGGCTGACAGGAGGGAGCCCTGCATCACTCAGGCCTCCTGGGGCTGCTGGCCTGGGGCTCGCCATGAGTGACTGGGAAGGTGGAACACCTGCGTCCTGGGAGGCTGGGAGGGGACCAGGAGCAAAGGGAGCTTTGGGACACGTATGTGTGTCTCATTTGTGGCATGCCCGCCAGGGAGCCTGATGGGTCCCTCCCCCCCCCGCCCCGTTAAAGATTTTAATCTGTTTGGGTGTGTTGGCAGCAAACCTCCTTCAATCTCTGCTTGGAGGCAGCATCTGCTGGTTACTTTTTGTCAAAAAACAGGGACTGAAAACATGCTTCCAGGCTGACTGTCTGCCAGGCGGGCCCTGGCAGCCCTTTCTGGTTGCTGCGTGTGCCAGGCAGGGAGAGGAGGGGGCCACGTTGGAGTTTCATTAACTTCACGATCCTCCTTGTGGCACAGATCAGGAGATGAGGGATAGGGTGGGGAGAAGATACCACTCTCCCCGGGTCACCCAGCATGCAGGTAGTGGAGGAATTGGAATCAGAACCCCTGACTTGTGGCTGCTGGTCTGTATTCTGTCTCCTCAGCATACTGGTCACCTGGGCTGGAGTTCATCTTCCCCAGCTTCACTGTGATAAGCATTTGTTAAGCACCTGCTGTCCAAAGAGCCCTTCTTACTGAGTGTAGGTAAAACAAAACTGGTTCCTTTGGGCTCCAAGCCTGGGAGCAGAAGCTCCCAGCATAGATAACTTGGCGTAGAAGAGTAGAGAAGTGTCTGGAGGGCCTCCTGGAGAAAGTGGCTGTGGAGTCGGTCCTTAAAGGATGGGTACAAATTTGTCAGTTCCAGGCAGAGGGAGTGGTGCTGAATAAAGGCCTGGAGGCTGGAGAACACAATGTGTCACATGTGGACCACAGTGATCGTGGTGGGCTGCAGGCACCTTTCTGTGTTAAACAGTTGACTTCACCTGGTCTTCTTTGTGAAATGCAGGAGGCTCTGATTTAACTGGGCTGCTCTTGACCCACAGGGCCAAGGAGGGCAGAAGATCTTGGAATACAGAGAGCTGGGGCTGAGGAGACCGTCTAAATAGGACCTTTAATCTGGCTCACTGAGTCACCTTGAGCGGGGGATGGCCTTCTTTGGGCCGCAGGTTTCTTAATATCTCGATGGAACGAGTGAGACCAGATGGTCACTAAGGTCCTTTGAAGATTAGATTTGCTGATTGATTTTTCCTGCTAGGATCCTTGCTGGACACATAACCTTCATCTTCTCTCTCTCTCTTTCCTGTTTCTTTATCTTTCTTCTCCCTTTCTCTGCCCTTCTCTCTCACTGTCTCTCCCCTGTTTTCCCCCCCTTCCCTCTCTCTCTTTCCCTTTTCTTGATCTTTCTTTCACCTCCCTCTCTCTGCCCTTCTCTCTGTCTCTCTCCTCTCTCTGAATTTCTCTTTGCTTCCCTCTGTCCTCAGGCAGCCATACAAAACTACCTCTTGCCCAGATCATGACTTTCACTTGAATGGGCTGCAAACCGAGTCCAGAATCCAGAAGGATGAAGCAAATCAGCCGTATTGCTTTCTGGAAACTGCAGAGCTCCTCAGTGGGCCATGTATTTAATGTCTGCCTGTCTAGAGTTTTCCGTTCTTTGGCGGGGGTGTGTGTGTGTAACAGCAGGTGGCCACCAGCCTTTCCTTGCACCTCTGCTGGATGTCACGTGGCCCATGTCGGCCTTGCTTTCCTGGTGTGCTTGCTGCTGTTGGTGTCTGGTTGACTTTGTCCTGTGCCGAGGACTCGGGGGTCTGGTAGAGGGAGAAATGAGAGAGGGTCTCTGATTCTTCCTGGGTCTGAAAGCCTGTGGCCACGTGGTGAGCTTCGGCTGCTGGCTTTATTCATCTGTGCCTCCCAGGCTTGTTCGGAGGGTCAAAGGTGACACAAAGTGCCTCTGCAAACCGCGGGGCTCAGCATCCACGCGCGAGCTGTCGTTAGAGCTCTTGGGAGAGAGAATGGAGGCTGTCAGGTGGGCAGCCCCAGGCCTCTGGGCTTCATTCAGGACTGAAGGTGTCAGTGTCATCCAGGGAGGCCTTCTGCCAAGGAGGAGAATGTGGTGAAATTTTCATCACCAGGCTTCGGGTCAGAGGAATGACCAGGGGCGGGGCCAAACCTGCCTCCCCAAATGTCTTATGGGTAGCTGGTGTCCCAGCCTTTTTCTCATTCCTGACCCAGGGCCTGAGGGAATGGGGAGCGGTAACATGACACTCCCAAGCTCTCCGTGGCCCAGCTGACCCATTTCCTACTGACTTGCCTCCTCCTGTGTTTGTGACTTGTCATCCAGGAGGCCATGGCGAGAGCCCTGCAGGGGTCTGCCTCCTGTGCAGTCCGCGCACAGCCCTGTGGCCCTGCAGCCCAGTTCGTGCTTGACCCTCAGCTCTGGGTTCTTGGAGAAGCTTCCTACCTTGTGGTCTTCTCTGACCAGCACTTTCTTGGAGTCCTGTGATTGACTGGGTTCAGTTGGCATCTGGCAGGGTGAACTTTTAAAAAGAGTGAGAGTGGCATAAAGCGTTTAGCAGTGGTGCAGAGACAAGGAAGGAAGAGAAAGGGGCATCGGCAATCATGGCAAGCTGCTTCAGAACAGTTGGTCCAGTTTGTTTCATTCAGCATCTCCTGCTGCCCATACAGTGAGCGTCTTGTACTTCAAGGATGCTCAGACCGCGGCTCATGCCTCCCACTGTCCTTTGGGCTTTGTGGACATCGTTACCAGTGATTGCAAATCTGGCTGCAGTCAGAACCTTGCTTGGGGTTCTTTGTGGGGATCCTTTGGGTAAAGCGGCCTTCTCAGACCTTTGCATCTGTCTTTGTGTGTCTTCTCACAGGCCAGCCTCCATCGGAGACCCAAGCCAGCTTCCTCGGGATGCAGGAGGATCAGCCCCAAGAGGTAAGTTTGTGTCTGGTGTCGAGGACATCTCTCCCAAGGCAGACCTCTCGGGGTGCTTGTCCACATGCAACGTCCTCCCCCTAGGAGCCTCAGGGCCTTCTCTTAACCAGGCTGCCTTGATGGAGGGGGCAATGAGAGGACATGGTCAGGGAAAACATGCTAGAAGTAGGCTGGGGGGGGGGTCTCAGTGTTGGGGGTGCTGAGCCAGGGCTAGCCAGTGAAGGCACAGGAGCCTGTGGTATGCCTAGAGCCTGGCCTTGGAAGGTCATCGTCATGGTTGTGTGGGGAGGCCACTGGAGGTGATGAAGGCCTGCGCTAGGTGGTGATGGTAGGAGTGAAGAAAGGGGAGAACAAGGAAAACTGAGGTCTCAATTCTGAGTAACAGGAACATGGGTTTGGAGGAGTGACTGGCTTGGCTGGGGGGAGGTGCCCTGGCCCTGGCCTGGATCTCCAGAGGACAGGCAGAGCCTGGCCGGCTGTCATCTCTTCCCTCAACTACGTGTTGTCCCATCTCTGCAGAGGGACGTGGGGCCTTGTTGAGGAGGTCAGGGGTCAGGGGACCCTCCTGCTCAAAAACTGAAACATCTTTTTCATTTTTGGCCAAGATATTTTGGTCTTCGGGAAAGAGGGTCTCCTGACCCCTGATGCAGACACAGCTGAAGAGGGAGGGAAGGTCTCCAGAGATAATGGTGGATGTCCAGCCGTGTTACTCCTGCGTGCTCTGTGCTCAGCTACTCAGCAGAGCCAACCCTATAGGAGCCCACCAGTGAGCACTGGCGGCAGGGGGAGTGTGCCTGCCCTCTGCCCCTTTGGATGATGCCCTGGCATGCTCTCCTCCAAGCATCGAGGGTACTTTCTGCCCCCAGTCTAGGCTGACCTTACATGCCCTGCTTTGATGTGCCTGTGAGGGTCCTCCAGAGAGGCCAGGGCAGTGTGTACCAGTGTTATGTGTAAAGTAATCACATCACCCAGCCTGACTTATTGATACCTAATCTCAGGCAGGCACAAAACTGTGTCACCTTGGCAGACCAGATAGGGGACAAGAGGCAGATGAATCCAGCAGCTCAGGTCTCCTCGGGCTTGGCCTAATCTCTAGCTTCTCCTGAAACACGCTATTGTTTTGTTTTGCAGGCTGCGGAGGAGCCAGCCCCTTCGATCGGAGCGTTGGAATGTGACCCTGGGGTGGTCCCCAGTGACTCCCAAAATCTCTGTATGTTTATCCTTTAGAATCTGAATTGACTTTTCCTACTGGTAGGGGACCAATATTGATGGTCCTCTAGGCACAGGAGGAAAACACAAGTTGTCCCAAAGTTACCCAGCCCCTGTGGCTGAAGGGAATAACCATTCTAACATGGGCCAGACTTCTACTGTCTGGCTCTGTCTAGCCAAGGAATCTTGGGGGCAAGCTGGCCGTCAAGCTCCAAACGAGCCCTGGAGAGAAGGCTTCAAGGGAATAGGAAGTCGACCCCGAGTCTTTGTTCAGGCAGCCAAAGGCCTGGGACTTCCAGTATAGCAGGGCTGACCTACCAAAGGTCTAGGACCCTGGAGGTCTAGTAGAGTGGTTCTCAAACCTTTTGGTGTCAGGACCCTTCACACTGTCCCTCCCAGAGAGCTTTGGTTGATGTGGGTTACATCTATTCATGTTTATCATGTTAGAAGTTAAAACATTGTAGTATTGTAGTATTGTTATGAAAAGGGGTTTGACTTCAGGGACCCCTTGAAAGAGTCGGGAGTATCCTTGTGCTGTGTCCTTGAGAGCTGCTGATCTTGTGGAACGAGCCTGGGGTTTGGATTCAGGGCAGCGGGGTTCAAATTTGGGCCCTGTCACTTCTTTCCCATGTGACCTTGGGCAGGTCACTCAGCACTTCACCTCTCACTGTGTGCTTCCTCTCTGATAAGGAATCCCCAAGACAGAACCAGGGAAAAGCCCGTGAGGTTTCCTGCCTGGGGCTCCTCTGGAGTGGCCAATGGGACGGGCCTTTGTCCTTGCTTTGGGTGGTACTGAGGGGTCGTGTGGTGTTGGAGGTGCGTGCATTTCTCTGTGCACGTGGGTTCACGCTAGCAGTAGCATCCTGGCTGGTGTGGGAGGTTATGAATGCGTGAGTTAGAATGCGGTTGGCTTTTTTACTTCCAAGGCTAATGTTTAAATAGAGGTGTAGGCCTGAGGGGCATGACTTCTTGATTGTGTCCTGTGGTCATGAAAGGGCGTTTGTCTTCGTGAATCTTGAAGATTTTAAACCGAGGAGCCGTGTTCAGCCAACGTGTAGAAACCTGCCCATGTCTCTAGAGAAGTCCAGTGGGCCTGAGGGGTGGCGGGGGTCTCTAGCCTTGCAGTGACTTGCACACGGTCCCTTGAGACACATTTCTAGCTGCGCTGATGCACACATGTGGGGGTATCTACGCAGACACTGCATAGGTGCTCTTTTTACCTTGTTTGCAGCTGATGTGGATGCTTTTAAGATCCTTTTGGAGATGAAAATGAAGAAGAGACAGAAGCAGCCCAGCTTGCCAGGTACTGTCACGGAATTGGTCACGGAAGAAGGAAGTAAGGTGTACGTGGTTGGCACAGCCCACTTCAGTGATGACAGCAGGCGAGATGTAGTGAAGGTACATGGGGGAGATGGTAGGTGGGAGCCATGGGAGGGAGGTTTGGGCCTCGGAGAAACCTGAGCTTTGACAAACCTTGAGACCTTCTGCCCGAGGGCCCATTCACCAAGAGGACCCTTGTGCTCGGGGAGCCGCCTCCTCCTCCTTGTCGGGTCATCCGGGCCTGAGGGGACTGACGAGACAGGCCGGAAGGGGTCCTGGAGGTGGGCTGGTCTGCACATGAAGACACAAAACCAGGCCTAGTGGCTAGGAAGTACGGGACGCGGGGCTTCTGACTGACGCGTGTCCCGTGTTTGTCCACGGCACAGAGGTGCGGAGGCGTCGCTTCCCCCTGACTTCTGTCCACCCACTTGCAGGGCTGATTCGCACATCAGGCAGCAGCCTCTGTTAATTAACGAGAGCTCTTCTTGGGGCTTGGAAAGGAAGAAGGGACGCGAGGCTTCCCCTAGCTTGGTTCGTCCTTTGGCTTCCTGCCGAGGAGGAGAAGGGAAAAAGAAAAGGAAGAAATATGCTCACAAAGCTTCATCCTCCCCTCCCTGTGTCCCTACCCCACCCCAAGCCAGTTAAGAGTCCTGTATGAGAGAGCCTCCTTTGTCTAACTGGGGGACACTAGAATGTTGGAGAAGGCTGGCGGGGGTGAGGCAGAGGGCAGGCAGCTTTCTTGGGGGGAGACAGAAGATGAGTGATGCAGGGTGGGAAATACCTCAGACCTCCCTTTGTACTCATGCCGTCTATTTTTGGTCTTGTGCTACTGCTGGTGATTCCAGCCCTGGCAAGTAAAAGTGGAGAGTGGACAGGTAGCTTTAGTCCTGGTCCCATGGGGAAAGCTTCCGGTTTCTTCTTCACAAAGCCAGCCTTCCCTTCTCTCCGGTTCTCTTGAGAGGCCCCGTCCCCTGCTTCTCCCTTAGCTCAGGAGCAGGGATGGGGCAGGGGGGAGGCATGCTGTACCCCCTCCCCTAGTGAAAGCCTCCAGGCCGCAGCTGTGAGAGCTTGGTGGTGTTGCTGGGGCTGGCCCTGGGGAAATGGAGGCCTCCTGTGGGCTGGGAGTCCTGCTTTGTTATCAGAGATTGCATTTGCAAGTGCTTAGCACAGTGCCTGGCGCTTAATAAATGCCTGTCCCCATTCCTGCTCCACGTGGCAGTCATGGCCAGCCTGTGTCTGCTGCCTAGGACCCCCCTCTTGGGGATCCCTCTCGCGGTGCCCCTGAGCTCCCGGTTCATCCTTCTAAGGCTGAGCAAACATGTGCCCTGGTGTTGGTGCCCTTTGTTGGTGTGAAAGCGTCAGTGCAGGCAGCCTGGTTCTGGGAAGGCACTAGCCTGGCTCACCAGCGAGGTGGGAAGGTGGTCCCCTCTCAAATGCTCCCACTTCAGAGCTCCCACAGAAGGGTGGCTCGCCTCTCTTTGGAAATGGGGGTGAGGTCAAACAAAAGAAGAGAGTGGGGCAGGGTTAAAGTTAGCCTTTAAGGAAAGGAGGGCAGCTGTGAGCAGGGGAGAAGGCCATCCCTGTGCTCTGCGGCAGATCACAAAGGGGTCGTGAGGACCTGACCGGGGGTGGGGGTGGGGGGTGGGGGGGATGTTTGGTGCCTGTGACTGGGCCTGCACATCTGCTGGTGGTCAGACCCAGAGCCAGGTCAGGAACTCCAGGGGAGCAGCAGTCAGGCTTTGCTCTGAATCTACCCACTGTGGAAGCACGGTAAGCTTGGCAGTCCCCAGCCTATGCCGACCGTCAGAGCCTGGAGTAACACAGCCTTCAGTGCCTCCAAAGAGTAGTGACAGGATCAGCCCAGAGCTTCCCTCCACAAGTGGGCAGAGGCCAGCCCCAACGTAAATTCCAAAGTCAGGAAGTAGGCTGGAAGAGTGGGAAAAAAAATAATCCCGCCGTAAAAAAGTTATTTGAGTTAAAAATGTTTTTATAAATAAATGATGAGTAGTAGAGGAAAAAGTTGGAAAAGAAATGAAGAGAAAGATAGGGAAGAAATAATTGGAAAGGAAACTAATAACATGGCGCATGAGGTACAAAACTTTCCCCAAGGGACGGGCAGCTAGGTGGCGCAGTGGATAGAGCACCAGCCCTGAAGTCAGGAGGACCTGAGTTCAAATGCGGCCTCAGACCAAACACTTGACACTTACTAGCTGTTTTACCCTAGGCAAGTCTCTTAACCCCGATTGCCTTAAAAAAAAAAAAAAGACCTTCCTCAAGAAACACATTCCCTGAATGTTAGAATGCACCAGATAGAACCAGTGGTTCCGTGAGTTGACAGGTATTAAAGTCAGAAGACCCATGCATGCTGGGCTGTGGGACACTGAGTGGCCCCTTTTGCTTCTGACCAGGGTCTTGCACTGTTCCGGACATGCTAGGGCCTGCCCCAAGCACTCATTGTGGGGTGAGTGCCGAGAGCCGCCCAGGAAGGGCAGGAGAAGCTTTTCCTTGGCGATGCCACTGAGTGGGTCCCAGAAAGGTCTGTGGGCAGAGGCCCCTCGCGTCACTGCCCTTCGCCCCTCTCCTCACAGACCATCCAGGAGGTACAGCCAGACGTGGTCGTGGTGGAGCTTTGCCAGTACAGGGTCTCCATGCTGAAGATGGACGAGAAGACGCTGCTGAAGGAGGCCAAGGAGCTCAGCCTGGAAAAGCTGCAGCAGGCCGTCAGGCAGGTAGGAGCCTCTCCCCTTTCATCCTGAGGAGTGCTGTGCTCCAGGTCAGGCTGCCCGAAAGGCCCTGGGCTCGCAGGGCCCCTCTGTGCTGCATGTCCCTGCTGTCCTCTTCACTGAGGAGTCCCATCCATTTCTCATGTTGAACCGTCGGACAGGACCAGGACACCATGATAGTTAGATCATCATACGTAAGTCTCTGCATCTTGACCATGGGGGTAGCAAGAGAGGATAGCAAACTGTTTTCTGAAAGCCAGCTAGACTGTGGCCACCAGCAATGCTGGCCTGGCCTGGCCTGTTTTTGGTTTTTTAAATAAATGTATTTGGTTTTAGTTTTCAACTTTCACTTTTATAAGATTTTGAGCTCTAAATTTTTCCCCCCTGCCTCTGCTCCCCCTTCCCCAAGACAGTGTGCGATCTGATATAGGGGATACATGTATGGTCATATTAAACACATCTCCACATTAGTCATGTTGTGAAAGAAGAATCAGAACAAAAGGGGAAAACCACAAGAAAAAAACAAAAAAGAAAAACTATCTGCATTCATAATAGCATTTTCCATCACGAGGCCTCTGGAGACGTCTTCGATCCTTGCACGCCTGAGAAGGGCTAAGTCTGTCAACGTCAGTCCTCGCACCACGTGGCTGTTACTGCACACGACATTCTCCCGGTCCTGCTCACTTCACGCGGCATCGATCCATATAAGTCCTTCCAGCGTTTTCTCAAGTCTGCTGCATGGCCTGTCCTTGCTAAAGCTGCGCCCGCTCTTAGATTGTGCACACGCTGTCCCTGTAGTTCCGTGCTCTGTAACTTCTGCAGAAACAAACTCTGTCGTCGTCTTCTCAAGACCTTCTTGGGTCCTGCAGCCCTCCCTGCTCCCCATGGCTGTTCACAGGTTGCTGATAGCAGCTTAGCAGGCAAGCTCTCAGTTCTTTGAAGGCCAGGATAGCGAGGGGGCTCTGCTGCTGCTGTTTCTTTGGCCTCTGTGTGTTGGCTGTTGTCGTCTGTGCTCTGGCCCGAAGGTCACGCTCCCTCACGTGGCCAGAGTTTACCTCCTCCTTCTTTGGCCCCAGACGTCATCGGTGTCCCCCGGGTCCCAGGCCTGCCCGCTTTGCTTCCCCTCGCCGGCCTTTCAGAACAGGCCCAGGCCTTTGCCTGCATCTTTTCAGACAATGACCCTTCGGTCACACCTTCTGTTTCTGCGTGACCTGTGCCCGGAGAGCCGGCTGAGTCCAAAGAAGGAGAATGGGGAGAGGTCAATGGTCGGCTCTTCCTCCTCTGTCCATCCCCAGCCGGGGCGGGGCGGGTCTTCCTCCTGTTGGGGGCTGGGCTCGGTCCTGACCACGGCAGCGGTTCATTTTGAGGCTTTGTTATTTTCCCCTTTATCTTGTGGATCCTTTCACATCATCACAGCTAACGTTTACAGAGTGCCCACTGTGTGGCGGACCCCGTTCTGAGCACTGAACGAATACTGCCTCATTTGAGCCTCACGACAACCCTGGGAGGGAGGTGAAGAAACAGGGGAAGTGACTTACCCAGGTTCACCCACCTGGACCGGTTCGAGGCCCCATTTGAACCTGCATCTTCTTGACTCCAGGCCTGGCACCCCCAGCGGCCATCGGTTTGTGTCTGCTCCTCACCTCCGTCACCTTTGCTGTCTCTTACATCGCAGCAGTGTTCCATCTCATCCGTGGGCTTAGCTTGTTTCGTCACTTTGTTGCCCCCCAGGCTCATGTTTTGTCTGTAGCTGTTAACCAGGACTCAGAGTGATGCTAGGGGTGTGTTACTGTGTCTTGGGGCTTCCTTTGCCCGCTGGCAGCAGGAGCCCTCTGTTAGCGTCATTTTGGGGGGCTTTCCAGAACGTTGGGGCTAGGGCTGGAGTGTGTGTCTTCCCACAAGCTCTCCGGGGTGACTTCCTGGCTTGCTGTCATCTCCAGTTTGCTGGGGCCTGAGATCTGGATTTCCTTCTTTCTTAGGGTTAGTGGCAGTCTTTCCTGTTGCCGCTGATGTTGGCCATTTGCGCTCTGCAGACCATGCGCTTACCTGCTCTAGCTTCTGGCTTCTTCCCAAGGTTAAGACTTAAGTCGCTCAGTGAGGTCTGGGTAGCCACACTCACACCCTTGTCCCGTGTGTCCCCATACCCCTCTAATGGGCGTCTTCTGAAAGCAGGAGCGTGTCCTGAGGATGATGGGCAGCCTTCTCCTCAGATCCAGGGCCCAGACTGCTCTCCCTGGCTGCTGCCAAAGGCTCCCTAAGGCAAGCTGGACAAGGAGTGGAGTGGCCCTTCGCGGGGTATGCTGGGATTTTCAAGCGGACCGCCGGGCACAGGGATGCACGTGCGTTTTTGCCCTGGTGGCTGTGACTGGCCGTCGTTTCGACAGAAGTTTGCATGCTGGGCCCTTATCTAAATTGGCTAGATCCATCTGGCGCCTCCTGGGCCATTTTGAACTGCCGCTCCCCGGCCTTATTCTCCCGGTGGGCAGTGAGAACTTCGCAGCAGAGTGACCAAAGCACGCTGCAACTCTCTTCCTGAATGATCGGGCCCCACGGTGGTTTCTTGGCTCTCGTGCGTGTCTCTGGTTCTGGCAGTGACTGGCTGTTGGGCGCTGGGGCCGTCATCATGTGAAGACAGAAGCTGGTGCTGGGCCCACCATTCGCTGCAGGAGGGAGGTGGACAGCGGGTGCTGGTGGTCTGCCTGGGGTCAGAGCAGAAGAGAAAACACCCCAGGAGCAGCCTGAGAAGCCACTTTACAGAATCACAGAACACCATAGGGCCACCGTGGTCTCCAGCGCAGCCGGGCCGAGCAGCGAGCCGGCCGCTACCTGGAGACCTTGGCCAAGGGGACCCCCGCCAGCCCCCTCACTGGGGGCAAGCTCACCACGGCAGCAGGGTCGGACTCGGTGTCCAGAAGACGCCTCTGGTGCCGAACTGAAGGAGGCTAATCCTTCCTCCTCCTCCTCGTGACTTCAGGTACCTGAAGACAGCTGCCGGGCTCCCTTGGAATCTCAGGACATCCTCTGTGGCAAGGACCCGAGACCCTTCACCACCCTCCTGCTCGCCTTCCTTCGGCCTGTGCCCAGCTCATCATTGTCCTCCTTAAGCCTTGGTTCCAGGGCCAGGGCCCAGGACTCCGGGGCAGAGGCCGGTGCAGCTCCCACATCCCTGTTCTGGGGGCCCCGGCTCTTTCTGTGGCCGACTCGCGTGGGCCTGGGTGTGGTCTGTTGAAATCCCTTGGTCTCCAAGAGTTGTCCTGCATCTTGTCCCTGGGATGTGGGGTGTGAGGCTCTGTCCCTCGTGGATGCGTCCTGCCAGGAACCTTTTGGGTCCTGAGTCTCTTGTGCTCTGATGGGGTGACCGTCGGACCCACAGAGCAAGGGAAGGAGAAAGTGGCAGGGAGGGCCGTGGACACCAGGCTTTTCCGTGGGCCTTCTGGGCCTTAGCTGTCATTCCAAGGAAGTCAGGTAATTAGGCCTCCTGTTGAGGCATCCCTGAGCAGCTGAAGTCTGCCCACTCTCTCTGGCTTCTCTTCTGTGCCTTGTTGGTCCCTGTTTTTAGCACATGGCCCCTCCCCAGTAATTCCTGAGAACCCGCCCTCCTTACTGAGACAGACCTAGTGGCCATATCTGCCACCCTGGGGGGCTGCCCGCTCCTCACTGGAGGGAGGACCTGCGTGTCCTCCCCAGTCCTCTGGAGTGACCATCGTTAGCTGTGCTGGTTCAGAGGTGACCAGCACGGTGAAAGAAGGCAGGATGAGACAGACCTCTGAGCATACCCTTATTCGTGTCTGGCTGTGCCGAGGACCCAGTAACCCTCTGCTCCCGGGCTGGGGGGAGAGGCCAGTGTTGCCTGAGATCTGCAGACTGGGCATGTGCAGCTCTCAGACATGGCACCCACCCCCCCACACACACACACACACACACACACGCACGCACACACACAGTGGCGCAGTGGCTGGAAGCCTAGGCCTGGCCGTGTCAGGAGCCCTGGGCTGGAGGCAGAGGGACTTGTCATCTTTCACAGGTGCTCGTTTGCGACGTCTGTGGATGTGCTCACAGTACTTTGACTGGGACGGAAGGTCAGTGGGCCGAGGACAGCCCAGGCCTTGGCACGCAGGAGGGAGGTGGTTCTCCAGCAAGAGCGTGAGCAGCAGGGTGTGGAAGAAGGTGGTCAGTAAGTGTCTGTTTAGTTGTTTCACTTGTGTCCAGCTCTTCATGGACCCATTTGGGGTTTTCTTGGTAGAGATCCTGGAGTGGTTGGCCATGTCCTTCTCCAGCTCATTTGACAGATGAGGAAACTGAAGCAAACAGGGTGAAGTGACTTGCCCAGGGTCACACAGCTAGTAAGTGTCTGAGGCTGGATTTGAATCAGGAAGAGTCTTCCTCACTCCAAGCCCAGCACTCTGTGCACCATGGTGCCCCCTAGCTGCCTATTAAGTGACCTTGAATCAGAAGTCATATTGGAGGCCGCCAGTCTTAGAGATGAAAGGTTTGTGTTTGAGTCTGGAGATTCTTCATCCCTCTGAGCCTCAGTTTCCTCATCTGTAAAATGGAGCCCCTTTCTCTTAAAGACTCTTGTCCTAAGTCTTCCAGGACGAGATGAATGGGAGGTGCAGGGGGCCTCTGGCAGGGGTGGCCAGTGCCGCGCAGTAAGGGTGGCGAGCGCCCTCCCCTCCAGGGCTTCCTGGGAATGTTTTGGGTCTCCGTCGTGTGACCACAAGCATTCATTAGGTGCCTACCACACGCCGGGCTGTGGAAGTGCAGATACAAAGAGTGAGCGTCTGGGCCTTTGAGGAGCTGTTGGGAGCTCATAGAGAAAAAAGAAGAGATGGGGCTCGGGGATGGCCCAGCGTAGAAGGGGGCTGGAGCTGTGTCTGCAGGGAAGAGAGGGTCTCGCTCATCAGGTGGCCTTGGAGAGCTGCCTGCTGACTCCCAGAGTGGCTCCTCTGGGCCTCGGCCTTTGACACTGCCCATCACCAGGCCCGTAGCTGAAGCCTTTGAATCTTCCATGGCCCGCAATCTCATGTAGGGCGTGGGGGAGACAAGTCACTGTGCAGGCAAGGTGCCCAAGGCGGGGAGTCAGCCTTCTAGGACAGGCCTCGGGCTGATCTCTGGAGCCACTGCCCATGATGTCCCTGGCACCTGGCCCTGGGAGTGAGCCTTCCAGCATCCTGGTGGAGCTGCCAGCTCCCTGTCACCCCGTGTTTGGATAGGCCTGCCCCTAAGCCCAGGCTCAGCCACAGGGGGATTAGTTGTGCCCTTGGCCCCATCGGATGTGTGCTTTTCAAAATGTCACTGACGCTTTGAACTGCGGTTTGGGGTTGGGAGGAGAGTGCCTGGTCTGACTGCCAGAAGTGTCTCTTCCCTCCCCTCTCACTCTTCTGGGGAGGAATATGTCCCCTCTTTGAAAAACCCTTCCTGTGTTGGGGCAGCTGGGTGGTGCAGTGGATAGAGCACTGGCCCTGAAGTCAGGAGGACCTGAGTTCAAGTCCGGCCTCAGACACATAACACTCACTAGCTGTGTGACCCCGAGCAAGTCACTTAACGCCATTGCCTTAAAAAGAAAAACCCTTCCTGTGACCAGCAGATTCAGGCTGCCTACAGCGGCCCCTCGTCCCACTGTCACTGTCTGCTCTACTGGAGTGAAGACCCCCTTCCTCCCCCTTCCTCCTTGTTCTTACCCCGGAAACCTGATGCTGGTGGTGTTTGTGAATTAAATTTGGGTCGTGTTTGTTATCTGGTCCTGACAGACGCCAACAGACACAGAAATAGTGTCACACAAAACTGAGTCCGCCTTGTTTCCTTCTGTACAAGGGTGGAAGTAATTCAGCCCAGTGGTTTCAGAGCCCTCTGACCATCCTTCTGTTCTCTTCTGGGCTTTTTTCCTTTAAAGTTTCATTGGCACACCTCTCTTTTCCGTTCTTCCCACCTGCCAAGTCATTCCTTGTCGCGGTAAGGAATCTGGGCACATGGCTGCTTCTCTCAGCGTCAGTGTGTCTCCCTCTGCACCACAGGGCCCTCCCCTCTCGGGCAGCAGGCCAGGGCCTTGGGAGGCCTCGCAGGGCACCGTTGGCTCAGAGCTCAAGCGTTGCCGTTTTCCCTGCTCGGAGTTCTTGTTGTCTAACTTGATCTCGGTTCTTGCCCCCTTCCCTTAGCATCAGTTCAGACAAGATGTCACAGGTTTCTCAGAAACTCCTCCTGCATCATTTCGTAGGCCACAGTGGTCTTCCATTGCAGGCGTGTGCCATCATCTGTCCAACGGTCCACCCGTTGATAGGGCACCCTCTTTTCCAGTTCTTTGTTATGACAAAAAGATGCTGCTGGTGTTTTTTGTACACACATGGTCCTCATCCTTGCATCTTCTCATAGAGTAGGCCTCACAGAGGCGCCCTCTGTGCTGGAAACTCCACGTAATTTGGTGACTTGGGCCATCGGTCCAAACTGCCTTCCAGAGTGGCTGGGCTGGTTCCCTGGACTCTGAGCGAGGCATCATGTGCCTGTTTTTTCCCGGCCCCTCCACTGGCCTGAATTTCCCTTTTTTGGAGAGCTTTGCCCATCTGTTGGGTGGGTGCTGCTGGGGCTTCAAGCTGGCTTGAATTTGCAGTTCTCTGAGTAATGCTCTGAAGCTTTTTTATGTGGTCATTGATCCCTTGTTTTTCTCATTTAAAACTGCTTGTTTGTTTCTTTTGACCTTTCGTTGCTTGGGGAATGACTGTTGTTACTTATTTAAATCTGTCCCCTATATATCCTGAGTATCAAGCCGCTAGCAGAGACTCCTGCTTGCTGCAAAGCGTTGTTTTTTCTTTTCTAGTTTTCCTGTTTCCCTTCTCATTTTAGCTGCCTTGATTTTGTTTGTGAAAGAGCCTTTCAATTTTATGTAATCAGAATTGTCTGTTCTAACTTCTGTGATTCTCTGTGCCCTGCTTGGTCAAGAACTCCCTCCTCCTCCCTGTCTCTCTGTCTCGTCTCTCTCTTCTCTCTCTCTCTTTCTCTCTCTCTCTCTCTTCTCTCTCTCCTCTCTTCTCTCTTCTCTCTCCCTCCCTCTTCTCCTCTCCCCCTCTTCTCTATTCTCTCTCTCCCTCTTCCTCTCTCTCCTATCTCTCTCTCTCTTCCCTCTCCCTCCTCTTCTCCTCTCCCTCTCCCCTTCTCCCTCTTTCTCCTATCCCTCTCTCTCTCCCTCTCTCTCCTTATCTCTCTCTCTCCCTCTCCCCCTTCTCCCTCTTTCTCCCTATCTCCCTCTCCCTCTTTATCTCTCTCTCCCTCTCCCTCCCCTCTCCCCCTTCCCCTCTCCCCTTCCCCCCTCCTTCTCCTCCCCCTCCCTCTCCCCCCATGGTTGTGTGGCACCTCTTAGTCATTTACAAGTTCACCTCCCCATGAGATGCCTTCCTGTCACATTCTTCTCATCTGCTAGCACTCAACGGAAGCCTGGCTCCCTGCATCCCTGGGCTGCCCTCTCCAGTCCTGGGAGCCTGTGGGCCCCTTTGTGATGATCCCTCAGAACCTCTCAGTGCCGTCTTGCCCTCTGCTCTGTGCAGACAGCCTGGCCTCCCAGCGTCCGTAATCTGCTCCTTCAGGTGCAGCCCTGCAGTCCCCAGCGATGGTCCCCTCTTGGCCCTCACCCCTACCTGAGCTGCCTTCCCTCTCTGTCTGATCTTTTCCTCTCAGCCAGTCACCTCCATCCTGGCCCCTCTTTCCTCCCCTTGCAGTTCTGATTCCAGAACTGGCCAGGATATCTGCGTGCCCTCCTCGTCTGTTGTCTGGCCCACTGCACAGTCTCACTTGGGCCTTCCGGGGCTTTCAGTAATCAGTATTTTGTCATCCGTGTGTTCGATGGCCGGCTCTTCCTCTCCTTAAGCAGAGGGCCTCCCCTCCTGCTTTCCAGATGAAGTAGCGACCATGACCATCTGCTGGGAGCCCCCTCCTTCCCTGAGGGTCACTGGGCACGTGGGCTTTGGGAGGCTGGAGAATGGGCACTCCCCCACCGGCCTGCTTGCTAGCCAGAATTCTCAGTCCCAGTCACCTGGGCCTGCCTCTCCTGCTGCTGCCAGCCACTCAGGAGGTTGTTCGATGAGGCCAGCGGGCCTTCAGGCCTGCCCCTTGGCCCCGCTGGCCTCATCTCCACATGAGATAACCAGGCCCTCTGCCACCCTTATGCACCCCTCTACTTCATTGCCTCTAATGCCTTGGAGTCCGTCAGTTGGCAAGTACTTCTTAGCCCCGCCTTGTGCCTAGACCCTGTGCTGGGGGTGTGGAGTGGAGATGGTCCCTTCCCTCAAGGGTCTGGCTCTCTGTCGGGGCAAGGGCACGTTCCCTGACAAGGAGATGCCAAGTGTTTGGGGTGTAGAGCTGAGGCTTCACTTGGGAAACTTGGTTGTAGCTGTTTGCCCTTTGAACCTTCTTCAAGCTGGGTTTGAGGGAGGGGAAGACTAGGCTGGAGCCTGGCTGTGCTGAGGGTGACTGTCTCTAGAAGGCCCTGACACGCAGAAAGAGCCAAGTTCAGCGGCTGTGGGGAGTGGGGCTGGCAGCAGGCCTCAAGGCACTGGGCAGAACCACGCTGGAGTTATGAGGCCTGCACGGGTGTCCTGGGGCCTCCCGTGTTTGTTGGGGCAACGTCGCCCACAGCCTGTCTTTAATTGTCAGTGGCAAACTTGTCATTGTCCCTGTGAGTCAATATTTGAGGGCCTGGGCATGGTGCTGTGGCATCACCGTCCTCCCAGAGTGGGCTCAGCCTCTGCCCAAGGCTCCCTTCACTGCCGCCTGGCATCTCTCCCAGGACCCCTCCGGCTGGGCCCCAGTCTGTCTTGCTCCTTCCCAGTGATGGCCCCACCCTGACCTCCCCTGGACTGTGCCACGTACCCCCCCCACCTCATTCCCACATCTGTACTTTTACTCTCCCTGTCTCCCATTATCATAAGACCTTCCCAGTCTCTCCTTCCCAGAAAAATAGCCGTCTCCCCATCCTCCCTGGCTTCTTCCTTCATAGGGAGCAGGTGTGTGGTGCCTGGCCTGTCAGCACTCTGGGGCTGCCCCCTTTGGAAAGCCAGGGCTGAGCCACGGCCTTCCATCCACCCTTTCCCAGCCTTGGGGAGGCCTCGGTTCTCTGCCCTCTAACAGACTGTGCCTCCCTCTTGCCTCCAGAATGGAGTCATGTCAGGCCTGATGCAGATGCTCCTTCTGAAGGTCTCGGCGCACATCACAGAGCAGCTGGGGATGGCCCCTGGGGGCGAGTTCAGAGAGGCTTTCAAGGAGGTGAGTGCAGGTGCCCCGGTCTGTGTCCTGCCCTCCACGCTGTGGTCTGGGACAGACGCAGGGAAAGGGCTTCATTCCTGAATCCAACAGGGATGGTTTCACTGATGGGCGGATTTCAGGAGCTAGCCAGCACTCTTTTTCTCTGAGGAGCTGAGACTTCCCTTCTGACCCCTGCCCTGACCACCACCCACCCCTCCCTCCAGACTTTCTTTGTGAAGTTGAGAATTCAGTGGGACGAGGCCCCCATCAGCCCAGGGAAGCCTGTTACTAAGTCAGATTGCAGGCTGTGTAGCCACCCAGGGAGGCCTGGACTAAGGCAGGGGGACCCCGGCTCTGTAGTCTTTGGGCCCATCCAGGCAGACTTTCCCTTATCCCACCTGGTAGGACCCAGGGTGTCCCCTAAGACCTTGTGGCTAGAGTGCCCCCACCCCGGAACTCTGGGCCACCCTTGTTGCCTTAGGGAGGAGGGGCAGAGGGAAACCTAGGACCCGGCCCCGAGGAAGTGAGTGAGTCTCCTGTCAGCCCCAGGCTATGCTGGGTGCTGAGAAATCAGGGTTACTGTGCTCAGCCCCAGTCAGTGGTGTGTCCTGCCCAGTCTGCGTGGGCCAGACCTGGCCAAAATGACTGACCTTCTCTGTCTCTTATCTCCTTCCCCTCCTTCCCCTCCCTCTGCTTCCTTGTCCACCTGCTGTTTGGTGGTGAATAGAGCTCTGTGTTTTTGTTGTGAAATAGCTTTTTCTTAAGGGAGACCACAGGAAAGACAGTATATCATTTACTTGCAAAATATAAAATTACCTGAGGCAAAGGCAGCATGAGAGTTGGCACAAAGCACACATCCGCTCGCTGGCCAGGCACCGAGGGCCGTGGGCCACGCCCACCAAAACCCCTGCCCGCCTGACCTCAAGGCCCACCGCCTTCCCTGAGCCCTCCTCTCCAGGCACCCACAGTGCTTGACCCCCACCCACTTCTGTTGCAGGCCAGTAAAGTACCTTTCTGCAAGTTCCACCTTGGGGACAGGCCTATCCCGGTGACTTTCAAGAGAGCCATCGCGGCCCTTTCCTTCTGGCAGAAGGTGAAGCTGGCCTGGGGCCTGTGCTTCCTCTCTGACCCCATCAGGTACGTGGGCCCTCCCAGGGCCCAGCTTCACAGGTCCCTCGTTTGTTTACCACATGGGAGAAGCAGCCTCCATTTCACCCCTCCCCAAAATTAGGACCAGGGAGGTAGCCTCTGCCCACCTTTCATGGCCATAGCCCGTGTGGAGCACAGTGGGCACTTGTGGCCTCCATGCTCTGGGAGGGGTGTGGCCGGCTGGAGGCAGGCACACGGGGCGGGTGGGACACAAGGCTCACATGGGACCCCAACACCCTCCCCACGGACGCTCCATGGGCCGCAGCAGAGAGAGATCAGAGCGCTTCACAAACAGGGTGCGCAGCCTTGTGAGGCCGTGAGTCTTGAGCTCATGACTGTCAGAGGGGTGCCCAGCCCCTTGGCGTGGGTGATGCAATTCAGGGACCTCCATCTTCTTTTGTAGCTCTGAGGATACCCTGAGCCTGGTGTCGGGCTGTGGTGACCCTGGGGCCAGACCTCCTGCCCACCTGTCAGTCAGGTGAACTTTATCTGACATGGCCAGGCAGGAGGCCTTTGTGTTCAGGCTGTCCTGGGGGGGCGAGCTGGGGGTGTCCCCTCTAGCTGTCTGCTCCCCATCCCAGCATTCACACAGAGAATCATGCCTCTGGCTACTTGTAGTCAGTCCCTAGCTGACCCTGGGGAGTCAGAGTTAGCCTAGGATGAAAGGCACCTGATGGGTCCTTTCTGGGTGATCGGTCTCCCAGGCAGGGAAGGCTCCAAGAGATCAGAGCCACCACGCCCCCGCCTGAGTGATCCAGACATGTCCCATGTCATCTTCCTAGCTGGTGCCCTGGGGAGGCCCGTGCAGACCTGTCATTGTGCCCTGGGGCCACGCATCTCCCTCTGCCTAGCCCGAGAAGGAGAGGGCCTTCGGCGGAGTTGCCTTGCCACATTCTGGCATGGCTTTGCTTGAGTGGAGGCTGGGCTTAAATCAGCAGCTTAAATTGCTGCTCTCGTATCTGGGCACCTGGTTCCCAGAGAGCTCAGAGGCCCTCATCTTACAGAGACGGAAAGCGAGGTCCAGGGACCCCCAGGGGTCGGCCTGCTCAGGAGCGGTTGGACTCCTGCCCCGTTGACGATCAGCAAGCCCTTGGACAAGTGCCCTGGGAGGCGGCTTAGGTCCTTTGGTCTTTTGAAGATATTTATAAGGAGGAAGAAAAGAAATAAGAGACCAGAATAGGGCCATTGAACGGTGAATGAAAGAAAATCCTCCAGGCCTAGTTTCCTCCCCAGTGTTGCAGAGAGAACGTTGCCTTGTGTACCAGGACCTGTGTCCCCAGATAGATAAATAAAGGGGTGTGGCTTTGAGATCCCAGCCTGGAGCAAGCTGGGCCTGAGAATCCCATGGGGGGCCGTGCTTCGGGTCAGGGTCAGGGTCCCCCAGGAATCACCATCAGTCCGGGCTTCTGCCTCCCTGCTGTGTGCCACGGAGGCAGGCTGCACACGGTGGTCCTGGCTCCTCGGGCCCAGGGAGCCGCCCCAGGCCCCCCAGCGGCCCCTCCTCTCTCTCTCTGGGTTCCCAGTAAGGATGACGTGGAAAAGTGTAAACAGAAGGACCTGTTGGAGCAGATGATGGCGGAGATGATCGGCGAGTTTCCCGACCTCCATCGTACCATCGTCTCCGAAAGAGACATCTACCTGACGTACATGCTGCGCCAGGCCGCCAAGCGGCTGGAGTTGCCGCGCGCTTCAGAAGGTGAGGGGTGGGCCTACTGTGTGCAGGGCAGGGCGGGAAGAGACAGGCAAGCGCGTGAAGCGCCTACTGTGTGCCCGGCCCTGCGCTAAGCGCAACAGCTGTGAGAGGGAGGTGCTGTTATCATCCCCATTGTACAGATGAGGAGACCGAGGCAGGAAGCGGTTCATTACTTTCTCCTGTATATATTGTGTGTGTATGCGGCTATTTGTGTGTTATCTCCTCTTTGAGGCAGGGACTGTCTTTTGCCTCTTTTTGTGTCCCCACTGCTCAGCACATTACCTGGCACAGAGTAGGTGCTTAACAAGTGTTCACACCAGATTTGAGAGTGGCTGGAGGTGCTGGTGGACGATGCCCGGAGGGAGAGAGAGGGTAGGGGTGGGGGCAGGAGTTATGGGAGAAGAGGTGCCCTGTGCTGTGGGCCCTGAATGGTGGGTGGAGAGAGGAGCAGGGCTGGACATGCCCTTGCGGGGGGGTGTTGGTGACCTTGTCAGGCAAAGGGGAGGCTTCTCAGGCAGCCCATCCTCTGAGTCGGGGATCCCCCAGGAATCCTAGGAAGTTACATGCCCCAGGCGCTTTGCCCAGGCTTCGCTTGGGGCTCTTCCATCCCCAGGGTGGTCAGAGATGCAGTGGAGGGACAGCTCCTCAGTAAGCCTCCCCTCCCTCATCCCCGTCCCACAGCCGAGCCCAGGAAGAGCATCCCTTCTGTGGTGGTCGGAGTGGTGGGAATGGGCCACGTCCCTGGCATCGAGAAGAACTGGAGCACAGACTTAAACATCCAGGAGATTATGAGGTGAGCCTCCCAAGGACTGAGCCCTTGGAACTTGCTTCTTCGAACTTCCCTTGAGCCCGGGTCGTTCTGGGTCATCCTGGGTCTGTGCTCTCTCTGTCTCTCTCTCCGTCTCTGTCCGTGCTCTCTGTGACTCTCCCCCCCTGCCCTCCTTGGCTCTGAGGAAAGCAAGGGACTGTAGCACAGATGGCTGACCTGTCTGCCCCGCCCACACGTAAGCTCCCCAAGAGCTGCCTGCGCAGCCGCACCACTGAGCCTGCCGAGGCTGGCTGTTGGCGGCCTGGTGCGCATTCTTCCTCAGTTACTCACTGCACCACCCTGGGTGTCCCAGCCTTGAGGCTCAAGTGCACCAGGCCCTTCCTTCAGGGAGGCTTAGAGATGCAACCGGGCATCCAAGGATACAGGTTGAGGGTAGGGCGGAACTTCCAAGACTGTTGAGGCCAATTCCTTCATTTTACAGAAGGGGAAACTGAGAGAAATCATGCAGGGAGGCCCTCCAGAGGAGGGTCCGCTTCCAGTGGGGGAGGCTGTTGGTGGAAGGAGAGTAAGTCTGGGGAAAGGCAGAGGGGCAGAGCAGCTGCTGTGGAGGCCTCGTGCTGCTTGGGGACACGAGAGGGCCTTGAACGCCTCTTTAGCCAGGGAGTCACACGGTCGCCTCTGGGCATGGGGGGGGGCAGTGTGGCCATCCACCTCGCAGGGCTGGAGGGTGAGCCTGCCTCTTCTTGCCTTTGTCTTCCAGCGTTCCTCCCCCGTCCATCTCTAGCAAGGTGTCCAGGTTTGTCGTGAAAGCTACCTTCTTTGGATTGATGTGCTACGGCTTCTACCGGGTGGGAAAACGGACGGTCACCCTAATCCTTTCCATGACAGCCACGCGGTGGTCGTGTCTCCAGAGACTGGCTGAGATCAGACCTCAGAAATAAGGCGGCGGCGGCGGCCGGCAGAGCCAGGCGGGCAGCAACCAAAAACCAGAACGGGTGCTAGAAGCCACGCGCATGCGGGGCCTGCGGGAGCTGGGCAGGGCTGGGGGCCAGGGGCCGGGGCCGGGCCGATGTTCGTCGAGTGTCGGCGAAGCCTGGGGTTGTGTTCAGGCAGCCTTGAGCATCTTCTGGCCTGGGTTCCTTCCCCCGAGGGTCTCTGGTGGTGGGTTTCTGCCGAGCGGTGCAGGGACCGCTCTGGACCGTGTCGGTATCATGATACCATTGTTAGTTTTTGGTGCCAAGCACCTATAGGATAAGACAATTTAATGATCATCTTGTTATGGGGAGAATTTTATATCAGTCATCAGCGTCTGTGTGTGTGTGTTGGGGAGCGTGGGGGGTGCTGTTTTAAAAGCTCCTAGCTTCTCAAACAAACCCGGTAGCTGCAGACCTGACTGTCTCACGTGCCCATCCATGGCAGCCAGGTAACATGGACCCCTCCTCCGCAGTGGCCTTCAGCCCTGGCCCCCTCACTCCTCGTCCCCCGTTGCCCAGTGGCGCAGGCCAGCAGCAGGGCCCCCTCCGTGTTTACCAAGGGAACAGCTCAGGGGAGGCTGCCCAGCCAGGCCTTCCCCAGACACAGCTTTCTCCCCGGGAGGCTTTATTTAATGAAACGATGCTTCGCAGACTGGTCAGCAGGACGCGGTTTGGTGGGTTTAGTGACGTGGTTGGGCACCAGCTGCTCTGTCGCTGAGGGGTTCAGGGGCTTTACCTCCAGGGCTGTTGCCTTGGGTCCATCTAAGACAACTCGCCTTCTTTCCCCTGCCCTCTGCCCCTTGCACACCTCTCCTTTCCAAATCATGGTCTGGAATGCAAGGGTCCCAGTGCCCCCACCCTGTTGAGGCGTGGGATAAGTCCTGACTGCCTAGAGGGGCAGGCTGTGGCTGCTACTTCCTGCCACGGGAGACTTCCCACATGGCCTCTTGGTGCCCTCTCTGGGCCCCCTTGCCCAGCCCACTGGCTCCATCTCATCCACTTCCCTTGAGCCTTGGGAGGGACCTCAGAGACATGCTCAGTCATCTCTTGCCATTAAAAGCCACCGAGTCACGCCCCCCCCCCAGCCTGCACAGGCAGGTGTGCCTTTGGCCAGCCCCTGATGGTACCAGTTGCTAGGGAGCAGGGGTGTGAGCCTTGGCCTTCCTCAGCTTTAGGGGCCCAGCCGGGAGGCCTGGACTCTGCTTTGCCTTCTTGGGGGTTTCTTGGTTCATGTTTTGGTTTTTTTTTTTAAGGTATTTCTAGCTTGTATAGTTCTGTGTGTTCTGCTTTTAAAAAGCTGATAAAACCTCTGCTCAGGTAATTTTAATTAAAAAGAAAACTAATTAAATGTCAGACAAGCCTTAAGCTGGGTTAGGACAGACAGTAGGCTTGTCTCCAAGCCTGTGGCCTGGGAGCAGCGAGGGGGTGGGCTGAGGCAGCTCCCGGGAGGTGTGGCCCTGGCGGAAGCTGGGAAAGGGAAGGTCTGACAGCCAAGAACCAGAGGTGGGGGCTTCTCCTTTGGCTTAGGGGCAGGTTGGTTGGGCCTTTGGCCGCCGCCTGCCCCCTCCCTCTGTTTCCTCTCTCCAGTCCGTCCAGCCAGCCAGCCAGCCATCCTCCTTGTGTGAGAGCCTGCAAAGCCATGTTGTGCTGGGGCCACAGGGGGTTCTCCTGACCCCTGGGCCTTTGGGCCCGAGCTGCTGTTGGGAATGGTCTGCCCCCATCCTGTGGGACAAGATAGAGTATTGTAAGCCCCCCTCCCCAGCCTGTGTTCCTGTGCTTGGCAGTCAGAAAACAGCAGTGGGGGGTCCCTTGCCTCGAGACACCCAGCCAGGCCGTGGCAGGTCCTCAGATGGGACGTTGTGTCTCCCACATGAGTGTCCCTAGGTGTGGAGGAGATGTTGCATCTTCCAGGACTGAGCTGGGAAGATGGTCTTGTAACCTGTCCCCCGCCCCCAGACCTGCTCCTGAGGCTGTCCACCTGCTCGTGGCTCTGTGACCAAAACTGTCCTGTCTTATGTGCCCTGGGCCTGGAGGAGATTGTGCTGATGATGCCCATGCTGCTGCTGGGGGATGAGGGCCTGAGGGGAAAAGAAATTCATTTCTCCCCCATTCCATAGACATTTGTTGAGCACCTAGTGTATTCCAGGCGCTGTACTAAGGCAGCAGAGAAGTAGTTGCTTCCCTCCCCGTTCCAGCCCTGGCTGCCCACCTTCCACCCTCTTCGTCTCCTTGTATAGAGCAGACTGCTTTTATGACTGTTTACAAAATGCTTTAGAGATAAATTAATGTCTTTTTGATGCAATGGGCCAGAGTCTGGCTATTGACCCACTTTTCTGACTCAGTGTTGAACCAAATCAGATGAAATGTAACCGGTTGGAGAATGTTTCCCCAAAGTGTCATGAAGACCATGGGCCAGCTTGGCGGGCAGGGCCAGCCGGCCGCTCTCAAGGCGAAGCGCCACGGTTTCTTAAGTGCCAGGCTGTAGTTACAGGCTACAGTCCTCTCAATCATGTCCTTCGTGTAATTCGGAGATTTGTGGTTTCCTTGTGAAATTAAAATAAACTTTAATTTTAGAAGATGGTGTTTCATTGACTTTATTTAAATAGGACTCAAAGTAGAGGTATTGGGGCTGAGAGAGGCCAGCTTGAGAGATGGGACAGGAAGGGAAGAGCCATTGACCTCAGGGCACTCTGAGCATTGTGGGACCAGAGAGGAGACCTGTGGAATAATTGAGAACTCTTGTGTCCTACAGGAGTCTCCAGCCCTAGGAGGAGACAGGCCGTGAGCTGGGCCGGGTTTAGAAGGCTGGAGAGGACAAAGGAGGGATGTTCAGGTAGGTGAGAAGAGGGGGGTCCTCCCCAGGTGGGAGAGAGAGGAGGGGAGTGCTCGGGCTGGAGAGGAGGCAGCCACAGGGGGTGGGGAGTGGGAGGCGGGGTTCCTGGGCCACCTTCTCTCTGAATGTAAGGACAGCCCCAGTTTAGCCAGCCGAGGTGATGACGATGCCAGAGCCCTGTCTGCTGGTAGGCATGGCCCCCTCCAGTTCAGTTAATAAATGATTCCCTTGAACTCAACCACCTGTCTCTGACTTGTGCCTCTCTGTTACCTCATACTCCAATTCTGGCCCTTCTCTTCACAAGGCCACCCCCTCTAAGCTCCCAACTGCCCTAATTGGCTGTGTGGCCCCTTCCTCTCTTCAGTCCACCCCACCCCCCCATCCTCCTGTGTCCTTGGTCCTGGTCCATTGCACACCCTCCCCCTCCCCCTTCAGTGACTCCCTCTTACCTTGAGGGCGAGAGGCCAGATGCTTCATTGGAGGGATGTTCAGAGGACCAGCCCCTCAGGTGGGAGCATTGCTGAGCCCTGTCCAGGGCTGCTCATCCACCTTCGGTGTCCAGCTGGTCACCTGACTCAAACTGGTGGTCCCAAGAAGCTGTAGCATGTGCAGCAGCCACACCCCGAGAAAGCCATCTCTTTGGGTGGCCGGCGATCCTCAGACCCATTGATGAAGGGGCATGTCTACCCCAAGCACATGGGTGGGTGAGAAGAGTTTATTCCAACAGGAAGGCGGCAGAAGGAGGCACGGTGGGGCGCTCAGAGCCTGGCCGGGCGTCCCCTGCATCCCTGGTGTCGCTGGTCGTCCTGACTGTGGTCCTGCTGCTGGACCTTCTGAGGCTGACGACAGCGCTGCCTCACTGAATCCAGTTCATGTGAGAGTCATGACATCCCCGTGCCTAGGGAGTGTAGACGATTTCTGTGTGAGGGAGTGATGTCAGGAGCTGACCGTACAACATCTTCGGGACTGGAGATGGGGAGGGAGGGAGTGGAAGCAGGAAGACTGTGAGCCTGCAGGAAGAGCTCTGCTGGGCAGACATTCATTCCCGTTCTTCAACTTCTACCTGGAGCAGAGGAGAAAGAGCAATTATTAAGCTTCTACTGTGTGCCCAGCATAGTGCTAAGCTCTAGGGATATAAGCAGCAAGACAGTCCCTGCCTTCAAGAAGCTTACACGCCAGAAAAGGAAGACAACACTTAAAAGAGGTGCTTGAAGGTGGGAAGGAATAGTGGGAAGGGGCTGGTAGGAGAAGGCAAAAGCTCCCCTAACAGAGCCGAGGCCCCGGAGGGGACGAGGGGAAGGTGATGGCCCAAGTAGAAGTGTGGTGAGGGGCAGATGGGAAGGGTGACTGCAACCTCTCCTTGGCCCTGACCAGTGCCAAGCCAATGACTGCCCGTTGGACATCTCTCTCTGCGTGTCGATCGGTGAGATCCATGCTTATCAGAGAGAGCAGATGACGAAGAGCAGCTGGTTTTCCCTAGGCCCTCTCTTCCTCATTTACCATTTCTGTCCTTTCCTTCCCAAGCTAAAGGTCATTTCTCCTTCGCAAAGAAAACAGCATGTGAGTAGTTGTAGCTTCCCTCCACCATCTTTAACACAACCCTACTCTTGGGAAGCATCGGTCCCAAACCCTCATTCTTGTCCCTAAAACTGCTTCTTCAAAATCCCGTGAGCTCTCATCCCTGAGGAATTGTGGGTGAGTCCTCCCCCCCAGTCTGTAGGGCTATGAGCAAAGTAAAATGAAGGGGAGAGAGAGAGAGGTGTGTCTGTGTCTCAGAGCAGCCAGAGAATGTTTCTCTTTCACTGTCGTTTTAAATATTAAGATGGCTTTGAGTCATTTTTAAAATCTCACCATTGGCCAGCACTTCCGCTTTGCAGGTAAGCAGTGTGAGGCTCAGGAGGATGGAGGGGTTTGATGGGGGGAGCAGAGCTCTGCCAGCCCAAAGTCCCAGGTGGGCCCTTTGCTGGGAGCTGCAGAGCAGGGACCGTTTCCCTCCATGTGTGTGCAGCCAGCATGGTACATGGCACACATAGTTGGTGTTCATGAGTGCCTGTTGATTTACCAGGCCAGAAGGAGCCTCGGTGGCGCTGGCCCACCCAGGAATCCTCTGTAAAAGCCCAGTGCCAAACAGCTCAGGCTGGACACTGAGAGTTCTCATTTCCTCCTACAGCCTGGTCTGCAGGCCTTTCGCCACCCCCAGCCTCCTCTGGCCCTCGTCTTTCCTCAGCTGTGGCGTCCAGGCCGCAGCTGCATCCCAGGTTCATTTGCAGATGAGGACTCGTTGGGGAAGACGAATGCTTTGGATCAGAGGGAGGGTGGTGTGTCCAGAAGACCAACCCCAAGTTCAGCAGCTAGGGATACAGGAGAAGGCGCATTACTGGGGCTTCGGGGGCTTTGTGGTCCCAGAAAAAGGCCCCCCAGTGTAACACCTGGCCTGCCACCGTTCCTCCCGCTGCCCTGTACTGAGCGCTGATCCGGCCAGAGCCAGTGCCTGGCCCTCTGGAGGTCACAAAGCATTCTGTCTAGGTTAGATGTCCTTGTAGCACTGGTCAAGCATGGCCTGAGAGCCACCTGTGTCAGAACCCTGGGGCTCCCCAACCTGCCTGTTTCCCTTAGAGAGAGGAGCCCCTAGAGTGTCTTCCCCAGCTGGAACCTCCCCTAAGACTGTCCTTTCAAGCCAGGGGTTGCCCCAGCACTGCCTACCTCGGGGTAAGGGTTCCCCCAGGGCGCAGCCTCCCCATGCCAGTGTGCCCCTCAGTCAGGGCAGCACCCAGCCCTGGTTCTGCTTGATTGCAAGAGATGCTTGTGTTGACTTAGGGCTGGGTCCCCTTGAGCTAAGCAGAGATGTCAGGGGATGGATTGAAGACACAGCTGGTCACGCACACCCCTCGGGTTGGCCAATGGCCACCTTTGTTCTTGACAATTTCCAGAGTTTGCCCTTCCTCCCCAATCCCAGCCCAACCCTCACCCACCTATGGGAAGAGGATCCCACAGACATCCTTGGAAGCCGGGAGGGAGCTCAGAGTCTACGCAGAGGATAAAAGCAAAGCTGGAGGCTGGCTCAAGGTCTCAGAAAGATCTCTCTGGAGGGAGGTCACCGTGGCCGAAGGCTGGCAGCAACGCTGTCCCAAGGAGTCACTACCAGGCAAACCCTGTGAGTCTTCACAGCCCCCGGCCCTGCCCTCAGGGAGCTCCCAGTCTAGAGTAGAGGCAAAAGTCTAGCCTGAGGTACCATGATCAGTGCGATGGAATGGAATGGAACTCTGAGAAGGTGATGGGCATCGGGGCAGGCTTCTTGGGAGCAGGCCTGGCGCTGTAGGAGTGGGACATTGCCGAAGCAGAAGTCTGGCGGGGGAGTGAGGATGGGGCAGGTGCAGCCAGGAGGTGGCTTCTCTGCTGGTTTGCCATTGTTTTCCGGCCTTAACTTGTGCCTTATTCAAAGGCCAAGGCCTGAGCATGTGTAGGGTGGATCTACTTGGTTGTATTTAACATTTTTTTTCCACTCCATCTCAAGATGGGCCTGGCCTGGGCTCTATAGGCAGGGGGATTGATCCCCAAATGCTAACTTGGAGGATGGCTCCCTGGTGACTCTAGGCAGGCCCCTCTCTGAGCCTCAGTTTCCCCCTCTGTAAGGTGGGAATAAGAATGCCTACATCCTGTAACCCCTCATTTCGGAGGAAGGTCATTGCCTTGATGGGGAAGCTGAGGCTCACTCAAAGGTGGTAGAGGGAAGAGGAAGAAAGACTCTTTGACTGTGTGTGGGCCCAGCCCAAGCACACAGCACTCAGGCCTGTGGGGGAGGAAGTTCCACCCAAGCCAAGTGGGGCCGTTCTGTCCCGCCCCAGGTGCCACCCTCTCTCAAGAGGCATAAACAGCCCGAGCCCCAGGGTGAATGGGGCAAGTTGGCTTCTGGGAGGCAGGAGACAGCTCATGTAAGCCAAGCCCTGAAGGGATGGGAGCTCAGAGAGGGGAAAGGGTGCTCAGGAAAGGGGTTGGGGGCTCGGAGAGGGGGATGGGGACTGAGGCAAGGGGTTGGGGGCTCAGGCAAAGGGTCGGAGGAGATGGGGGTTTAGAGAGGGGGACGCAGACTCACTGAGGGCAGTGGGGACTCCAGATGGAGTCAGGCCCAGGGGTGTCAGTATTCAGCACCCACAACGCCTCCATCTCTCCAGCCCAGAACAATGGCACCGGTGACACAGGTCAGCTTTGTCCTTGTCCTCATCCTACTCTCTCTGCCACCCATCAGTCTGGGAACGCTGAAGAGGCGGGTAAGTGCCTGTCTGGGAAGACCGGGACCTTGGGCCCCATGCTTGCTGTCCTGGCTGCACAGCTGCAGGGGGTCCGAGTTCTCTTCTCTCCCTTGGCCTGGCTCCTTAGCCGGAGCTCCTCCAGATGTTCCACACCCCGTTTTCTTCCCAGACCTCGGCGTTTTCTCCTTCCCCACCTCAGCACTCCAGGAAGGCATTGTCTCCAGCTTCTGCCTAGCTGCCAGGGAGTTCGGGGCCCCCAGCTGGTGAGCACCGGAGGAGGGGCCGGGCTTGAGGCAGGCCTAATAGGGGTCCCCCAGTGAGCGACCTGAGGGCCTACCGGTAGTGGGCTCATAGCTTCCTTTGGCTTTGCACGCATAAAGGCTGACCATGTTCTAAGCTATCTTATTTCTCAACTGATTTCGTCATTGGCTCTGGTTGTCAGGTTGTAAGCTAATAACAGCTCATGGTATGGCACAGCTGAAAACCTTATGTGCCAGCAGACACGATGAGATCTCCTTCCCCCTCGGGCTTTGTGGCCTTGGTCAAGTCCCAGTGTTCTTGGGACCTCAGTTTCCTTACTTGTACAATGGTGGGGAGTGGTGGAGAGGGCTGGACCATATACTCCCCAAGGTCCCTTCCAGTTCTCCTGTCCTAGGACCCCGACCCACCCATCTGGCCTAGGGTTCACTCCTCAGTAGTTAGGGCTTGGTTTAGACTTCAGAGAACCTCAAAATCTCACCCAAGAGGCATCCCACTGGTAGCTGAATGAGGAGATTCCCCTCTCCAGCATCCCAGGCCCATTTCTGACAAGTCCTTTTCCACCTGAGTCAGGCCAGACTGCTCCCCTCTGGGACAGCTCTCATTATGAGCAAAGATGTCCTGACCTCAAGCTTAGGCCTCTCTGTCCCTTTACACCTTCTGCTCACCCTCTGGGACCAAGAGAGCAAGGCAGAGCCCTCTTCTGGAATACAGCCCTCATTTATCCCCCAGGCTCAACAGCCTGAGCTGTGACAGCTGGTCCTAACAATGCCTTCATCTTATTCACCTGCCTCTGGGCAGCTTTTCGACCTCCTTCCCATCTGTGGCATCCAGAACTGAACATGTATTCCCAGTTGGGGTCTAAGCAGGACAGAGGACAGTGCGACCCTCTCCTCTCTTGTCCTGGGTGCTCAGAGGTCTCCTCATGTGTCCCGAGCTCACACGAGTCCTCTCAGCTGCCCCATCCCACTGCTAACCTCTTGAGCTGATCATCCAACCCAGCTGCCAGCTCTCTTCTAGACAAAATGCTGTCTGGCTGCTCCGGCCCGTCTTCCTAGGCTGTCTTGCAGGGCTGACTTTTTGAACCTCAGTGCCAGGCTATGCCTCTCAAATTGCACCTTCTTAGGTACAACCCCACACACTAGTGTCTCTCCCATGGTGTCTGCCATCTTTCATGTCATCTGCCATGGTGTCTCTCCGTCCCAGCTTCCTGTCACCCGTCGATCTGATAAGCTTGCCAGCTATACAGTTAGACCTTGATAAAAATGCTGGATAGCCCGGGACCAAACCTAGATCCTTGGGGTGTTCCACGAGAGACTTCCCCTCTCCGAGCTGACTTGAAGAGAAAGGAACACACATTTGTGAAGCGCTCTGTAGCAAGCGTTGTGCTAAGCTCTTTATAAACACCACTTAATTTTACATTAAGCTATTGATGATGACTCGCTGGGACTAATATCTGGTTTTGGCTGCATTTAATTGTACCGTGTGTGGGGCTGGCCAGCCCAGCAGAGTAAGATCTGTCAGTACCCACGGGTCCAGGGAATCCCCTGGCAGATTGAGGGGATGCTGGCAAGGTGGGCTGCTTCGGGACGTACCACTTGAGAAGACCTCTCATGCTGCGCTCGTGGCCAAGATGAGGTGGCCAGGGCCCAGATGACAGGACAGTGAGGGGCTCCAGTGATCAGACCCCCACGGGAGCCAGGCTGAGTCAGTGTCACCTGGAGGGCAAGCCTTGATGGAGGACCCAGGGGTCTGGGCTCAACTCACATTTTTGTCAGTGACTCGAAGGAGGGTGTAGAAGGCATAGCTGTTGGGTTTGTAAATGATAGGAAATCGGGAAAGAGCGCCAGCGTGTGGGATGACAGAGTCAAAATCCAGAGGGACAAACGAACGCGCTCAATTGACCGAAGTGAAATTTAATAGGAAAAAACGTGAAGTTCTCCACCGGATGGAGAGGCTGTGGCTACACTTAGCACGGTCCAGGAATAGGTCTGGGAGGGAGGTGGGCCAGTCCCCTTAAAGCTGACGGGCGGGGGGACCCGGCCCCAGAAAAGTGACTGCTGAGCCTGCCCCAGCCCGACAGCATCTACAGTGCTGGGCCGGGGACCTGGCCTCCCGCTGGAGGCAGGAGCTGGGGCAGGCGCTGAGGAGGGGAGGACCTGGGACGTGTAGTCGGAGAGGCAGACTCAGAAACTGAGGGCTTGCTGGCCAGGAGGAATCATGAGCTTTTCATTTTCTCTCGGCCCCAATGGCAGAGCAGTGGGGGGAACTGCCAAGGGGCAGATTTAGGTGAGATAGAGGAGCTGCCGTCGTCAGAAGTTGCCCTGACGAGGGATGGACTGTCTTGGGAGGCACGAAGGTCTTGGAACCTCCACTGTTGCCCTGTTGCCTGCAGGCCTGGAAAGCCCTTCCCAGGCCGCCTCTCCAGGCTTATCACCCCTTCCTCCCCTTCTCACGAGCCAAGGCCCAGCCAGCCTGGCCTTGCTGTTCCTTAGACGCCACAGCCCAAGCCGGGTCTCCGCGTCTTTACACAGGCACTGCGGCCCTGCCCCTCCTCCATCCCCGAAATCCCCCAAATGGGCCCACACTCACTCTTTCTCTCGGCCTCCTTCCCTCTCTTCTCCCCCTTCCCCCTTTCTCTGTCTCCTCTCTCTCTCTTTCTCCCTCGACTCCATCTCTGTCTCTCTCTCTGTTTTTACACACACACACACACACACACACACACACACACACATGCACGCACATTGGAAGCACCTAACAAAATGCTTGTTGCTTGAATGATTGATGTAAGCAATGACTTGTTAGCCATTTGTCCATGAAATGAGGATTCTCGCTGAGGTATGAGGGGACTCAGTGTCCTCGGACATCCATTCCACCTCCGAGATTCTGAGATTGTATGATTCTGTCACCTAGGTGGTTCAGTGAGTAGACCACTGAGCTTGGCAAAGTGAGAAAGACCCGAGTTCCAATCCTGTCTCAGGCAGTGAGACTCTAGGCAAGTCACGTCACCTCTCAGCCTCAGTTTCCTCATCTGTAAAGTGGGGATAATAATGGCACCTACCTCACAGGATTACTGTGAGGCTCAAATGAGGTGACACGTGAAGTGCTTTGCAGACTTGAAACCATAAGTGTTAGCTCTTATTATCATTGTTGTGTTGCCCACAACAGGCTGTCATGAGGACCTCTGTCCATGCCTTGATTTACCAGTTGAGTAACTCAGTCAGAAAAGAAATTCTGGTTAGGCCAGGGCAACGTGTTCCCGATGATGTCCTGCTGACTCTCTGTGATCGCTGTTTCCCTTTCTCAATGTTCACCAACCACACCTTTGAAAAAATGCATGCTGGAATTTGTCCAGGAGTCTGGCTCGGTGGCCTCTACTCTGCAGACTCTTGGTTCTTTCTGGTGTGAAAACTGTGACATTCGCCCATCTCCAAACCTAGGGCTCGGGCAGCTAGGTGGCGCAGTGGATAGAGCGCTGGCCCCGGAATCAGGAGGCCCTGAGTTCAAATCTGGTCTCAGACCAGACACTTGACACTTACTAGCTGTGTGACCCTGGGGAAGTCACTTAACCCCTAACTGCCTCAAAAAAAAAAAAAGCTGGGGCTCCTCTCCCATCCCCACAGTCTTTCGGCAATCACCGAGAGTGGCCCGACACTTACTTTGGTACTTCTTGAATTTTGCCAGAATCAGTCAAATTCACTGGCTCTGTGATCTTCCATCTTCTGAAAATCAAGACCACTTTCATCCTTCTCTAGTACCGATTCTTGTCCTACTCTACATTATTCAGAGGCCCCTGATGCATAGCACAGTCATTCTGACAGACTCGTCTCCGTACCCAAGGGCCTGGTGACTTGGGTTCATCAGCAGGAGCCGTGGTGCCGGCTCACTACGTCCCATTTCTCTGCTGGTCTTGTTTGTTCTCTCCAGTACAGAGAACCTTCTCTTGGATAGAGAAAGTAAGGGGAAATAAAAGGTGGCACAGTGGATACAGTGCTGGGCCTGGAGTCAGGGGGACCTGAGTTCAAACCCATCCCTCTTGGACTGACATCCCCTGTAGAATTCTGATCCCCACCAATTCCACCCACCTTCTCTCAGTACCCTTTGAAATCTGCTCCCCCCAAATGCAGGGTATACGTCAGGCTACACGCAGCTTTCCTCTGCTTCTCCACTACTCCAAGTTAAGGAGATATTTCCCTCGAAGGTTCCATCATTTCCCTATCACCAGTCAGTGCTTTCTTGCTGGTTGCTTCCTCCGTTGATTGAAGGGGGAAGGCAAGACAAGAATTTATTAGCTGTTTTTTGGACAGAAAGATAGTCTCAACAGACTCCTAGATAACTGAAGTTTTCCATCACTAGATAGATATCTGACAGATAGGTGAGAGAGACAGGGAGATAGATAAAGATGTTAGAGGTAGAGATGATAAATGGAGAAATAAAGAGAAATGATAGATGGAGACATAGAGATGATAGATGGGGAGAGAGAGAGAGATAAAAGAAGACAGGAGAGATAGATGTGCCAAGCACTGAGCTGTGTTGGGGATACTGTACAAGCAAGGTAGTCAGTGCCCTTAAGGAGCTTACGTTCTAATGAGGAAGACAAGCCCCCAAGGGGAGCTGGAAAAGGAGTACTGGCGGTGCAGACAGAATGGCGTGGTGTGGAGATGGCTGGTTCTTGGCAAGAGAAGAGCCCCATCTCTTCTCTTTTATGATTTCATTTCTAGGTCATGACCTGTTTCTTCAGCACCTTTTCCACGTTCTCCTGCCCAAGTGGTCTGTAGTGTACTTCCAAGACAAGCCTCTTCGGTGTCTCCCTTGACCTTCACCCAAATGTTTTCCACATCTCCCACTCTGGTCCCAAGATGTCTTCCCATGTGTCTATCTCCTTAACAGACAGTGATGCTAGAGCTTCTCTTGATGACATCTGGCTTGGTGAATTCACTCCTTCCTCCTCTATGTCACCTCCTTCTGTCCCTCCCCCGTCCTACTGGCACAGGTCAGAATGCTTGTCACCTCTCCCCTTTCAACTCCTCTTTTTTCTTTCTATTTTATTCTGGTTTTTGACTGAACGCTCATTGTCTTTCATACGCTGAAGGCTGGACCTTGGGAAAGAGAGGCCGGCCTGCACTTTGAGCAGTAGTCACTTGACTACTGGAAAGGCAAACCTGCAGCCTTGCTCTCCATACTTGTCAGGAGTGAAATCCTCAATCCCTGCTATTCTTTCTGGGGATCTCTTGTGGCCGGTTCCAGTGGTTGGACACACCTGTTCACCCTGCTGGGATTTGTGCCAGCTGGGGCAGCTGGGTCATGAGGAAGCCCTTAGGGTGACCTCCTGCTATTTGGGTCTAGGCAGGCCACAGGGCCTAGAGACAAGAGGTTTGTATTCAAATCCACCCATGTGGAAGCAGCTCTTTGGTAAGTTTTCTCATCTATGAAATGGGAGTAATATCTACATTCTCCTCCTCCCCCCCACCCCCACCTCCTCCATAGGGCTGTTATAAATAAAGCTGCTTAGTCATTGGTCAGTATCTGACTCTCCATGACCCCATTTGGGGTTTTCTTGGCAAAGATACTGGGAGTGGTTTGCCATTTCCTTCTCCAACTCATTTTTTTAGGGGGCTAGGCAGTGGGGTTAAGTGACTTGCCCAGGGTCACATAGCTAGTAAGAGTTATGTGTCTAAGGCCAAATTTGAACTCAGGTCCTCCTGAATCCAGGGCCTGTGCTTTATCTACTGTGTCACCTAGCTGCCCCACTCCAACTCATTTTACAGATGAAGAAACTGAGGGAAACAGGGTAAAGTGACTTGCCCAGGGTCACACAGCTAAGTGTCCGAGGCTGGATTTGAACTCGGGTCTTCCTGCCTCCAGCCCTGGCATGCTATCCACTGTACCACCTGCTGCCCCAACTATCTAGAAACAAGGAGCATCCCAGCTGCCTTCATCATCACCAACATGCCTACAGAGCTGGAAGGGTTACAAAGCACTTTACAGACGTTACCTCACTAGGGCCTCACATGGGCCGTGATGAACTAAGTCTGAGTAGGATGAATTGGGGAAGTGCCTTGGCCCCAGTCACCCACCTGATTTCAAATATACTTAGCAGCTTCAGCTGGGGGACAGCTGGGACCGCCCCTCCAGTGAGAGGGAGGCAGGTTAAGCTCTGTGCTTGCAGCACCTAGGTGGGTTCTCAGTCTCCCAAGGCAGCCTGTGCCACTGTGGGGCAGTGGCCATCACTGGAATTCCTGGAACCCGCATCAGCTTCTCTAACCACTTCCAGCTGCGATGGCTGGTTCCCCCGGGCTGGCAGTGCCACGGTGGATGCTTATGTTTCTGCTCCTTCCCCAGGTGCTGGTGAATGCTGCAAAGCTCAAGAGTCAAGGTCTGGCTGGGACCCTGGGCTGGGGTGGGGCTGTCTGGGAATCCTTCAGCTTTTAAGCAGTGAATCCAAAGGATTAGGGTGGCAGGAAACCATGACCTTAAGCCTGACCCTGATGAGAGCTTGTCACTTCACTTGAACCCAAGCCCAGGTTTAGGCCCAGCCACAGCCCTGGAGGTGACCGTTCCCTGGGAAGCTGGGCCCTCTCCCATGGGACATGGGACTGCAGAGGGCAGGGCAGGGAGGGGGAGGAGAGTCTGGGTCATGAGAGACAATGAGCTTTCTGCTTAACTGGGATGGTAACTCCTGTCCAACTTCCTTAATACACACTCCAGTTTCCTCCAAAACCCCTTCCTCCAGAAAGCCTTCCAGGGTTGACTCCCACCCGTTTCCCATTTCTTTACTAGTTCTGGAGTTAGAGGCCCAGGTGGGAATCCAACTCTACCATGAGTTCCCTGCATGACCTTGGGCAAGTCTTTTCCTAGCTCTGGGCCTCAGCTGGATGAGATGGCCTCTGAAGGCCCTGGTTACTCTATATTTGATGGTCTGACTTGACGTGAGACAAGTGAACAGAAGCTCCGATCCCCTGGCTTTGGAGAGCCAGAGAGGCTGGCTGTGAACACGATGCAGGTGTAGACCCCCTCTGGGCAGGGTCCTCAGAAACCCCATGCTCAGCTCTGCTTCTCTGTCCCCTGCAGGAAAGGACTGCTCCCAGATCTGGACAGACAACCCAAAGTCCCCCCAGTGGCGTGTATGTCATCAGGCCAGAGGGGGCCCTTGATGCCTTCCGGGTCAGTCAGACAGCATTTATTAAGTACCTGCTATGTGCTAAGTACTGAGGATACAGAAAAAGGCACAACCAAGGTCCCTGCCTCCAAGAAGATAGATTCTAATGAGGAAGATGAGGTCCTAGCACCTGCAGTCACACACAGGGGAAGGAGGGAGGTCTCCGAGGGGCTGAGTGTGGAAGGAAGCTGGGAAAGCTCAGAGGTGGAGGCCACTCGGGACCAAGCCCAGAGGCGGAAATGGGGGCGCCTGGAGAAGGGGGGAAGAAGGCTGAGGGGTCAGGAAGGGTGTTCCGTTTGCCTGGGGGGGCTCCATTAGCAGCTGAGTGGACAGTGGGTTGGACTGCAGAGAGACTGGAGGCAGGCAGAAGGCTGCTGTCATAGTCCAGGTGAAAGGTGAGTAGAGAGAAAGGCAGGGTGGATGGTAGACTTGATTAGATGCGTGGGGCCATTCAGACAAAGGGGCCCCGACATTGTCCGGCTGTGGACAATGAGAGAAGGGACAAGCCCTTTCCCTTCTCTGGGCCTCAGTTTCCTTCTCCATAAAATGGGAGTGGTATTCTTTGCCCTGCCTCCTCACAGGGGCCTGGGAGGAGAGTTTTTTAATCCTTGGAGTGCAGTAGAAATGGGACGCGTTTTCCATCCCGATCTCTAAAAGGACTGGAGGCAGAGAAAGTGTGGCATAGCAAATTAGATGTCAGGAGGCCCTTTGCATCTGGGAAGTCTGAAAGGAGAGGAAAGCCGGAGGGTGAAGAGGCCCTTTTTCTGGGAGTCAGGGATGACCCCTAGCTTTACCTATCTGAGATAACTCTGCTTAAAAGAATCTGTGGGATGGAGGGAATGCCCCCTTTCACCTTCCACGAACCTTGTAACCCATCAGGCTTACTGTGACATGGGAGAAGATGGCGGCTGGACAGTCTTCCAGAGGCGGACTGGGGGCAATGGCAAACCCTTGGCGTTCGACCGGGTCTGGTGGGAGTACAATCATGGCTTTGGGGATGTGGAAGGTGAGGAAGCTGGAGTGTCCTGGAGCACCACCACGGGGCAGCTTCGGGGGGGGCCTGCCGGGAAACGGTGGGGCTTAACCCTAGAGCAGGGCCCATCCCCCCACTCAGACATCCCCCAGGAAATAATCAAGATAGTTGTGGGTAATCCCTAGAACAGGGAACAATCCTTCTCCCCCCCACCAAGAAAAAAAAACCTAGATGATCCCTAGAGCAAGGGACAAACCCTTCCACCTAACCACCCTCAAAACTGGACAGTTGAGGGCATCAGATAATTGAAGAGAATCCAGTAGGCAGAACTGAATAATGCAGCATGTCAGGTATCTCTCCCCATCCTCCGCCAAAGTGGGATAATCCAGAATCATGCCCAGTCTGAAAGTGGAAAATTCCCCATGGAAGTATTAATCTAGAACATCCCACCCACAATCCTACCCTAGAAGAGGCTCGTGCCAGCCGTCAGGTGACCCCTCCCCAGCCTGCATCTCTGATTGGAGTTCGCAGGACACGCTGCTCTGCTGCTAGCTGGTTTGGGCTCATGCTCAGGGGAAGCCAGGGCTGCCCAGGGGGGCCAGTCTGGGGTGGGATGTTGGCCCCCGCAGGTCAAGAGCTGGTCTTTGGGCTGGTAGAGATCCCAAGGGTTAGCACAGGCAGGGAGGGGAGGCTGGATCCAGAGGACTCGAGCCAGGGCACACAGAAGGCTGAAAGTGGCCGGAACATCGAGGTCACACCCTCAAGGGCCTTCCTGCGGTGCCCTTCCAAGCCAGGGGAGCCGGCTCCCTGCTACCCAGCGCGACCCATGGGAATGGCTGCAGGGGCTGCGGCTAAGACTGGCTGACACCCTCCCCCTTGGCCTTCCATGATGGGCTTCCCCTCCCTCGCAGGTGAACACTGGCTGGGCCTGTCAAAACTTTACTCCTTGACGCACCAGCCCGGCACCCGGGCCCAGCTGAAACTGGACTTACACAACTTTGAAAATGAGAGCCGCCATGCCCTGTATGACTCCTTCCAGATCAGTGATGGCTCCAGTTTCTACATGCTGAAACTGGGCAGGTACTCTGGAAATGCAGGTGAGCCCAGCTCTGCCAGGGGAGAGAGCGAGCCCTCTCTCTAATATGGTGCAATTCAGCTAACAGTAATTAGACTCCTGCTGTGTGCAGGACCCTGTTTGCATGGGGGACGTAGACAATCCAATAGATATTTATTAGTGTATCCATTCATTAGATGCTAATACATTTAATCCTTTAGATTCATTCAGCGAACATTTATTTAGCTCCTACTGTATGCAGCTCCGTGGAACTTAGCATGGGAGAGATACAGAGTTCACCTATACGAACATATTAATACTAAGATATAAACACAGAGAGCCATGCATTACATTGACAAGCACATCAGAGGGGGTTCAGAGGGACAAGGTCATTCCTTAAGAGAGGCCAGAGGCTCCCTGGAGAAGGTGACATCAGTTTGGGGCTTAAAAAGATGTGTAGAAATTGAGCGTAGGAAAGGGGGGGGTGACATTCCAGACATAAGGCAGGACATTTTGGGGGTCAGAGAGTCATTCTGTTTGGCCAGGCTCGCTAAAGCTCAAGGTGAACTGGGGGGGGGGGTAAGAAAAACAAAGCAGTGTTTCTTTTGGCCATAGAGAGGCTCAGAAGGTGATCTCTGACCTAAAAACAGCAGAACCAAAATGACTAAGCTTTGGGTCAAGGGATGAGACAAGAAGGGAGCCCCTCCCTGGCCTTGAGGACTTCAGTGGGGTCTGAGGAGCTCCGGCAGACTGCACAGCCCGAGGGCTCTGAGGGACTGTGGGGGAGGGGGCTCCGGGGGCCTCTGGGCACACGACCTGATTTTCACAAAACAAAAGACAAAGAACACAGTCGGTCGACAAACTCCAGGCCAGCGAGCCTGACTCTTGCCAAGATTCTAGAACATATTTCTTAAAGAAATGCATAGTGACTACTTAGAGCAGGAAGCAGTGACCTCAAAGAACCAGGAAGGTTAAACTGACTTCCTTCTTTTGTAGATGGGTTTACTGAACTGGTAGATGAGGAAAATTCTATAGCTATCATTAACCCAGGTTTTAAATGAGCACTTGACAAAGACATTAATGGCACAGTGAAAAGATGTGGGCTAGATAATAACATGGTTCAGTATACTCAAAATGAATGGCTAGCTCAGAGTAATGATAGCGCAGCCTTCCTACAGGTCTTTGGTGGAGTGCCCCAGGGATCTGTCCTGGGCCACAGACTATTCAGAATCTTCACCAGCTACTTGGATAAAGGCAGAGATGGAATGCTTCTTACTTTTATGGATGGTCTAAAGCTAGAAGGGGCAGCTAACGTAATGGAAAATTGAATCAAGATCCAAAAACACTTTTTTTGGTGGGGGAAGGGTGAGGCAATTGGAGTTAAGTAACTTGCCCAGCGTCACACAGCTAGTAAGTGTCAAGTATATGAGGCCAGATTTGAACTCGGGTCCTCCTGACTGCAAGGCCAGAGTTGCATCCACTGTGCCACCTCGCTGCCCCCAAAAAGATTTCTGTAGATTAGAATGTAACAATAAATTCCTATACTTGGGTTCTACTCATCAGCCTCCCAAGTAGAAGATGAAATGTGACCAGACAGCCTTTCATCTGAAAACGATCCTGGCAGTCTTAGTGGACTCGAAGCTTGGTGTGAGTTAGCAGTGTGACCTGGCAGTCCGATACAGTTGTAGGCTGCCATGAGAGGTGTAATGTTCAGTGTTTGGGGCACGGTGGCTCCTACGTCTAGGAAGGCCACTGAGGCCAGCTGGGGCGTGCTTACAGATCAAGCAATCGGGAAGCATTTATTAAGCACCTACTGTGTGCCAGGCCCGGGGCTAGATGCCACCGCAGGACAACGCCTTTCTTTGAGGAGCTGCCACGTTACTAGCTTCACTGAGAAGTGAAGTCAGACTATTAATCCTCCAAATACAGTGACGGGAGGGCTTCTTGTAAGAGTGGGGCGCTTGAGCTGAGCCTGCAAGGGGACCACAAGAGGTAAAGGTGAGGAAGGTGACCAGAGATGCCACCATAGGAGGGTCTTTGGAAGGAGCTAGAGATGGGGCTGAAGATGGTCATGGCCTCCTCTTGGTCCCTCCTTACTGGTCTTGTCCTCATGCATCCAGTGCTTACGAAGTGCTCCACTGTGTGCCAGGCCATGTGCTCAGCAGGGGCGAAGACAAAGTAAATGTGGATGGATAGACAGACAGCATGTATTGAGTGATACAAATACAAGTAAGCAAGCCCTGCCCTCAAGGAGTCTACATTCTCGTAGGAAGAAAGTATGAATAAAGTGGGGAAAGCACGCACACTGCAATACGGTGAGGAACTGGCTGATTAGTGTCGTGGGGGTCTGGCTCCCGGCCAGATAAGGCAAATCTCACCTGTCAGAGGCAGGGACGAAGTCCACGATTGCTGGGGAGGGTGCAGGGTGTGAGGATGAACACGTGGGAGCCAGCCTGTGAAGATCTCTAGAGACTACAGCAGTTAAAATCAAAGTAAACTGAGGCACAAGGTCCTGAGCACCCTCATCAATTTATTGGTAAAGTGCAGATTTACCAGTCACGAGGAGGGAGCGGTTCTCTCTCTTTCATATTTTTGGGGAAGACAGACCAAAGAACAGACCCTCAGCAGTGGGGAACAAGTTATGATTGGCTAGAAGAGCTAACATTATAAATGGCAAGTTTGTTGTGATTAATTCCAGAACTGAAGTGCAGGGAACGATATGATTGGGTGGAAACTGAGGAGGGGCTAGGAACAGCCCCCTCATTCCCTGTCACCAAGAAGTGGTCATCATCAGAGTCCACCTACCAGATCAGACATCAAGGCCCAGGCATCCTTGGAGGATGGCCTGGTGGTGTAAAGCTCCCAGACCAGGCACCCTGGCATCCCCCCTGCCTCCTCCAGGGAAACAGATTTCCTTGAGGCAAGAGCAGAACAGTGAATTGGATTTCTCAACTTAACTCATGATGGACTGGCTAAATTTCTGAAATTAAGTTCAGAGACAAAGAATCATAACTTAGCCAGTTAAAGGGCAAAATTAATCATAAATAGGACCAATTAAAAAACCAGAATCAATCTGATCATTTCAATGCCAAACAGAGGAATTTCCTAGAGAGAGTAGGGAGCCACTAGGAGCCTGTGAGTGGAAGAGTGGCGCAGTCAGATCTGAGCTTTAGGGACGTCTGTTGGGCAGCTAGGGAGAGAATAAAGGTATAGACCGATGAGAACGCGCCAGTCCGGATAAGGCGTCACGAGAGCCTAGGAGTGCCGAGGAGGGAACACAGGCTGGGCAGGAAGAGCCAACAAGCGTTAGCAGCCGTTGGATGTTGGGGTGAGGGACAGTGAGGAGCTGAGTGACTCGAAGGTTGGGAAGCTCTTTGACAGAGGGAATTTTAGAAGAGATGAGGATTGGGCGGTGGGGGGGGCCACAAGTTTCAGGGAATCGGGGAATCTGAGAGCTGGAAGGGGTGCTGGGACCTGCCTGAAAAGGAATCCCGACTCTAACATCCCTGACCAGTAGGGGTCCAGCTGTCATTGTTAGGAAACAACTATCATTCCCTGACCCTGCCAGTCACCAGGCTAAGTGTCCCTGGTTCTTTCAGCTGCTCCTAATCAATGACCTGAGGGTCCTTCTTCATCCTTGGTGCCCTCTTGTGGATTCTATGACTGTCTTGAACTGCAGCCCATTGAATGCAGTATTCCAGATGTGGTCTGGCCAGGTCTGAGTACAGAGAGACTGTCACTTCCTTACTCCCAGAAGCTAGTAATGCGGCCTGAGCCATGGCCTTTTTTGGCTGCCAGATCACATTGCTGACTGATACATAGCGTGTGGTTCACCAAAACCCCCAGACCTTTTTCAGAACAATTGTTCTCTATCTCTGCCTGTTCCTCCTCCATCTGATACTTGGGACATTGATTTGTTTTGGCGGCCAATTGCATGATTGTTTGCATTTATCCCTATTGAAGTATGTTTTACTAGTTCCAGCCCTGGGCTTTAACCTGTCAGGGTCTTTGTTAATCCTGATGTGGTCAGCCACTGAGCTGCCTCTCCATCCTAGTCTTGTGTCATCTGTTCTGTGGCCAGAAGGTCATAGAAGAGAACAGAAGAAGGGTTGGGATGAGGATCACAGACAGGGACAGTGCACCCTGAACAGAGGGCAGGCAGGGCAGTGGTGCCTGGGCCCAGACAGCGACAATAGCCCCACCAGTGCATAGGAAGGGCCTGGACAGAGACAGGGGCACCTACTCTAAGCCTGGGTTCTGGACAGGGTGGGAGGGAGGTCAGAGGAGATGGCATTACTCAGTGTCAGAGCCCATGGTCCCAACCACTGCTCTTATGTACAGGAGACTCCTTCGGTGGCGAAAATTGGACAGGAGCAGCCTCCCAGGTAGGCAGTGCCTTCAGCACCCTGGACAGGGACCATGACTCCTGTAACCCCTGCCTTAGCGGTGACATAACCTTCAATGAATGCAGCCAATGGAACGGGGGTGCAGGCTGGTGGTTCAGCAACTGTGGGGTGGCCAATCTCCATGGTGATTGGCACCCTGAAGGGGACCACAAAAGCTGGAGTTCTGACATCCACTGGGGAACCTGGAGCCCAACAGAATCCCTTAAGGCCACTGAGATGAAGGTGAAAACTGTGGTGATAGCAGCAACCGAGGCTTAGATGCCAAGGGCCCTTCCGGCTGCCCCAGGACCAGATCAGAAGCGGCATGCCCAGAGAGCCAATGCAAAGGCGCCTGGAGGTGATGGCTGTGATCTAAAGGGAGTGAAAAATTGGGGGGCAGGGCCTGATGGGCACAAAATGTCTGCTGAAGAGATTGGGGAGATGATTGATAAAATGGAGATTCCATTCTTCTTAGCTTTGCCTCAGTCGATGCCGACAGCCTGCCTTGAACCTACCCCTTCTCTGGCAAAAGACAGGGTAGGAGGGTGGAGACAAGACTTTGGGGGAGGCCCCTGCTCCAAGGGGAGACAAGTGACCTTGAGGGAAACAGAGTAAGCACTGCGAGAGTACTTGGTTTGAAGAGGAGGCCCTGGGTCCCCTGGTTTGAGGGGTTAGATTTGACATTCACAGACTCATCTGGGGAGACTGGCCCTCAGGGAACTTGTAGTCTGTGGGGAAACTGAGGAGGAACAGCTGTTGTCTCTGGGTTCTTACAGGATCTGAGACAGTCTCTCCTTTATCAAAGAGACACAAGGAGCATAAAGTGTCTCTGACATAGACCTGATATTCAACACAGATATCAGACCAAAAACTATTCCCCAAAGGAAAATCTCTCTTAACATGCAGAAGAAAGACTGTTCCAAATCACGAATAGGAGAAGTGCATACCAAAGAATAGAGAGATTTCACCTCACACCCAGCAAATCAACCACGGTGCCAAAAGAAAGGTCAGTGCATCTTGTTGGAGTGGCCACAGGCTCTAACGCACAGCCTGTTGGTGGAGCTATCCAACCAGTCAGGAAAGGAGTCTGGAATTAATACGAAGGTAGTTGGTTTTTAATAGGTGCCTGCTATGTGTCAGGCCCTGTGCGAAGTGTTGGAGATACAAGTGCAAAAAAGGAAGACAGTGTCTGCCTTTATAATCTAATGGGGGGAAGATGGTACACAAAAGGAGGCTGGCAATGGTTGGGGGGTGTATAACGGAGAAATCAAAGGCGCCAGGAGGGTGGGAGGCAGAGGTAGATGGCCTGGGCCCCTCCTTAAATGGAGGTTTTATAGCTCTTGATTCTGCCCTCCAATCAGAGGGGCAGAAGGGATCGATGAAGTGAGTACCAAAGCAGATCCAGATCTCTCGGGATGAGATTTCCCAATGATGCCGTCTGTGAGGGCATGATGGAGAGTCCAAAGCAGTTCAGAGGAGCCCAGGTTGATGGGAAATGAAGAGATGGTGGGAAAGTGAATAAGATGGCCCTACCCTTTGACCCGAGATCCCCCTGCTGGTCACACATGCCCTGAGGAGGCCAAGGCCGAAAAGCAAAGCCCCGTACACCAGGATATTGGTCTGACGCCCATCAACTGAGAAATGGCAAATCATGGTTCAGGAATATCATGGCATGTTAGTGTCCTGTCGAAATTATGAACATGCAAAATACAAAGAAGCATGGGGAGACTTACATGAACAGATGCAGAGTGAAGTAAGCAGAACCAGGAGAATGATGGACACAACACCTTCAACATATATGGAAAGAACACAAAACTGAGACAGTGAGTGTGTGTGTGTGTGTGTGACTATAATGATCTCGTGGAGATCACTAGGCTTTGGGGAAGACAGATTTGTATTAAGCTTGAGAAAACCACAGGAACAAAAGCCACACTGCAATAGCACTTGAAGGTTCCTAAGGTGCCTCGTGTCCACACCTCCCCTAAGTCTCCACCGTCCCTTGGTGTCCCGATTTCGTTGTTTGGGCGTGTCCTATTCTTCATGACCCTGTGCACTGAAGCACGCCAATTCTGTCTGTGTGGTTTTCTTGGCAAAGATACTAGAGTGGTTTGCCATTTACTTTTCCAGTGGATTAAGGCAAATGAGTCAGAGTCACACAGCTGTAAATGTCTGAGGCCAGATTTGAACTCGGGCCTTCCTGACTCTAGGCCCAGTGCTCTATCCACCTAGCTGCCCCATCCCTAGTTTACCAAAGAGTAAACTATGATTCGGAGTGGTTGACTGATTTGCCTGGAGTCATACAACTAGTAAGTATCTGGGATTTGAAATTACGTCTTCCTGACTCTCCAGAGATGAGAGACTATGGGTGTCTATGTGTATCGAACACTGCATTATCAGTGGGCATCAGACACTCAGCTGATGGGCCAGCACCGACACTGTGGTGTACGGGGCTTTGCTTTTCGGCCTTGGCCTCCTCAGTGGTGATGTTGCTGGTTGTTTTTCCTGAACTGGGCTTTTTTTTCTTCTCTTTCTTTTTCAATCATTACTAGGGATCCATTGCTCACTAGGTAGACTATATTTGGAAATGAAGGTGATTTAATAACAAAAATTATCAACAGAAAATTGAGATTTTTTCTAACTTAAGTCTCCTTCACTCTGATGAGTCTTGGTATCTCATTCTGTCTGAAGTGTATCTCACCTCCCTTTGGATACGTTAGTTCCAACTGGCCCAATTCAAAGCTACAATATGGCAGATGTAGTGGGGTGGGTGACTGGGTGGTGCAGTGGATAGAGAATTAGGCCTGGAGTCAGGAAGATCTAAGTTCACGTGACCTCAGACAGTCACGAGGCTGTGTGACCCTGGGCAAATCACTCACCCTGTTTGCCTCAGTTTCCTCATCTGTAAAATGAACTGGAGAAGCAAAATGGCAAACCACTCCAGTATCTCTGCCAAGAAATCCCCAAATGGGGTCATGAAGAGTCAGAGAGGACTGAAAAGACATAGAGAGAGAGAGATTTTAGCTTTTTAAAGTCCCAAAGGGGTGTGGCCAACTTGTCTGTTCAGCCAGTTGTGTTTTTGCCTCCTTAATTCAGAGGTCTTTGCCCTCATAAATGGATTGCAAGAAACTGTTACATCTCAATTACACATTAAATGGTCTCCTAGACATTCTGCCCAGTGGCAACTTGCTGCCCAAAACACTCCCGAGTATGGCCCAAACCAGATGAAAATATAATTGGGAAATATATACTGAAGTTTTTAAAAACCACAATAAGATTAAAATAATGTTAACATGTGGTTTTCTTCGTCACTGTGTGCCTGCGGGGATCTGTATGTACTGGTGACCTCCATTTCTCTTTTGAGTTTGACACTACTGGCCTAGACCGCCTTCTTGTCACTGCATTGTCAAAGCTGGGGGAGGGGTGGAAATCCCATCTCCTCCCCTTCCCCCCACCCCCCATTGGAAAGGCATTGGCAAACTCGAGGCAGTCCGAAGGAGGGCAGCCAGGACAGGGAAGGGCCTTCAATCAGGGGAAGGAACAGGAGATATCTGGCCTGGAGAAGAGTCCCAGTGGACATGACAGCAGGCTCAATTATTCGTAGAGCTGTCACGCAGAGAAGTTAGCCTCTTTGGCCCTGGAAGACAGAACTAGAAATGATGGAGGGGAGTCACAAAAGGGCCGTTTGAGGGCCAGCTTCAGGGAAGACTTCCCAGCAATCCTCCTGGCCCCGAGGGTCTGTGATTCCAACCTGTTTGTCGATGGTTGGCATGCGGCTTGTTAGTGGCTAAGCTGGTTCTAGGTTCAGCACTCCTGATGCCCAGTGTCCTTCCCTTTAGGTAGCTGTGGTCCAACCAAAGGTTGGTGTCTCCCTGGGGCCCCCACCCCCGCTCTTCATTGTCTTCCCCTCAGGAAGCCCCTTGTTCCACGGCTCCACCTGCCACACTGGTTTCTGCCCATCCAGCTCTCAGGTCCCTCGTCCAGTAGAATCTAGCACGAGGCCCCACTTTTCCTGGCACGGTAACCAACTCCACCCCCACACTCAGGTTCTCTCCAAAGCCCACATTCGAGTAAAGAGCTCAAATTTCCCTCAGGCGTACTGGGACCGTAACAGCCATTTTCCACTCACCATAAGGGGAACATTATTCCCTCACGGCCAGCGAGCTTGGGTCAAATGGCTGGGTCAGCTGTCCTATCCACGTGAACACAGCGAAAACTGTTAGGAGAACCCAGATGGGTATCAATTTGTTCAATCAAACTCTGTGCTTTGACTGGAAGGAGCAGGGATGTCTACCAGTGGAGATTACCCTGTCTCCTCCCCCAGGGCTCGGCCTTGGTCTGAGGCTGGGGGGAGGGGGTGCTCCCAAGGCAGCATCCTCAGCACAATGGCTCAATTCTCCATCCTGCATCTTGGGTGAAGTCAAACAATAGAGGCTTCAAGGTGGCTTTGGGCAGTTACTGCAGAGACCTCACAGGCCCGTGGGCATGGCCAAGGGGACCCAGGCTGGGCCCTGGCACCCTCCAGACAACCTGGAACTCCAGCCAGGAGCATTTCTCTTTCTCTCCTTTATGTTTGTGGGGACATTGAGCCAGGTCAGGGAGAGAGCCAGGAGTCGTGCAACATCAACTCTTCAAGCTGGGGGGTCCAGCCCTCTCTTCATGCAACCAGAACAAGAAAACCAGGGCCCAGACCTGGGCAGGAACTTGGCTGGCAAGTTTGGGGTAGAGGTAAGGAAGTGGGTAGCAGGCTGGACGCCAGCAATTGTGCAAGCCCCTATGCCCCTTCCGTTACGCCCTCTCTTCAATCCAAGCATTGGCATCCTCCCATTCGCTCTGGTCCCTGAGCCTCTCTGCGCTGATGCACAGGACAGAGCATCGGGCCTAGTCTTCGAGGCCCCTTTCCAGAGGCTGAAGAAGTTTTCCTGACAGTCGTCTTGGGGCAGGGCCTGTGCCCCGGCTATTGTCCCTGTTTTACAGATGAATAAGCCAGGCTTTACTCCCCTGCACACTTCCTGAGATTGATCACCCGTGGCCTTCTGATTGCTCTTCCAGCCGGACGCTCCACCCCTTGACTCTGGGCGTTTTCTCTGGCTGTCCGCCATGCCCAGGATGCTCTCCCTCTCATCTCTGACTCCTGGCTTCCCCAGCTTCCTTCACGTCCCAACTCAAATCTCCCCTTCTCTAAGGAGCCCTTCCTGATCCTCCTTAATTCTGGTGCCTTCCCCCGAGATCATCTCCAGATTGCCAGCTGTATCTGGTTGGTACTTTCACCTGTTGTCTCCCCTCTTATTAGAGTGTGACCTCCTTGAGGGCAGGAACCATGTTTTTGTGCCTTTCTTTGTAGCCCGTGCTTAGCTCAGTGCCTGCCATATAGTGGGTAATTAATGCTTGTTGGCTCTACCTGACCTTGTGCAAGTTTAGAGAGGGGCTTTGGTGGAGCATTGGATAGAAGGCTAACCTCTAAGTCACAAAGACCTGAGTTCAAGCCTGCCATTTCCACAGACAGACTGTGTGACCCTGGGCAAGTCATTTACCCTTAGGCCTAAGTTACAAAACAGGTGTTGCTCTGCATTAGGAGAGAGACTTTACTCAGAAGGAAGTCCCCACACCCATGAAATCCTAGGTCAGATTAGTTTGGGAAGAAAAAATAAGGAATGAAAACAGATCCTGGTCTCAGAGAAACTTTAGCTCATAAACAAGGGTGGGAACCCTTGTCCGTTCAAACAAGATTTAATCTGATCCCAAACCACTGTGTGCAGGTGCTCTGTTTTACCAAGTCCTAACTGTCAATCACAGGCACCCACTGGCCACCACCATCACCACTTGAAGTAGGCAGAGAAGACCCAGCATTGACACCTGCACAGGAAGACCTGCCCTCTGGCTGACTAGAGAGAGCCAGGAGAGAGGGCTCCCATTCTTTTTCAAGGTGGCCTCTTTATAGGGACGCAGCCACACCAGTGCTCCCTGGCACTTCGAGCTGGGGCAGGGGGTCCCTCCTCCCCTCCCCTCTCCCCAGCAACAGCTAAGGGGATGAGGACACATGCCAGACTAGAAGGCCTTCGCTCCCAGCTTCCTCCTTGCCTCTGGGTCTCTCCTCCTAAGCACGGGTCACTGGCTGCCTGTCCTGAGAGACAGATGTTTCCAGCCTCAGGGCTACTTCCTGTGCTGCAGAGGTGTGGAGTCTTTGAATCAAGTGCTGGTTATCCATCCCCTCTAACAAGGGCCCAGAGCACATGTGGCCCCGTGGAAGGGGCCAGGACACAGGCCTGTCCCCATTGCTGTGGGAACTACCCATCTCCTGCTCCATACACATATCGTTTGGTAACCAGGGGAGCAAGCGAGTATTTACTGGGGTCCAAATGCAGCCCTCAAGGGTCTCTTCCAATGAGGAGTCTCTCATGAATTTGTTTAGATCCCTTGATAGAGGTGAAAATAGCAATGACTTTGTTCAAAAATTCCCTGCTCATCACTACCAATGGAAGGGAAAAAATAGGCAGCCATCCACTCCCCAGAGGTGGGTTGTTAGTCCCAGAGGAAAGTTGAGGCACAGGGACCCCCAGAGATGGGGAAGCATCCCTCCCAGTGCCTCCATTTGCTGTGGCCCGGAAAACACCAAGGCCTCCTCAAGGACATTCGATGCCCTTTATATTAAGCACCATTCAGTCCTTCACCAGCCTCTCTGGGGGCACTGATGCAAAAACCAAATAGTCCTTGCCCTCAGGAAGCTTACCTTCCTTCTACTGGAGGACACAACCTGTCCACAGTTCAGTAAATACAAGGGAATAAGCCCTACCAACCGGGGATGTTAGGAAAGGCTCGAAGCAGATGGCACCTGAACTAAGCCTAGAGGGAAGGGAAATATTATGAGATGAGAAGGGAGCATACTGCAGACGGGGCAGGGGCCCACAGCCTAGATAAAGGCATGTAGATGGGAGATGGAGTTAGCCAGCTTGGCCAGGAGATCTGGTGCATGAAGGGGCTTGATGTGAAGGGTCTAGAAAGGCAGGGGAGCCAGACTGGAGTGTTTGGGAGAGAAGCCAGAGCCAATGGTACTTAACAGAACAACCGACGTGAGATGTCTGCCAGGAAAGGTGGTGTGGATGGACTTCTCCAGGAATAGAATGGGAAAGGGGAGAGGGCACAGAGATGGCGAGGAGGTTGTGTGGTGGCCAGAGAATATTCGCTGGTCAGAGCCCAGGGGCACAGCGGGGCGCCTTCATTTCTAGTGCCTTCAGCACTCGAACCTGTTGAGACTTTGGCTTATTGTGACTGCCAAGCCAGTCTTGGAGATGCCAGCACTGTTTTCTAAAGACCTTCAGACTCTCCACAGCCTTTGGAACAATGGGGGCGGGGCTGTGGGAAGATAGGCATACCCATAGGGAGCTTGTGCGGGCAGAACACAAGCATGAAGCCTTGAGAAACTGGGGCTGAAATAAGGAAGATTTGGGTTCAAACAGTTTCTCAGAAACTTGTAAATTGTGAGAATTTGGGCAAGTCAGTTAACCTCTCAGCCTCAGTTTCCTCATCTGTAAAATAGAGATATCTGTAAAGCCCTCGGTCCAGTGCCTGGCACGTAGTAGGTGGTTAATAAATGCTTATTCTCTTCCTTTCCCCTACTCATAGGGTTTCTGTAACTATCAAACAGAACACAGAACGGTCTGTATTTTTCTTTTTAAACTACCTTCTCTCTAGAAGAATCTACTCTGTCTCCCAAACATCTACCACTCATGGGTTGCTAAGGTGGACATAGTATCACAGAAGGGATCACACTGGACCATATAGGACCACATAGGACCATATAGGTTCTACTGATTTAATCCACTCAACTCAACCGGGGACTGTCTTTCAACCAACTGCAAAAGGCTCTCTGGGTCTCAGGTTTTTCTCAGTCTCTGCATCTTGCCCCCAGTTCTTTAAACCTCCCCTGTCATGAATCTGAGGCAAGCGCAATAATTAAGTTGATGATGCAAGATAAAAAGGTCTCTCTTTCCCCATCCCCCTATTCCCATTCCTAACTTGACTCTGCCTGCCCCTCACTCTCTCTCATATATGACATACAGACACACACGTTCATGTATGCACACGACACACACGTGTAGACACCAGTAAGCCTCCAAGCTTTTGATCGAACCCAAGCCCACACATCTCTGTGTCCATGAACTTCTGAACATGGAGAAACACGACCGCACTAAAGAGGTGATCAAACCAGGCTGCTGTTGAGTCCTTTCAGTTACGGCCAACTCTCTGTGACCCCACTGAGGCTTTTCTTGGCAAAGATACTGGAGTGGTTTCCCGTTTCCTTCTCTTGCTCCTTTTACTGATGAGGAAACTGAGGCAAACACGGTTAAGTGACATGCTCAGGGTCACAAAGCTAGGAACTGCCTGAGGTCACATTTGAACTGAGGTCCTCTGGACTCCAGGCCTGGCGCTCTCTCCTTTTCACCTAGCGGCCGGATTAAACTACATTAGACTAAATAACTGGAATTAATTAAAAAGTAATAAAAATGTGAAATGATGCCAAAAGATGCCCAAAGCCCTTCTGGCTACACCGCCAGAGGGCAGGATCCTGGAAGAGACCAAGGGACTCCCTCTCTCACACACACACTCTGGAGCCACGCGGGCGCCCATCCCCAACGATGGCTGGAGAAGGGGGCACTTGGGAAGCGCCAGCAGAACCCAGAGGGCGACGGTCAGGATGCGCACACACAATCAAACACAAACAAGCTCCCCCATCCCACTCCACCGAAGGTGGGGCAGGCCCACGTGCGCCTTGTGACGTCATAGGAAACAGGAGGCGTGTCCTAGAAGCTCCACCCCCGGGCGGGGCCAAAGCCGGCCGAGTGAGCTGGCGCGGGGGCGAGCTCCCCGCCGTGGTCCGTCCCATGCGGAGGCCGACTACCTGAGCCACGCTGGCTTTGGGAGGCGGGGGCAGGAAGGCGGAGCCTCCGCCGCGGGGCCCTCCATTGGCGGAAGGGCGGGGGCCCGAGGGCGGCGCACGAGGCCGATTGGCCGGAGCCTGGGTCGGGGGGGGCGGGGATCGGCGGGTCCCCGGGTTCCGGGCAGCGGCGCGGCCGAGTCCCGGCCCCTGGGCTCGGTGGTGGTGGTGAGCCGTAGCAGGGGCTCCTCGGCGGGGCGGCTGTGGGAGGGATGGAAGGCCGAGCCGCGGCCCCTGGGCTCCGTGTTCGTGGTGGGGCGGAGCGTCAGGCTCCCACCGCCTCCGCGGAGACCGGCAGGCCGAGCCCCGCCCCCAGAACCCGTGCCGCGGAACGTTTCGGACGACACACCTCGGAAGCCCGCACCGCACTCCGCCAGGCCCGGCCTCCAGCCCGTCGCTCAGCCCCGGAGGCACGTGCGGGGCAGTGCCCCGGGCCCGCGAGGGGAGGGCTGCGGCCCGGCCAAGCGCATCGGGGGTGCCGGCGTGAAGGGAAGATTCAGCCCCGCCCCGGGAGACCGTCGGTGGCGGGAGGGCCCAGCCCCGCCCCCTCAGTAAGGCGACGGCTGGTGGACGGGGGAGGGTCCTACCAGCCCGTTCTTACTTCGAAGATCCAGGCCGGGACACCGGCGTGAAAGAGGAACCACCTCCCTCGGGGTGCAGGGCGGTCGGAGGGCGGGGCCTCCTTGCGTCAGCTCGTTATTGGGCGAGAGACCCAGCACCGCCCCCTCGGCTCACCAATGGTGTGAGGGAGCAGCACCGCTTCCTAGTAACGGCGACGGACGTAAGGCGGGACCTGCCTTTCTCAGCTCTCTATTGGCGGGAGGACCCAGCACCGCCCACTTAAGCCGCCCTTCGTGCCCGTGGGAGGGCAAGGCCAGTCCCAAGGACCTAGCCGGATGCGAGGGGCCGAGCCTTCCTCGCTCACCTCCTTCTCGTTCGGTCGCAGCAGCCCCAATCCCTCGGCTCACCCCCGCTGGGAGAGTGGAGGTCACCGGGCGGGACCTCTGTCCTCCCGTTCTTCTTAGTCAACTTCGGTTCCGGCCCGCCGGCTCCTCATTGGTGGAAGGACGAGGCCCCGCCCCAGAGCCGGAAGGCGAGGCCTCCTTCTCCGCGCTTCTCCTGGGCCGGACGTCCTAAATCCAGTCCCTCGTGGCCCCGCTCCGAGGGCTACTTCCCCTGGCCGACCTCGCCTCCAGGACTCCGCACCGGAGGGCGGGAGGAGCCCCGACCCAACTTCCGCTCGGAAGTTGCGTGGGGACGTGGCCCCGGGTGTCCTTCGGCCCAGCAGTGCTGGCTGAGAGGGGGAAGAGGAGGAGCCCCGAGCCCCCCTCAGCCCAGGAGCGCCACGCAGCCTATTCCACAGCCCACACAAATCCGCCACCAAGACTGGCCGCGCTCCAAAGTACGAGTCTCCGCCTCCTTCGGTCCCTATTGGAGGGACAGCCCCGCTCGCGACCCGTCTCCTGCTGCTGGTTGGAAGGCGGAGCCCCGATCCCTGAATCTTTACAGTTGGGAAAGAGAAGCCCCGCCCCCTTCCCCCCTTATTGGCAGGAGGGAGTCACGTGCACTTACCGGGGAGACTGTGGGAAACCCCCGGACCCTTTGTTGTTTAGAACGCAAGGTTCTGCTCCCACTGCCCCATATTGGGTGGAGGGGGCAGCCACGGGCCCTCAGCGTAGACATACCTGGAAGCCCTCGAATCGTTCCGTGGACGCTTTGTTGCTTGGAAATCCCTCCACTCCGTATTGGCTGGAGGGCGGAACTACGGACATGCGGCTGGGAAAGAGTCGGAGGGCGAAGCCTCGCCCCCTAGACTTTGTGTTGTTGGGGAAGGAAGCCCCGCCCCTTCTGGTCCTTATTGGTCGGAGGGCGGAGCCACGTCCTCTCCTCTCGAGAATGGTTGGACGTCGGAACCGCGCCCCTTGGACTTTGTCGGGTTTGGCAAACGGGGGCAGGGCTCTGACGCTCCTTATTGGTTGGAGGGTGGAGCCGCAGCCCCTCCTCTCCGAGACGATTGGCGAGCTGAGCCTCGCTCCTTGGACTCGGACCCCTTGGCTCCCTATTGGTCAGAGGGCGGGGAGCCACCGGATCAGGGACGCGGGATTAGCCGGAAAGAGGAGCCGCGCTCCCAAAACCCTCTGATGCTTGGCTGGGGCCGGGCCGCCCCCTTGGCTCGAGGCTTTTCTGACCGCAGAGCCCCGGACCTGGGACTTGGTATTTCCTGGGAGGCGGAGCCTCGCACCGTACGCTCTTCGGCCTTGGGAGTGCCAAGGCCCGCCCCTCGGGAAGCCTGGACTTTGAGCGTCCAGCCCGCAGCTCTCGGGTTCGGCTGGAGCACGGAGACTCGCCCCTATGCCCCGCCCCCCCAAGTTGGAGAGCGCGACTTGGCCCATCCAGTCTGGGGGCAGTAGCAAGGTGAAGCTCCGCCCCCGGGCCCAAGTACGATGAAGTTTCCGAGGTCCGGATTGGCCGTCTCGTGGAGCCCCGCCCCCGGACCTAAGACGCAGCGATGGGCGGGTCCCGGGACTGCGCAGTGCGCGCCGGCCGCCGAGGCGAATGGCAGCCTCGGCCTCCCGCTCCGCCGCCCTGCGCAGCCCGCGCTTGCCGCTCCTGCTGGTGCCCGCGGGAGCCGCCCGGCCCGGCCCGCGCCCGCGCTCCTCGGGGCCGACCGCCATGCAGCCGCCGCCCGCCGCCCGCGGCTGGCTCACGGGCCTGCGCTTCGACAACCGCGCCCTGCGGGCGCTGCCCGTGGAGGAGCCGCCGCCCGGCGGGGACCCTGCCCCGCGGCCCGTGCCGGGCGCCTGCTTCAGCCGCGTCCGGCCCTCTCCGCTCCGCGAGCCGCGCCTCGTAGCGCTGTCGGCCCCGGCCCTGGCGCTGCTCGGCCTGGGCCCGCCGCCGCCGCCGCCCCCGGGAGCGAGGCCCGAGAGGGAAGAAGAGGAGCAGGAAGAAGAGGAGGAAGAGGCCGGGGCCGGGGCGCCCCGCTCCCGCCGCCGCCGCGCCGGCTCCGGGGCCGAGGCCGAGGTGGAGCTCTACTTCAGCGGCAACGCTCTGCTGCCTGGCTCGGAGCCCGCCGCGCACTGCTACTGCGGCCACCAGTTCGGCAGCTTCGCGGGGCAGCTGGGCGACGGCGCCGCCATGTACCTGGGCGAGGTGCTGGGCACGGCCGGGCAGCGCTGGGAGTTGCAGCTCAAGGGCGCCGGCCTCACTCCCTTCTCCCGGTAAGCCGCCGCCCCCTCCTGCTTGCCATGGGGCGCTCCGGTCCCGCCCCGTCCCCTTCTCGGGCCTGCCCTCACTATCCTGGGTGCCCTCCGGTTCCCACTCCCTACAAGCTCCGAGGCCTCTTGCCTCCAGCCAAGCTACCCCAGCCTGTTAGGGCCCGACTCTTCCCCGCTCCCAGTTTCCCTAGCCCCCCCACGTTTCTTGCTCTGGCCCCTCACCCACTGGCCCAGGCTCTTGGATGGTTCTTCGTAAGTGGGTGTTGGGGGGCGGGGCAGCACGTCCCCGTGACTGATCTCTGAGCAGGTTCCTTCAAACAAGCCTGAGGGTGGAGGCCTGCCCCCCCGCCAGTGGCCCTCAGTGTCCGCTTTCACCTGCCCCGCTTTGCCTGCGGGATCCCTGAAAAGGTCCGGAGGAAGGGCATTTCATCCACCTCTCCCCTTGGGGATTTGTCGTCTTTGGACGTGTTGTTATGGGATGCATGTCGTAGGGTAGTTGGAGGCGACCTAGTCTAGCATCTGATTTTACAGGGGAGGAAACTGAGGCCCAGAGAGGGAGCAGTGACCTTGGAGTCGGTTGGATATTAATACATCTTGTTCCCTTCCCCCACCGAGTGATCATGGGTCCCCGAAGAGGGCTGGCGGGTCCTGTTAGCACTGGGCGGGGGGGGGGGTGTGAGGGTTAGGGTCTCAGGGTTCTGCTTTCTCCCATTTCTAGTCTCCCCCCCCCCAATCTCTAGTCTTGGGGCATTTTTCTGAGCCCTCCTCTCTGTCCCTTATAGTCACAAACCATATTCAGCCACTTCTGCTTTGGACACATACTCTGTCTCTGGCTTTCTGCTGACGATGCATTTGTAAAGCCTTGAGTTGCTGTCAGTCACCTGGAGCTAGACTGAGTACTAGGCCTGGAGTCTAGAGATTTGGGTCCCAGGTTTGGGTCTGCAGCTTTGCAGGGAGCTAGAGGACCTCTGAGCCTCAGTTTCCTTTTCAGTCAAATCTGTCCTGCTGTGAGGGAAGTGCTTTGTAAGCCATGAGAACTCTGGAAATGTGAGCTGTTACTATGTCAGATCATAGCATTCTGTCTTTTCTGATGAAAGGCCAACATGGCTTTCTATATAAGCACATGGTAAGGAAACAATTTCACAGAAGAGATCCTTGGCTTTCCTGCCAGCGTGAGCTTTTGGTGTTTTATGAATGAACCTCAGTCCTTCCGAAAACCCCGACTGGAGGCCTTTTGTATGGGATGGAGGTGACCCTGGGTTTTAAGTGCTATGTCAAGGGTTTATAGAGCTCTGCTGGCCCCACTGATACCTTGACAATGGGAAGTATATGTCTGCTGCCTGACACCAGGCTAGCTAACCTGGGTGGCTTGACTTGGGTTAACTGGTCCAGTGGTTCCCCAGCCTGCAGAGGAGACAAGCCCCCCCTCCAGTCAAACTGGGGGACTGAGGGTGCTGTTTGCTCCCTGGTCAGGTGCCCGGGGAGAGAATGTGGCTGGTGGCCTCTCGGGCCAGAGCCTGCGGGCCCACTCCAGTCTTTCAGGAAGGCTGCTCTTGTAGGATTAGCCTGAGTGGCGGCCAGATTCCTGCTTAAGACTCTGAAATCTCACCTGGGATAAGAAGCAAGTCCCTTTGTCCCAGGTTCAGATTAAAGGAGGGCCGAGGAGTTTCTTTTTACCATCGTTTGCCAAGGATCAAGGCTGAGTTAGGTTACAGCTTGGCCAGGCCCCTTGCACTCTAATCAAGCTTCTCGGGTAGATGTCACAGGGAGAATTTCCACATCGATTCTCCGGCTGTGGTCTCAGCATGACTGGGCAGTTCTGAGTCACCCTAAAAGAGCTGAGGCAGAGAATAAAGAGTGGATGGGCCCTGGCTGTCTGGCAACCACTTATGCACCCTCACCCTGACCTCCCAGATACTGGAGGCTTAACCTCCATGGTTTGGTTGTTCATCTTGCTTGTGTGTGAACGTGTCCCCTCTCCCCACTGAGCACCTTCCCTCGTCATTTGGCAGAGGGGCCAGGGGATGCAGATGGTCTGTTATGTTACGTTTGGCTTCCTCTCAGCTGGAGTTGTCCCAGGGTGCAGTGGGCTTGGTAGCGAGCTCCTCGCTGATAGGGGTATCCCAGTGGAGACCAGAAGATGGCACATCATGGACCCCATTAGAGACTCCGCAGGCTTCAACTCCTTGGATGGCGTGATCCTTGCGGGGAGGACGGCTGCCGGCTGCCCAAGTGCTCCCCGTGCCTCGTTTTGCCTGTGTATCTCAGGATTCAGACTTGGCGGGAACATTAGCAGCTGTGTAGTTCAGAGAAGGAAACTGAGGCCCAGAAATGTGGGCAGAGTGATTTGTCCAAGTGAACTGTTTGGCTTCCTGTCCCTGCTGTCAGTGAGCCCTCTCCTGTGCTTTGGCCCTGGCTGCCTGGGTGGGGCCCACCAGTGCCTGGTTTTCTGGGGAGGAGGTCTGTCCACCACAGGCTTTATGCTTTTTTTTTTTTTTTGGTTTTTGGTGAGGCAGTCAGGGTTAAGTGACTTGCCCAGGATCACACAGCTAGTGTCAAAGTGTCTGAGGCCAGATTTGAACTCGGGTCCTCCTGACTCCAAGGCCCGAGGTCTATCCACTGCACCACCTCACTGGCCCTGTGCTGCTTTTTAAAATGTCGATACTGGCTGTGGCCTTTGAGGTCAGAGGCCTGTGCTCTGTCCAGTGCCTGCCCCTGAGATGAGCCTTCTCTCACTGTGGGAAGGAAGCGCGAGGGTGCAGCTGGGATGAGCTCTCGACCGTCCCTTTGGTTCCAGGCAAGCCGATGGCCGGAAAGTTCTTCGCTCCAGCATAAGGGAATTCTTGTGCAGTGAAGCCATGTTCCACCTGGGCATCCCCACGACCCGGGCGGGCTCGTGTGTGACCTCGGAGTCCAAGGTGATCCGCGACATTTACTATGATGGCAACCCCAAATATGAGAACTGTGCAGTGGTGCTGCGCATAGCCTCTACTTTCCTAAGGTAACGGGGAGGCCCGGCCCTTCTGAGACTTGCCTGGGGGACAGTGTGTGATTGGTTGGGTTGGGGTCTGGCTGAGACTGTACTTCAGTCTGATTTCAGTCAGAAAGTCTTAACTCCCACAAGGATTCATGCAGGGGATGCTGGACCGCCATCTTCCCGGGACAGAAGGGGCCCCTGGACATCTCTACGTATTGGGGGGTGGGGAGGACTGCTTCCCTCCCAGAAGGCCTTGGGGAGCTCCGGCATGGCGTGCCTAGGTGCTGTGCCAACGGCTGCCCTGCCAGCCACAGCTAAAGGCTCTTGGCTTTACCCTGGTACCCAGGACCCTCTACTTCAGGGAACTTCCAAATGCAATGAATGCTGCCAGCAATAAACAGAAATGAGGGGAGGGGGCAGGGACAGCAGAAGAACCTGGCTGTAAAGCATCTGTTTATCGCCCAGCCTTGTGGGAGGCTTGAAAACCAAATGAGGTCAGCATTCGCCTTGACGTCGGACCTCTCCTTATCACTGGCTGCTGAACCAGTGCCCGGCCAGCACGAGCCTGGAAGCCTCTGATGCCAAGGAGAGGTGTTACTAATTAAAGAGCTGATCAGGGCCTGACCTGCTAGCATGACTGCCCTGCTTTCTTGGCATCGAATCCGGAGGAAGCTGAAGGGCAGCCAGTAGCTGGAATATCCGAGTGGGAGGAGGCCGTTCACTCTTCATTCTGGCTAGGGAGCGTCACTGTGAAGACTGGCATCTCAGATCTGCCATTCTTCCACTTTCCGGGTTGTGGGTCCCTGGGACAGCCTGACGAGCCAATGGAGCCTTGTGAGAGTCTCTCCTTAACTGGATGGGATACGAAGGGGCCAATTCAGGGGAAAGTTCACAGGTCCTGCCTACTGAGCCTGGGCCTAGGTCTTTATGCAGCAAGGGGCTGCCATCCTCAAAGTCTCTTTTTTCCTCCTCCCAGGTTTGGCTCTTTTGAGATTTTTAAACCTCCAGATGAACACACAGGGCGGAAAGGCCCTAGTGTGGGCCGGAATGACATACGGATACAAATGCTTGACTACGTCATCAGCAGTTTTTACCCAGAAATCCAGGCTGCCTTTGCAGGAGATAGCGTGCAGAGGAATGCAGCCTTTTTCCGGGAGGTAGGTAGGCTGGGGGAGGGGGGCTCCAGGGTCCTGAAAGAGCACATGCAGCTCTTCCCTCCCTCCTTCTGGCCTGGTGGGGGCTCCGGAGCCCCTCCGCAGCCAGCTTCCTGCAAGGGAAGGCAGGCCGTTTGGGCAGCCTCAGGACATTGGCCATGGCTCCTTCTTGCCTCGGGCCAGCCTGGCTGAGTGGTTGTCCCCGAGTTCTCTCTGGGCTCCTGGATGGCCTCCTGCCAGGGCTGGAGCAGAAGTGCCCACCTTCGCCCTGGATCCCAGAGGACAGCGGGTTTCTGTGAAGACCTCATTAGAACAAACCCAGGACAGACAGGAAAGAGGAGGAGCTGTTTGGTTTTTTGTTTTGTTTGCTGAAGCCCTGGCACCTTTATTAAGCGCCTGCTGCGTACCTGGCACAGCGTGTGCATCAGTAAATACAGCAGACACACAGGAGCTCTGGGGAGGGGGCAGAGGTCAGGAAAGGGCTCAGGTCACCCCAAGCTGAGCCTCCAAGGGGCCTCGGGTCTCCAGGAGGCAGAGAGGGCAGCCCTGGTGGCTCTTTTCTCAAAATTTAACTTTTTGGAGACCATTCTACGGTTATTTGCAGGGCCTCTGGTGGAGTTTTCCCCATCCGTGGGAGTTTGTGACTGATTGTCTTCTTTTGGGGGGACTCTTGAACCCCGCTCCCCCCGCTCTCTGGGCAGCAGAGGGCAGTGAGCTGCTTTCTGGAGATAGGCGGGCGCTGACTCAGCAGGGTCTCCAGGGAACCTCCCTTGGGAAACTGCCTGGAGTTTCTCCCCATTAGGCCCACAACCCCTTTGGATCTTGTGTAGGCGGTGGGATGAGCTCTAGGGCGGAGAGAGGACAGGGTGGCCTCGAGGTCTGAGCCCCGCTCCCCTCGGCCAGGTCACTCGGCGCACAGCGAGGCTGGTGGCCGACTGGCAGTGCGTGGGCTTCTGCCATGGCGTGCTTAACACGGACAACATGAGCATCGTGGGGCTCACCATCGATTACGGGCCCTTCGGATTCATGGACAGGTGAGGCGCCCCACCCCAGGGATGCCCCTGCTGGCAGTCTGGGGGCGGCCCTACAGGCAGCTCACGGTGACTTCCTGGCCAGGTACGACCCCGACCACGTCTGCAACAGCTCCGACACGTCGGGCCGCTACGCGTACAACAAGCAGCCCGAGGTGTGCAAGTGGAACCTTCAGAAGCTGGCCGAGGCCCTGGTGCCCGAGCTGCCCCTGGAGGTCAGCGAGCCCATCCTCCGAGAGGAGTACGACGCCGAGTTCGAGAAGCACTACCTGCACAAGATGAGGCGCAAGCTGGGCCTGATCCGGCTGGAGCTGGAGGAGGACCGGGAGCTGGTGTCGGCCCTTCTGGAGACCATGCACCTCACAGGTCGGTGGGCGGGGCTCCTGGGGGAGGGGGCCGCAGGCGCGCGCCCACTGCCTCCAGAAGGCTCTGGCGCCCACAGGCCTTCCTTTGGTTTCTAGGGGCGGATTTCACAAACACGTTCTACTTACTGAGCTCTTTCTCCGTGGCCCCAGAGCCCACCCAGGCAGCCCACTTTCTCGATCAGCTTGCCCAGCAGTGTGCTTCCTTGGAAGAACTGAAGCTGGCCTTCAGGCCACAGATGGATCCCAGGTAGCTGCCCTGAACGAGCCAAACAGTGTACTGAGCATGGGGCCTGGAGTTGGGAAGACCCGAGTTCAAATCCAGCCTCAGACTCTTCCTAGTTGGGTGACCCTGGACAAGTCACTTCACAGCTCCCTGCCTCAGTGTCCTCATCTGTAAAATGAGGACAATAACAGCACTCCCCCCCCCACGGGAGTTCTGATGGTTCTGCAGCATCACTGCACCGGGGACGCCCGCAGCGTGACTGGGGACTTGGGGTGCCCCCCCGGCGTCTCTGACAAACCACCAGAGAAAGCTCTTTATTTGGCTTTCTGGTGAATCTGCTGCTGCTGCCTTCATTCAGGGTATAATAATGACATTAACTGGTGATGATTTCCGGGTTTACAAAGCACTTGACACAGACGATCTCATTGGCGCCTCAAGCCCAGGAGTACAAGTGCTGTGGGAATTCTCATTACCATTTCACAGATGAGAAAACTGAGGCAGGCAGAGGTAAAGCTGAGCTCGGGACACAGCCAGCAAAATCCAGAGATCTGAGTTCAAAGACTCTGGTTTCCTAGGAGTGACTCTTGTGGTGTTTCTCTCTATGAGGACGCTACCTGCCCCCCACCCAAGAGGCTGAGCCTCCCGGCGAGGTGCAGGGGGACGGACACTGGGCTGTTTCCTGTGGACTCTGTGGGGTGGCTGGCGAGAGGCCGCTCAGCCTCCTTGGGACCTCTGGGAGGGGTCTGATGCCCTTCATCATCTAGCGGGTGGGGAGGAAGGCAGGGACCTTAATAACTGGCACCAGAGTGACGAGTGTGGAGGAGGAAGAGGCCGGGGACACTTGAGCAGGGGAAAGCCTTGGAAAATTTTGGGTACAATAGGGAGAGACTGATGCCTTGGAAAGTCACAGGACAAAGAGGGGGAAGCCTGGGGTGGGGGAAGAGACTTTCAGGACTTGGTATCTGAGTCATGGATGGGCAGAGGGAAGCAGAGGCCCCACCCAGAGGGGAGCCCAGGAAAGGGGGCTGCCCACAGGGGCAGGACAAAGTAGGACCAGATGGGAACATTGAGGAATCAGTTCTGTAAAGGTGAGCCTTGAGACCATGGGAATGAAGGAGAGAGACCACCAGAAGGTGGGGGCCCTTGCGACTTTGGGCAGAGCAGGTTCAGGGAGAGGAGAGGAGAGAAAGTAGTCGAGACAGGGGACCATGGGGGGATGCACAGAGAAACCCAATGAGAGGGGTTCATCGGGGCATGTGAGAGGAGGCTGGGGAGAGGCTTGGGGGGCCCAGGCAGCAGCCTGGGGGTGGGGGGAACGACCGTCAGATCCGGGGAGGTCAGAGCTCGCCCCCCGGAAGCAGGCCTGTGTCGGGGCGCCAGCCTCGGCAGTGCCCCGTTTCTTCCCTCCTAGGCAGCTCTCTATGATGCTTATGCTGGCTCAGTCCAATCCTCAGCTCTTTGCTTTAATTGGAACTAAGGCAAGCATCACCAAGGAGCTGGAGCGCATCGAGCAGTCCTCCAAGCTGCAGCACCTGTCCGCCACTGAGCTCATCGGGCGTAACCGGGAGCGCTGGGAGGCGTGGCTCCAGAGATACGGGTGAGCCGCGGGGCTGCCTCCCTCTGCTTGCCTTCCTTACCATTTCTCAGCCTCCACACCTTTGCCCAGACTCTGCCCTGACTGCCCCCCCTCCAATAGATGGTAAGCTCCACGAGGGTAAAGATTAAGTTGGTCTTTGTAGCGTCGGTACCTAGCGTAGTACCTGGTAGACAGCAGGGGCTCAATCAGTGAAGGGATGGACGAAGTAGGGCCGAGCAGGACAGGAAGGGAGGCCCAAACGCTGCTGTTGGCACGCCCTCTGTGTGACTGCAGAGCCCGCTTGGAAAGAGACATGCAAAGCGTCAGCAGCGTGACTGCCTGGAGCGTGGAGCGCGTAGGAGTCATGCAGTCCAGCAACCCCAAGTATGTCCTGAGGAACTACATCGCCCAGAACGCCATCGAAGCTGCGGAACAGGGAGACTTCTCAGAGGTATGGGCGCCCCCTGCAGGGGGCGCAGGAGGGCCTTCCTGCCTCCTTTCCGTTCCCTGCTGACGTGCCTGTGTCTTGCTCGTGCCTGTGCAGGTGAGGAGGGTGCTGAAGCTGCTGGAGAAACCTTACAGTGAGCAGCGGGAGGACGATGTGGACGGGTCCCCGGAGTGCGGGGCGGCAGCCTCAGGCGGTGGCCTGTCCTACAGCAGGAAGCCTCCCCTCTGGGCCGCAGAGCTCTGTGTCACGTGATCATCATAGCTGCCTTGTGGGCATTTTCCACCTGCCTGGACAGTCTCACAAGGCCCCTCTAGGCACTGCTGAGTCACAAAACGGCCTTTGGTGTCTCAGGTTGGTCCCGCCACACCTCAGCCACCCGAGTGGCTGTTTTTCCATGAAGGTGGAGACGTCCAGTCAGTCCTGACCTGTCTCTGTCTGATGCTGACTCAGCAGCCCCGCACCAAGCCCCCAGACTCACTGCGCACCCCCCCCCCCGGCTCATCAGAGCCACTCCTCACTCCCTTTGCCTTTTTCTGAAGCTGTTCGTGTGACAGAGGAACCTCCCACCCACCTCTTTGAGGGCATCCAGCCGACAGCAGAGGCACTGAAGAGGGGGAGGGGGCCCCAGGTAGACCTACAGGAGGGGGAGGGAGGGGAAGGTCCTTCTGTCTGTACAAAACAGCTCTCCCCCTCCCAGCAATAAACAGCTCTATGTGACTGATGGCTGGCCTGCTCCTGCCTGGGCGGGGTGGGGGAGCAGCCCCCCAGGGCACAGTGCAAGACTCTTTATTATGTGGCGGCTGTTTACAGAGAAGGGAGTCCTTGCTGGGGCCGGGGCTCATGCATCTCTGTAGTAGTTGTTGAAATTAATTCGCAGGAGGAAGTCTTCCAGGTGAGGCTGGTAGCCTCGGTTCACCAGCTTGGTGACCACTGCAGGGAGAAGCCAAGGCAAGGTTTGGGCCCCCGGGGCCAGGAAGAGGGACACCATAAGCCACAGCACAAAAGCACTGTCTGGGGCCAGTGGCTTTCCCGATCCCCGCCCCCCCCAAACTCCTCCCTGAAGCCGCTTCTGCTACCTCCATCCTCACCTTTGAAAAGAAAGTGAGAGTAGTACTTGAAGGTGCTGTAGGATTGCTGCATGAGGGCAAAGTTGGGGTGCACGGCCCCCTGCCGGCTGCCATCGTAGGTCCAGGCCTGGGAGATGAGCTGAGTGCGGAACTTAAGGATGAGACTGAAGATGCTGTGGATGACGTTCATCACGGGGGCGGCCTTCTCCGTCAGCAGCCCCCTGGGGTGGGGAGCAGGGGGACAGGTCGGCCTGGGAAGCCCCTTCCACGCCAGACGCCGCTGAGGCGGGCCCAGCTGGGCCAACGGGCCGCTACGAATCCGCAGAGCGTGGTCTCCACCAGGCCCTCTCTCTCTCAAGCACACTTGGCCCAGCAGGTCCAAAACCGTGACCCTCTGCTGAGGACAGACGCCTCCTCCCCCCATCCTGAGCTAGGGCAGCCTTCCCACTGCCCACCCAGAAAGCCCTCGACAACTCGCTGGCTGAAGGCCACTCTTCTGTACCACTGAGTTCATCTCTCACGGCTCCCAGGACCCCATTAAGCATGACTGCAAGCTCCTTCACCCACTGTCTACAAACACGCCCGTGTCTCCCCCATCCTGGAAAACCGTCCCTTGACCCTCCCATCCCCACTATCATGGGCCTATGGCTAAGCTCACGATCAGGGCCCCCGCTTCCCCTCTCCTCATTCCACCAGAGTGCCCAACGAGCTAGCTCTTAGGGACCAAATCCAACGTCCTTTCTCCATCACCATTCTCCTTGACCCTCCAGAGCCCCCTCTCCCCCTGCAGGTGTCCCCCAGGATTCTGTCCTGGGCCTTCTCCTCCAGACTTCCCTAGGTGATATCAGCTGCCCCAGACTCTCTGCTGACCTCCAGCTGCCTTTCAGACCCCTTCAAGTGGATGTCCAGAACAAAGCTCATCTTCCCCCCGCCCCCGAGCACCCCCTTCCTCCCACCCCGCAGGCTCCCACCCTGGGGGTCATCCTGGGCTCCTCACGCGCTCTCACCCCTCACTGTCCAAGCTGGTGCCGAGGCCTGAGATTTCACCTCGGCAGCATCTCTCCTGCCCTTGCCACCACCCTGGTCCAGACCTCATCACCTCCATCACCACCCCCTGGACTGCTGCAGGGGGTGGGGGGGTGGGGAGTCTGCCTGCCTCAAGTCTCTCCCTGCTCATCATTCAGCCGCCAAGGCCACCTCCCTAGAACAGGTTCAATGACGTCACCCCCTATCACCCCCAGGAGCAAGTCCAAAACGGTGTCCAAGGCCCTTCCTAAGCCTGCCCCCTCCTCGGTTTCCCTGACAGTCTCTCTGATCCAGTGCCTCTGTCCTCCTCTCAGCTCTTCCCTATCGACCATCACCTCACAGCTAGGTGGTACAATGGATAGATCACTGGGCCTGGAGTCAGGAAGAGCCGAGTTCAAATTCAGCCTGACATTTACTGGCTCTGTGGCTGGGCAAGTCACTTTACCTCAGTCTGCCTCAGTTTCCTCAACTGGAAATGAGAATACCAGCACCTACCTCAGGGTTGTAACGAGTCTAGCACAATGCCTGGCAAAGTAGGCGCCTGAGCTTGGAAGAGCAAAGCCCTCCTCTTCCAGTCGTACGCCACGCCCGCCAGCCCCAGCCCACCCTCACCTGAAGATGGCTTTGTTGAGGTACTCGGCATGAGTGTGGCGGATCTCCTCAAGGTTGCTCACGGCCGCCAGCTCGTCCCCAAACTCACGCCACGTGACGTGCAGGATCTGATTGGCGATGTAGCCCTGGATCACCTTCACGAAATGCTGCATCTCGTGCTTAAAGAGCTGGAGCTGGCGGAACTGCACCGAGCCGGCTGCGCGGTTCACTAGCGCTGGGTGGGACCGATGGAGCAAACAGACCCGAGACCTTGAGGCCCTGGTGCCCACCACCACCTGCCCCACGAGTCCACGAGTCCCGGGGCCCCTCACCTGTGCGCTTCAGGTGAAAGCACACGTCCTTCAGGGTCCACATCATGTGCTTCAGCTGCAGCAGGAAGGAGAAGACCTTGTTGTATTTGGTCAGGCAGCTCTCTGTGATGACGATGTTGAGGGGCCAGTCGACCTGAGGGGGAGGAAGAGCGTGGGTGCGGGGCCACGAGGGAGCGCCCCGGAGCAGTCACCAGTGAGGCCTGCCAGCCGAGGGTTCGCGAAAGGTCTTCTGTGACACAAAGGGGGTCTTGATCCCTAAAGGAGAAACTGCATTTAAAATACCTGCACATGACACGAAACACTTGGGAGCCTGCCTGCCCAGACCCACACAAAACTGTATGAGAACATTCTGCACACACGGACACTAAATGGCTCGTGGACAGGCTGAGCCAGTACAATAATGACACGAGCTCAGTTAATTTACTTACTTCAGTGCCATGCCAATCAAACTCCTAAAGAGTGCATCTGCAGAACACCGTAACAGAGAGGGTAGCAATGCCAGATCTCCAACCGTGCTAGAAAGCGATCACTGTCCAAACAACCTGGTCCCGGGCAAGGAACAGGCGAGACCGGGCCACACTGGGCCTGACTGAGCTCACCCTCTCACACGGACTGCTGGGAGGCCGCCCAGGGTCAGGCGAGGCCCGCCGTGCTCAAAGCTTCAGGGACCAGGTGCCGGGGGTGGAGAATGCCCGGATCCGATGGGACGGCAAAGCGCCACGACAGCCCAGGGGAGGCAGCGCTCCCTCAATGCCAAGCCCTGTACCGGGGTACTGCTCCGCTGTGCCTCGTCAGCCCTGGATCACCCCCTACCCCCAAACTCTAGTCCCATTTGTTCACTGGGTACGAGGCTGCTCTGCCCAGACTGGGAGCTCGCTGAGGGCAGGGATAGGCACACAGGGTATCCACATCTCCACAGCCATGGGGCAGAGAGACAGCTCAGAAATGAAGAGGAAGGGGAGGGCACGGGGGTAAGGAGAAGAGCGCCGCCGCATACCTTGTACCGCAGCTCGAGGCAGCTCAGGGCGTCAGGGGCGTTGGAGCTGAGAGCTTCTGGCAGGTACTTGAGGGCAAAGGAGAGGTTGGCCGCGAGCTGCGTGTCCCCATGCAGGCTGTACTGCAGGGCTTTGGTGAGGAAGGAGTTGAGCACCAGAGGGTTCAGGAACTCGCCGGGGCTCTGCCCCGAGCCCAGCTGAAGGAGAAGGCCAAGATGGGGTACGTGGCAGGGGCGCCTGCCCACCCACAGTGGCTCACAACAGGCCCAGGCGGCCGTGGGAGGATTACTGTCCCCATTGGCAGATGGGCAAACAGAGGCTAAGGTCACTCCCTCCAGCACGGCCAGCTCCTTAAAGATGGCGCCCAGACTGACAGCAGCCAGTGACTCCACAGCCTTGAAGCTCCCCAGCCAGGGTGGCAGAGTCAGAGACCCGCCCACTTTACGCCAGCCGCCACCAGGCACATGCCAAGAGTCAAGTCTGGGGGCTGAGGACTGCAAGTGCTGGGGGGAAGGAGGCCCAGAGAGGTTCAGGGCTCTGCCTGCAGTCCCACAGCTGAGGAGGCTAAACCATCCATCTCTCCTAGGGCACTTGGGAAGCGCCTGCTCGGGCTGGGCCAGGGAGATGCCCGGGGCCGGCTCTCAAGGGCTTGCCCAGAGTACCCCGCCCCTGCGGCCCCCCAGGACCCAGCACAGTCCCTCCCACAGCCCTGCCGGTACCTTCTCGAAGAGCAGGTCACTGAGAGACTGAGCAAACTCCCCATCCTCCATGAGCAAAAAGTGCCTCAAGGCCTCAAAGTGCTTTTCTAGGCCAAGCTCCACAAAGTAGTAATCGACAACAGCCTTGTTCACCAGGGACACGCTGTGGGGACAAGGAGGCTGCCCATCAGATGCCAGGCAGGGCCGTCCAGGCCAAGATGGCGGGCGACTCAGCCTCAGCCTTGCCATCTAGGCACAGAAACCCCTCTCCCACATCCTCAAAAGCGTCATGCGGCCTCTGCTCCAGGGACAGGGAGCTCCTACAGAGTTCCTCTGGATGTTAAGTGGAAGCTGCCCCGCTCGGACCCCTTCCCATAGCACCCCCCACCCTGCAAGGCCGATCCCTCGGCCTCCGAGGCTTGGCCACACGTACTGAGAAACCAGCGGGGCAGTGATGGAGTGCTTCATGAGCACGGGCAGGGTCAGGAGCTCGCTCAGCTGCACGGAGGTCTCGTCACTCGCCGATGGCCTGCGGGGATCCAGGGGGAAGGAGAAGGGTCTGGGGATGATGTGATGCATGAGGTGGGACAAGGGAGGCTCAGCTGCAGGAGAGAACCCAGAGGCATCAGCTCTGCCCCACCCTGCAGCCCCCAGCCCCAGAGGCCCGCGCAGGCTCATCACTCACACATTAGGCTGTAGCTGTCTTGGTATTTCTCGAGGCAGTACTGCTCA